TATAAGTACCAACCGAATGAAAAAGATCACCACTACCGATAACATGGTACAAAAATAGTAAGGTCCAGTATTTTCATGAAATTTATATAATTCTTATCTTACGCCATGGTGACAAATGTTTCTGCAATTATTGGTATTATACAATTGTTCTTTTTAAAAATAACTTCAACAAGCTCAACTGCAGGAATTGTAGATTTATTAGAACAAATCTCAGTTCTATTTGACATAATGCCAAAGATATTGTCTGAATTTATACAACTTTTACAATTTTAACGGGTGCAGGAGTATGAATTGGGTTGAATTCGCTTGCTTCCGGGAGGAGGAGGGGTAAAAGCATTATCAGGACATAAAGCTGGAACCGGTGGTGGAGGTTGTGGTGAAGGATATCGTGTTCTTGTATTGTAAGATTTGCTATAATTGAAATATAAAAAAATCATAGTTCATTTTTTTTACTTGAAATATCAAACATATATACATAATAAATATTGTGATGACGATCCAGTTGAAGGCGAGCTGAAGAGTTATGAAGAAATGTTTGATCGAAGTGGATTTGAATATATTTCTTGCTCTACCTATAAATTCTCTTGGATGAATGAGCTATTCTATTTTCCGTCGTGACGCTGATAGGACTGCTCCAAACGATGCTAACAGAAGAGTTTTTGATAGAAAAGCTCGTGGTTCCAAATTAAATAAAATTGCACACTGTCGACGATGCGACTTTAAAACGTCAACACACGTTCCAACATTCAACAAATTATATACACGCAGATAATCTCGCACCATTTAATCGTCTCCCACTGTCAAAGAAAACATAGAGCCGGGCGCCCAAGTTACCGGATTAAAGGAGTCGACGGACAAGTGAGGACGTCCTGGGGGGTGTTGTGTAGTGTTGGGTATGGTGCAGGAATTCTGACCTGTTTTGGCACCTGGTTGACCTTCTTAATAATTTATAGGAAAAAAATAAAAAAAATATAGGAAAAAATTAATAGTAATTGATATATAAATTCCGTTTTTTAGGTGAATAGGTTAATAGGTAAATTTTTTAGGTGAGAGCGAGTGACTGGATCTTTTGGCATAATTTGTTAGAAAATGGAAAGCCTTAATAGAAACACTCAACAAGAGGAGAAAGGAAAACAAAATTAGTTTGGGTTTACCGACCAATTGAGTTACTGTTGCAAAACAGCCGTTGAGATGTAAAGATGTCGAGGGGCACGTTCAGATGACAAGATGTCGCGAGGCGTTGAGATGAGTAAAGACGTGCTGTGGAGGAAGCACTTGGGTCTGTACTTACTCACAAAATGTCACCGCACTCTTCAAAAGCATTCTGGACGAGCAGTTGTTTGCTCAAAACAATACAATCAATCAACGAAAGGAAATGAAGTCCAGATGGAGAGCTGTATGTTACAGACGTAATGGTCGCTTGGGGTTAATTTATATTTCCTGTAAGTGGGATAAGAAAACGATAGCTGGAGTTCACCATTAATGTTACAGGAAATTAAGCCCTTGGTGAGGATGTGTTCATGTTTCATGAGAGAGTCCTTTAATACTTAACAACTTATTTGTTTTTGTTCTTAAACTTTATACTTTCACTCTTTGTTCAGACTGAAACTTATCCTGGCTTACACACCAAACTACGTACTACTCCTAACCTATCTACTATCTTCTTTCCTTCCTTGTTAGTTCCCTGGATGGCAACAGGGCCCCTTTTTCTTACGCACATTCCATCTCAGGTCAATACTTGTCCATGAACACACCCCCTTTTTTCTTTCATAAAGTCGAGACATTCCCTTTGTTAGTCACAAACCTGGAATGAGGAGGAACAATATTAGCTAATGTATTTGAGGTTGTGTACAAATTTGGTGTTTTGAAGTCCCAAACAAAGCAAGCATTTATTCGCAAATTCGTAAACCATTGCGTAAACTGTACCCAATTGTTGTGCAAATTTTACACAATTGTACATAGTCTCAAATTAAAAAGTGATAGTAGAGTAGACGACTATATTAGGCTAGTTTTAAGGAATTTCAAATTTATGCTTATTCCATTGAAAAGCTAGTTAAATTTCAAGTAGAAAACATGTATTAAACTTGAAAATATATTCCTCCTGTGACCATGAAAAATTGGTCACGAAAGAGAAAGCTCCATCAAAAATACGCACGAAATTAATCCTTTAATCGGTGTGAATGCTGAGATAAATAACGGCCTTGATTTTACGTTCGTGTCCGGCATCAACATCACGTAGCAAAGGGCACTTCATGGATTGAAGAACAAGGTCATAGGGTTTGAAGGGCACAGGTTGCTACGAAGGTGGGTGATGGGTAGTTCCCTACCTAAGTTAAAGTTTAGCTCGAACTGCATCGATTGTAGAACGCCTTTGGTTATTCAGAATTTTTGTATTAAATAATCATACCGTCCCCTCGACGTAAACGAAGTCGAGTCATTTATCTCGTTAAGATATGGATCAGTGATTTATATAAGCCATATTCATATAGGTAAATATATAGGATACTAATAATAGGCCATTGTGTTATAATAGATTGCCTTGCCGGGGCTCGATATTAAGAATTTGGATAAAATACTTAATTAATTGTTGGAAATCCTGCTATATAGTGAAAATATGAGGCTTCACACAAATAAAAAATGTTTCGATCTTTGTATTTGGTACTTTGAACAAAGTCACCAGTATTTTACTCGACGCTTGAACTCCAATATTACACAAATTACGAAGATTAGCCCCAACTCCCAGTTTTATATACATAGTCTCAACTTAAAAACTGATAGTAGAGTAGACGACCATATTAGGTTAGTTTTAAGGAACTTCAAATTTATTCTTATTCCATTGAAAAGCCAGTTAAATTTCAAGCAGAAAACATGTCTTAAACTTGAAAATATATTCCTCCTGTGACCATGAAAAATTGGTCACGAAAGAGAAAGCTCCATCAAAACTACGCACGAAATTAATTGACAAACTGTGTCATTCCCGGGTCAGAAATTTTTTTGCGACCCTGACACTTATATGGGGCTCAGAACAGACCTTTTCCTCAATTTTAATCAATATTTGGTAGTGAAGTTGTCTGCGGTTCGAAAATTCCAACGTTAAACCTAAAGTACAAATAAAGTCAGAAACATGGATTTTAATCCAGTTTTTCACGAATTTCGCTGCAAATGCTATTGTGAACGCCTTCACAAAGGTCGGTGGCTTTTCACCCGATATGGACTAGTTGAGGGGGTGTTCCTTGTTCACCAGGACATTTATCAAATATTTTTTTTAAACTATCTCCTCTCCTTAATCAAGGACATTGGGCTGTTTTTGCTCAATTCCGCCGATTCCCGCCAAAACCATGAATGGAGCCTGATAAGATAACATTTTGACCTTTATTTTGTAATCAGCTAACCCCTAGAATATTTGACATAAAACGTGTTAGTTTTTTTGTTGAAGTATGTGTTTGTCGTAAAGAAATTATCATCGGTAAATGGTTTAGTTTTTTTATGGTTTTCACCATACCGTTTGGGGAGAGAGGTCGATTTTTTTACCATTGCTTAGGCTTGGGAAATCTGTAGCATGTGACGCTGTCTAATCTAAAAGACCTTCATCTTAGGGTCAGTTTTCAGTGCTAATCTCTGATCTCCAAAGTTGAAAGGTCATTTATATGGCCAAACTCTTCGGTGTCAGACGAAGATTTTGTGCTATTCTGGCGCTGAAAGCTTCTGACATCACTGTTGTCCTCCTTGACCTTGGACAACCGGAACTTTTATGTCTTAGATAGACACTGTCTCTAGGATTACTTTAATAGTTTGGGCAACCAGATTGTAGTTGTACTTGGACTGATACACTCCATCAAACATTGTGCATTTTTTCTCGTGCAAAAAGTGAAAAATTATTGCCGTTCGCGTGTAGCTAAGCTTCTCCTACTTATGACCTAGTGATGTCAAGTAAAAGCGGTCAACACCAATGATAGGCACTGAATGTATGCACAAACTGCATACATATTTATTTATATACGTGATATTTGTGTAAATGGGGAATATATAATACACATAAATTTGTATCTATGCAAGAGGGACGATTTCTGGGTTAAATGTTTCTCAAATTTTGCAATTTTCAAACTCCGCAAGATATTTACATAATTGTACACTCAACTAAAAATGGTATTAAATCGTTTCTGACGGGAGTACATATGATGATTTCACCAGAACTGGAATTTTTTACTTGTGTACCTGCTTAGCCAAAATTATGCAGATTGATGAAACCTCAAATATGCATGCACATATATGGTTTAACTTATCTCAATTAATAAATAAAAATATGCATCTGCATACATACGCTTCAACTTTTGAAAGGACTCGTTAAGCTCTTCGTTAAATTTCAGGTCAAAGATTAAAGTGGGCGATTTTTACCTTGCGGAGAAAGTAAACCCTGCTCCCATTTCCAATAGGATCATTAATGCAAAAAAGAGACTGTTAGGTACTACATAAAAAGTTCGAACTCTGCCATAATATGGAAAACATCAAGTCTCAACAATAACATTTTTATAATTTTGCTCTTGTAAAACTATTCGATATATATCCTCTGGCATTCTATTGTGGGTTGCAGAGGTCACATATCGAAAAATTTTAGAGGAAAAAATTTACCATCGTACAGATGCCGTACGTTACGCATGGTCCTGCATGACATTCAAATAATATGTAAAGGATAATAACAAACAAGTAATAATAGATCCTGACATGGGCTGCAGAATTATGCAAGACCAGTCAAATTTTTTGTCTGCTCAAACTTTGAGCCTGGCAAAAAGTAATTTGTGCACGTATGTATCGTATGTATGTATCACTGTTAAATTAAATTCGCAGTAATCTACCTATAAGAACTTACCAGGTAAAGGAGATCTTCTCACACTATATGTGCATAACTCAGACATTTATGTAAGCATAATATCAACATAGTTAAATACTCAAACATGTTTGTTACATATATACACGAACTCCTATAAGAAATCAATAAATAGAGTAACAAATACGTTGTAGGCTTTACTTTAACCTAGACCGTGGCAAAAGGCATACGTACGTATTTACATTTTCGTGGGTGATGACTTTCACGTTGCATTTAATCCTCTTCCTCGTGTTGAGTGGATCTTGTAAAGTGGTAAGTATCCAAATACGTACTTATGTATTTCTACAAATTTGGGGCAATGGGCGTTTAGCTTTTTTGAAATAAATGTATGCAAAATGATTTCATGGAAAGAACGACAAATTTACAATAAACAGAATTATTCAAATTTGGGGTATTATCTACATACACTCTTAGAAATCCCGACCCGATCAGTTTTTAGATTTTCCAAAAACCCGATCTGTTTTTTGGACAGTAAAAAAAGCCGATCCGTATAAAACGTTAAATTGCAGATGGTTAAAATATTAAGACGATGATTTTTCATTATAATTTCTCCCCTTCTACAGTCACCTTGTAATGAGACGTCCCAATTGGTCGAGCAAATCCTAACCGTCCAAAGGGAACAGGTAGTAGTATTGGAGGAAATAAGGAACACTATCGCCAAATTATTCACCAGCATAAGGCCCGGCTCGAAAGATGATGGACCATACAAATATAATGTATCTGAAATCCCATATCAGAAGACTGGCGAGACAAAATTCTGCGGGGATGATTTTGATCTTGCTAGCTCAACCTTTCCAACAAAACCAGTAATTAAGAAGTTCGAATTTTCATTCATAATTTTATTCATCTTGTCACGAATTTAAAACTCGTAGGTATTCTCTGATTTTGACTGGATTAATATTAAATTGTTCGCGTACAGAAATATCTGCTAAGTTTTTAAAATTTTGAACTATGGATAAAATTCAAAAAATATTAGGCATTCTATAAAAATCTTAATTTACACCAATTTTTCTTTCCGGGAAAAATCTTCTGCGTCACGAGAATCAAGAATTTCGAGTCCGTTTTTTTTTCGTGAATAATTTGAATTTTGTTCTATCAAAATTCGAGAACATCATTTCTAGACATATTTTTAATCAATTCAACCTCTCCTACAGCTTATTTGCGACCAAGGGTGGATCACCATTCAGCGAAGAGGTACTCCAACGGAAGGAGGGAAGGGTAGAACTGATTTCGAGAGGAATTTTACTGATTATACGAATGGGTTTGGTCTCCACCTTAATGGCGAGGACTTCTGGATTGGTTAGTTAGATTAAAAATATCTCCTTTGGAAATTGACTCGTGAATAGAACGAATAATGAATATTAAATCTAGGCTTGCAAACAATCCATGAGCTAACTAAGGCAGGATATACGCAGTTACGGGTTGATTTCGAAGATTGGGTGGGAATGAAAGCATACACGACATATAGTGAATTCAATGTGGGTGGTGCACAAGACAAATACAACTTAACGGTGGGGGGATATAAAGGAACTGCAGGTGAGTGATTTGAATATAGATTGCCATTTTGGAACGAAAAACTTGAAAAATCCACTTTATAAAATTGATAAATGTATGGAAAATTCCAAAATTTCAGTAGGAAAATATCGAAAACAATCTACAATCCAATCCACATAATCCATTTTTTACGATCGGATTTTCCATAAAATATCAAAGAAATATTATGTTTTGTCAAAATTTTGCGGTCAACGTACTTAATTTATTCAGTACACACATTTGTAAATTTCGTCCTCAACGGAACATGATATTCTACACAAAATGTGTGTACTTTGGTATAAAATGGATGTACTTTCTCTACACAAAGGTGTGAAGTTTGGTAGCAAAGAGGTTAACCGTTTTACAAGAGCAAAATGATAGACATACCTGTTAGTAATTATTAGCTCACCCTGCGTAGCACGGGAGCTATTGAATTCCTCTTGTCCGTCCGTCTGTCTGTTAACGAATTTTTTGCATCAATTGATGCTAATTAAACAGCCCCTTGACCATTATTGGATAAGTTGGGCGCACCATTGGTATCGAACAATCCGATTCGCAAATGGTGGTCCGATTGTCAGATACCAACGGTATCTGACAATCGGAAACACCAAATGATGCGAAAGAATTGGGGGCTTTGATGCATAACGCACCAATAGTGCATACTACTCGGCGGATTTTATTAGACAATTTTGACATAAATTTTTCAAAATTATGGGTGATCGTTGGTAGGTAATTCTGCACTAGTGATGCACAATTTTTGGACTTTCCTCGATGCATAAAAATTATTGATCTATTTTGCTTAATGGAACTGCACCATTGGTGAAATATTGCATAAAAATTATTGATCTACTTTATTGGATTTTTCTGCACCATTGGTGCATAATTACATAAAAATTATGTATCTATTCTGTTGAATTTTTCTCCACCTTTCTGGCAAGTTATACCCAAATCATTATTACAGGGTGAGCTACTTCTAACGTTACTACGGTTTATTAATTACAAAATGTTGTTTTTTGCAGCAAATTTCCTTCACCGAAATTCTGGCAAAAAGTTCACCACATTTGACAGTGACAATGATGAATTCGATAATAACAATTGTGGCTCGCAACGCCACGGTGGCTGGTGGTACTGGAATTGTAATGAGGTATGGATTAAGTAAATTTTGTTTTTTTTTTAAATTGTTTTTAAGTAAAATCAAATCACATTTTGTATTGCTTCATAACAACTTTTGCGATTCATAGAGCCACCTGAACTCCAGGTATCATAATTCCAGTCGAGAAGAAAAACCTTACAAAGGAATTATCTGGTACCCTTGGAGGGCCTACGACCATTCTTTAAAAAAGGTTGAAATGAAGATTCGTAAACCACACAGAATCATCTAAAAATAGTTGTTGTCTGAAAACTTGAATGTATGGTATGTATGTATACAATGATTATTGCAACTACATAACGCACATTAAAATGTTAATGGTCACACTTGTACGATGAACATATTAAAATATGATACTAACAAATAAAAGCATACAAATTAGATATGTACCTACTAGTGCGAAATATAGAAATAAGTATATGTAAACATGGAAACAGAGCCATAGAGAAGAACCTACTGGACTTTCTCAATTATTATCAGTGCTCTGAACGTTCCTCTCACAATGGTTCTGTTGTATGAAATTGACTGCAGTTAGTTTCAACACTGTGAAAAAACAAATTTTGACTTGGAATATTTTGTCTAATTTCATCCATAGCACAAATTGCCTCAACAAACTTTGGTTATCTTGATTTGGATTGGACCACATAATTCCCTAATTTTAACCAAATCGGAGAGCTACACTTCACACAATCGCATTGTCAGTCAAATCAAGAAATCATGACGTGTGTTGCGGAATTATGCAAGACCAGCCTGTCAATCCGTGTCTCCTTTTTTAGAGACTCCTACATACTTTGATCTCGGCAAAAGTAATATATGCAATGCATACGTGCGGGGGAACGTCCATCAATTATGTCACCGAAAAGTAGGGAATCTCTAGACTCCCCCCGTTTGACATGTGCCACATTATTTGAGCCTTGGACCTCGCCTCCCCTTTCTCGCGTGACATAATTTATGAACAGTCCCTTAATTAAATTCGAAGTTCACTAAGAACTTACGAAGCAGAGTATGTATATCCTTCTCCACACTTTAGTATGTCGTCCACGTACCAACAAGCAGAATCTTTATTCACATGCATATTATAAATACACATTTCGGTAATAAATAGTAATAACGTGGTAAACTTTACTTTATTCTGGACAGTGGCCAATGGCGCATGCATACACACTGCGATGTCTTTTATGTCGTATTTAATTTTCGTCCTGTTCTTGAGTCGATCTTATACACTGGTAAGTACAGAAATACTTGTCAAAATTTGGAACATTAACTTAATAAAGTTTTGATTTCATGATTTCTTCACCAAATTGGTATTTAAAAATTAAGTTTACGATGCATGTGTTCGTAGTTGGCATGGTTTTCCAATCGGCTTGTTTGTATTCGTTTTTTAGTTATTTTCTTTAACGGAAATTAAGGGAGGCGAATTACTTTCGAAGACAACATTATTGATACATGTTTATTAACAGCGTTTATTATGTGAGGAACATAACTGCAAGAAATTAGCGACATCTAGCGGAGAATAGGTATATGTATACGTACTACGTAGACACAGGTCCCAATGAGAGCAGTACAAAGTGTGACCCTAGCTTGTACTTTGAGGTTTGTAAATACGAAATTAAATGAGGAACATGGAATTACACTTCAAGTACAAAAATTCAGCATCAAATTTTTTCAAATTTGTTGTTTAATTTTAGGGTCGGTCCACGTCAATACCCACGATCGGGCAAGAGTCATAAGAGCGGAGATGTTGTCTCTCCACTCCAAGTGACACTACTGATGGTGGTACTCACCAGTAGTGGGCGTAGCACGTACTAAGGTTTTAAATGTCGACGAGGTCAGGGCTACATTTTTTTAGTCACATTTTTTAAACTCAGCGTTAAAAATAATCTCGACTGGTATGGCATTTGAATTTTGTCACTGAAAGTCTTGTTTACGCCTCTTGTTTTTTGATAATTTTTGGGAATATTCCCATACATAAGCTTGCATGTGTTAATGTGTGTCAGAAAAATCGATATAATTTTTTGCACCCTATCGTGTGCGACCTAATTTTTTTATGGTGGGTTAGAAATTTAAAATTACGTTATAATTTATGAAATTTGGGTTGCACACGACAGGGTGCAAAAAGTTATAGCGTTTTGAAGTTACCATTACATGATGGCTAGAATTCAAATTTTTTAAATTTTTGAAATTTTAGAATTTAGTTTATAGTGCCTACAACAACTTTTAGGTTTAGGTAAACCTTCCCAAAATTACGTGACACTCAGTGCATCAAATGGAAAATTTTTCTTAAATTTTTTACAAATTTAAATTCTCGGCCAATTTCTAACATAGAATTTGTATTTTTTCACTAGTAACTTTATTTAAATAGTACGTATTTATGGTAAAATTAGCCCTAAAATCTGAGACGTGGCCCGCAACACATGATTGACATTGACGTGGACTGACCCTTTACGTATATTTCCTTAGGTAAAAAGTGCAGATCAGACCGGTAACCATCTGAACGTAAATGACCTAGTAAAACTGGTTAGAAAGCTTCTACTTTTTTTAAATTTCTGAACTGATGTATTTAATTATCCACGAGATAATTTTATACGTATACAATCGGTAGTCAAATTTTCCTAGACGTGCCTCACATTATTATCTTGGATATGTGGTAATGGTCATAGGAAAAGTGCAAGTTAGTACGAGCTCACTTATCTACACGTATGTACAATGGGGAGGAATTTGTCACGACAAGTTTTAATATCTTGGTGAAAAATGATAGTGTTAGAGAAAAACGATGAATTTTGTGTATGTATTTATGGATGGTCAAATTTGGTTAATATTTTAATACTAGATTTTATTTTATCCAATACTTCACAGTTTTACTACAGAGTGCTAAAACTGTTTTAGTAACTCTTTTAGCACTCTTAGTAATTATTTAATCGTGTTTATCAAGGTTTTATAATATTTACGACGCAATTATGTATCTTAAGGTCTGAACTATGTACATTTATCACGATTGCAATTAATTTAATTCCATTGTCGAATTGCATGAATTATAGGTACCAACTACTAAATTTGACAAGAGTTTCAAGTACATTTTTATAATCTTTATAACCACTTGTTAATCAATACAGAAATTTAACAAATGGGCCATGGTTTTTTCATCCCTCCAGTGCAAAAAAAATTGCAAAAGGTTTGGGCTAAAGTATGTCATGCACTTGCTTCTTCCAACTCAAAAAGTGAGGCAGAGTGACAACCAGTTTGATATGCGTGATAGGGGCCGGCTATAAATTAAGTAATGCAAAAGTCTCGATTTTCTAGGCTCCTTTCCCACCTTTAACATGTGTCACATAGGCACGATATCATTTACAGTTTAGACCCCCCACTACCCCCTCTTGTGTTACATAATTTAACGACGGGCAGATACATAAATTATATGAAAATCGATACATCTCGTCCGCCAATATTCGCCAAAAAACCTAATGACACCTAAAACAAATTTCGTATTAAACATTCGATAGGAAAACGAGGAAATACACATTATTCCTTGTAAATTAAAAAAATTGAGAATACTTACATCTGACAAAGGATTGGAAAATTTCCTCTAAGTGTGCTTGATTGATTTTGAGACGGAACCAAACTCACACTGATCAATTGTGATCCTTGACATATTTTGCAATCCTTTAGCTTCACACTGACTTAGTATTATTCCTTTGTTTTCCTCTGTAATTATGATAGCATCTGTACTTTGCACTTTTGTCAGTACTGCATGGTCACCACTAATTTTTATCTCGTTGCATTTAATATTTTCAATTTTGTAGTGCAAACCTAACACAAGTATGGATAATTCAGTTAGAAACGAAGAGCTGTTTTGGTACGGATTTGCTGGTAGGCCTAACGTTGCATATCTCACGTCGGAAATTGTATTATTTGTGCCAGAGAAAACTATTCGAACCAACCCTTCAGTGACGACTAAATCGGATAAGGAACAATGGGATGAACCATCGTCGAAATTGACATTAAAATAAGCAGACGTACGGTTTTCTATCTTCACTTATTCTATAGAATTGCAACTACCTTGGTTTTCAATTTGGTTATAATAAGATATGTCGGGCAACGGGTAATAATAAGCGGAAAACGCCACAATGTCACTAAATCGATTATTTGATCCGCATAATTTAATCCTGTGAAACGTGTCGTCCTTCTGACGAAATATGACCTTCATATTTGAAAGAGTGCAACTGTTTGACTCGACATTGATGGAGTTGGAATGACCCAAATCTATGACAGTTTTTGATCCTCGACCAACAATCGTGATGTTGTCGGTGCGTAGGTAAATGCTGCATGAATAGGTGACCTCCTGAAGTTGAATGGTGGATCCAGGTGAGGCATATTGGACGCATAGGCATAACTCCTCACTTGTTTGGGCAACAATTTCTTGCGCGGGTTTCATTGGTTCAACTAGTATTTCGGCAATTTCGTACACGGATTCGAATCTATTTATCGGGTCCCTCTTAGTACAGGATATAATAATTTTTCTTAATTTATCGCCCAGAAGAGGATGCTCCTCGACTAATGTTTCATTTCCATCGTTCACCAATTTGTCGAATAAATTTGCGTTTTTATCTGCTTGGATTAATGCTGTTAGTTCCCAAATAATTAGTCCAAAGGAGAACAAGTCCGCCTGGTAGGAGTATTTCCCATCGGATACTTCCGGCGCCCTGTACACCTGGGTCCCTACACTGCTCGTGAATGTGCTACCATCTTCAGGAAGGATCCATCTTGCCAAGCCTTTTGAAAATATGCACAAGTAAATTTGAAAATACTTTACATATTTAAATAAGTTTTGCATACATACCGAAGTCACCGATTTTTATGGGAAGACCATATTCAAATGTTGTGAACATAACATTGTCGGGTTTGAGGTCGCGATGAATTACTTTATTATCGTGTAAAAACTTTAGGCCCTCTACCAAATCGGTCATGATTGCGGCTTGTTTTACTTGAGTATAAAACGAGTTCATAGGTGGTTGGAACACATGCAGCCAATGTTTCAAACTTCTTCCGCAAAGTTCCATTTGGATACAAGTCCAATCCATGGGTGACCCCATGAAAAACTCCTCTTTATACCTAGCTTAAATAGTTGGTGGCGATAATGCCAGAATTTGCTTGACCTGGGAAATTGACAGTACTTTTTTCTCCACGGATTTGTGAATATTTACAATGTTGTCGTGCATCTCAAGTGTGCGGGGAATTTCCAACTCGCGACGTTTCTGGCCGTCAGTCAGTACTTGATTGGGAAGAATAAATTTCATGGCGTACATGTCTTTGGATATTTTTACTTTTAAAACGACCCCAAACGAACCGTGACCCAGGCAGGATTCGTACGTTGTTATCTCGTCAATAAAATCAGGACGGGGTTGGTCAACTAATTGAAGGGGTGACAGGTCAAGGCGTGATAGGCCAGGTTTTCCAGGATATTTTCCTGCCATTGGAGTATTTGGATGGACAGATTTTTGCACAATAAGCGCAATAACCGGTGAGGCTGGTTTGCAAACGGTCAGTGCAATAGTTAGGTGGAACTAGCTTATCATCTCGAGATAAAAGTTATCTCTGAACATGTTGATATGAATTTGATTCATATCATTAAATACTTATACATATGTATGTATATACTTGTGTATGAACTCCAACTTTGTCATATAAGTAAACCTGTATGTAGGTATGAATGTGCGGTTGCAAAGATTTATCGAAGTACGTATACCACCTGCTTTTCGTATGGAAACCAAGTAAATTATAACTTTGCTCGATTTAAAACAAACTGTTAGAAACGAAATTGTTCTGGGGCAGTAATTAATGTCCGGTGCACAATGTAGCTGTTGAATCTCATATTCTCAATTTCCCCATATTTAAAACTCCAACTCGTATTTACCACCCAATCATTATGTGGTATTTTTTATTTTCCATCTTTCACTCTTTCAGCAACGTCAGCCACAGGAAGAGCTCTCTTAAATTACTGTTAGTTACATTTAATTTAAAACTAAATCGAAAATTGTATTCATGCGTATATGTAAATACATAGAAGTTAAAATAAATGTTCGTGTAAACTCAAAATACCATTAAAAGGCATTAAATAAAAATTCTATGACGTGTCACGTTTCTGAGAAAGGTTAAAGCTGATGGTTTTTTCGCGATCTCAACAGTAGCAATAAAGTGATGACACACAGAATTGTCCTTATGTCACGTCCACATCATCTGCCACCACTTCCGGAAATCTGGTCAGCGTCGTAAGTTAAAAATATTAATTCCTATTTTTTTCCTATAACTTTTCCGTATCTGACCTCTCCCCTGTTATTAAAAGTCACATTTCGGAACAAATGTCAAGGAAAATCGTCCATCAATTGTTTATACATTTCGGCAAAGTTCCAAATTTTGCAGACTGCGAGGAATTTACCCCACATACTTCTTTTTGCATTTAATTCCTCTCTATTTTTTACCGGCACAAAGTTTGTGGCTCACTTTAGGTAGCGAATTAGTTTATTTTGACGGCGTACGTTGTGCACGGTCCTATTTACATATGTACATGGCGATCAAAAAAAATACCAGAAATGCTTTAATATGTCACAGTATGATGTATTCATGGCCAATCTATCAATTCCATATGTCATTTTTTGTGGACTCGACATCTGATCTAGGCAAAAGCAATGTCCATATGACAGTACGTAATTGCTGCATACATACATAAATTAAATTCGTAGTAGTGCAAGCACTTACCAAGTAAGTAGAAGAGATCTGTGTACTACACTTTCTGATAAACTATGCATGTGAGTATGTAAAAGTAGAATATGTACTTACAGAACTACATACACCCCGACACATGCTTGTAAGGAACGTCCATACATATATTACGCCATTCTTTTAGTGCGTGGGTGGTTTAGGTCTATCTATCTTTTCCATATTAAACTTCCTTCCCCCCTAATGTATAAATACTGTTGGTGGATGGGTGCTAACATCGAGAATTTTTTATGACGTAATATATGGATGGCCCCTTCTGTACGTAGACTTATGTATGTCCTTCATCTATAAATTAATAAGAAGAGTAATAAATACGTCGTACATAACGTTTACTTTATTCTGGACAGTGACAAAAGACGGATACATATTTATTCTAGTGTGATGACATTTACATCGTACTTAATCTTTCTACTGGGATTGAGTGGATCATGCAGGGTGGTGAGTATTTACATATTTTTCAAATTTTTCGATATTATCCATGTAAATTTACAGACTTAGGTTTTCATAATTGTAAGTAATATGGTAATTAATATCTGGTATAATGGGATATTTAGCAAATACAAAATTTTACGTGATACTAATGATTATTGAACTGGTTTAAATATTTTTTTTACTTGCAATCATGGAGCGTCAATATGTTACGTTACCGAAAACGTGAGAGGATGATGTTGGGTCGCACATCTTACTCGTTTAAAGGTTGATAAGAGTCGGATAAGTATAAGGGTGGTCTGAACATCGGCGGCTAGTGTAAAGACCTTCCCTTAAGTGAATCCAATATGATGTATGCATGCCACATGTACATTACTACTCATATTTATTAACAGTGTTTGTCATGAAAACGAAGACAAACTTAAAGAAATTACTGCCAAAAATGTTTTTTTGTTTCCGTAATTTCAATAAATATACATATTTTTATGCTCCGTATAATAAACAACCATATAGTAGCGTAAAACCAATTTTAATATAAAGGACGGCGAATATTTCCTGCATGTATTGCATGCCCCCTGCATTTTTTGGATTTGTTTTGACCCAAGAAATTCAGAAAAGGTTCAATAATCATGCACCCATAGTGTAAAGTTTTGGCGAACGAGGACTTTATGTATTTTGTGTGTAACTCGGTGGTAAATGTGACCGCAAGCAAACTTTACACTGTGTAAATAAAAGGCGGCGTGGTCGCAAATTAGTTACTGGGTTGGTGTCATTTATTATCACACAAAAGGCCAATATTACAAATTTAGAGTGTAAAATGAGACGAGGGGACAATTTAGAGGTTACGATGTTCTTCCTCGTGATGGTGAGTCGACTCTGATTAATTTTTCACAAAGTTCACAAATATATTCGGCAAGGCACTGCCACAAATTCCGCCCATCTCCAATGGGCGAGAAGGAAGGAGACGCGGAGGGAGGGGGTCACAAAAAGCTTTAACCAATGAGAAGAAAGGTGAACAAGGTTCACAAAAGTTCAAGTTAGTACAAAAAAGAAGATAATATGTGGTCAATTTCCACTTAAATACAGACTGACTGGCACCTCATTTAAATTTTCCTCCCTGCTCTTTCTCACAATTCACCATGCATGTACATACATATATAATTTATCATGACAAATGCATACAATCATGAAGTCAAATATTCATAAAATCATTATCATCATAATTCAGTCAATATTCTTAAAACTAATTATTCTAACTAATCGACGACACATAGTATAAAAACCCATAGTATAAAAGTATAAAATTTCGGCTAACCCAACAGTTAGTTCTTAATTCCTCATTGGATTATTAATATTTGTTTAGACAGAAAGTGCGGATCAGCAGAACGTTAACGATCTTCTGAAAGTGGTGAGGAAAAACTATGTACATATTTGTACGTTTTTAATTAACCACGACATAATTTACCTTTCTGCACAAAGTTTGCCGATCGATTGTCCAAAATTCCCACGAAGGATGACCTGGCCGCTTTGGAGACGAGATTCAATGCGAAATTGGATGGACTAAAATCTGATTTGGAGGCACTAATCAAAGGAGGGAGTAGGAAAGATGAAGGAAATAACGAGGGAGAAAATAATCATGGAAGGAAACGTAGGTCGATGCAGGTGCATATTTTATTTTTTTGCTATATCGTCAGAATAATTTGACTGACCGTTTGAAACGAATATTTAGCATGATTGCTTAGTTTTTATGGGTAATATTTCTTCGATGACTCCATATCTGCATCAACTTAAACGATTAGGCGATGCATATAGAAATTAACCTGCTACGTATTTGTATGCAAATACTTGCTGAAAAGAATAAATAGAAAAGAATTCTACTTTTCACTGAAAAGTGGAACTATTTATTCTAAAATATTAATGTATTGTCCTAGCTAAAACCTCCCCTTTTATCTTTACAGGAACCAGATTTCTTTGCATCAGATTACAGATTGGGCTTATTATCAGCAGAAGTGCGGAAGGTAATGATGTACATATGTATTTATGTATATGTAGACCTGTTTGTTTAAATTACTATGTACGCTTAAGACTTGCACTAAAAATGTATGACCCAAACTATTTATTTAACCTTGACCACGTTCCAAAAACTATATTTCCATTAGAGGACCTTTAAAATTTCCAATAACGTACGGACTAAACAATCTGTCGAAAATCTTGAGAAATCCTTAGTGAGATTGCTCATCACTTTATTGTATATATTGTGTCTCTTTATTCAACTTTCTTTCCCACATCATCGCACACAATGAGTTACGCAAATAGTTCAACTACAATGTTCTACCTTGGGTGACACAAATTATAAACCAATTTATCTATTCGTTTACTTTTAATCTAAAAAAAACTGTCACCCACAGGATCATATTTCAAGTAAGAATGTACCGACCTACATAAATACAAGTGTCGTACCCAATTACAAAGTATTGCACATAAATAGCTTAGAAAATCAGAGATTACTTATTAATCTTAATTACTCCTTTTGTACAGTCTTCTTTTAACGAGACGTGCAAATTTGTCGAGCAAATCCTTACCGTTCAAACGGAGCAAGCCGCCATCTTGGAGGAAATAAGGAATACTACCGCCAAAATATTTCAAAGGAATGGTTCCATCTTGAACGAGGCTGAGCTATCCAATCCGAACGTATTCGAAATTCCAGACCCAAGCACTGGCCGCCTGAAAACATTCTGCGGGGATGATTTAGATCTTGCTAGTTCAACTTTCCCCAAAAAAACGGTATTTACGAACTTCAAATTTTTAAAATTTTGAAGGGAAGGGAGGCGATGTGGTGGTTTAACAAAATAGCGTACTAACAAATCCTGATTTTTTCTGATACGGGCTAAATCTGTGCATGAGTTGTTTGAATTTAATCCGGTAGCAATCGTAAAATACCGTTTCAAGTTCAAAAAAAACATTCTTAATAAATCTACATAAATTCCGCCACAGCTCATTTGCGACAAAGGCTGGATCACAATTCAGCGAAGAGGTACTCCAACAGCAGGCTGGAATGAGAGAACAAATTTCGAGAGGAATTTTACCGATTATTCTTATGGTTTTGGTCTCCCGCTTTACGGCCAGGATTTCTGGATTGGTTAGATTAAAAATATCTTGTTTTGATCAATAGGAAACGGACCCGCCAAATAAGCTAACGACGAATATTAAATCTTCACAGGCCTGAAAACAATTCATGAACTCACGGAGGCGGGATATACACAGTTACGCGTGGACCTCGAGGATTGGGAGGGCAACAAAGCGTACGCGACGTATGAGACATTTAAAGTGGGTGGTCCACAGGATAAGTGCAAATTAACGGTGAAAGGATACAACGGAACTGCAGGTGGGTGATTGCACGGGAGTAGAGTAACCTAATGAGCTTTTTGATGATATGAAAGATGTTGGGAAACGAATTTCTGGCAATAGTTGTGGTTTGTACAGCCTTTAATCTACAATCTTTGCTCGCCTTGTAGACTACAGTATACTTCAGCATATCCATTAATTAACCCATAATTAGACCAATCAGTTGTTATTGATTACTAAATACATGGTTTTCAGGAGATTCCCTAAGCCGAAATTCTGGAAAAAAGTTCACCACATTCGACAGTGATAATGATGAAGACAAAATTAGTAATTGTGCTTCGCAGCACCGGGGTGGCTGGTGGTATTGGAATTGTTCTGAGGTATGCGTTTCATAGTAGAGTTCGATAAAGTCGGATTTAGGATTATTTGATAACCACTTGTTAATTCATAGAGCCAGCTGAACTCCATATATCATACTTCCAGCCGAGAGGACAAACCTCATACAGGAATAATCTGGTACCAGTGGAAGGGCGACGAAAAAGGTTGAAATGAAGATTCGTAAACCACACAGGATCATCTAAAAATAAATCCCGTCTGAATAGTTGAATGTATGTATGTATGTATGTATACAATGATTATTGCAACTACATAACGCACATTAATGTTAATGGTCACACCTGTACGTTGAACATCTTAAAATACGATACTAACAAATAAGTATACAAATTAGATATGTGTGTACTTACTATGATAGTGCGAAATAAGTATATGTAAACATGGAAACAGAGCCATAGAGAAGAACCTACTGGACTTTCTCAATTATTATCAGTGCTCTGAACGTTCCTCTCACAATGGTTCTTTTGTATGAAATTGACTGCGGTTAGTTCCAACATTAGGAATAAACAAATTTAGACTTCGAATACCTATTTTGTCTAATTTCATGCATAGCACAAATTGCCTCAACAAACTTTGGTTGTCTTGATTTGGATTGGACCACATAATTCCCTAATTTTAACCAAATCGGAGAGCTACACTTCACACGATCGCATTGTCAGTCAAATCAAGAAATCATGACGTGTGTTGCGGAATTATGCAAGACCAGCCTGTCAATCCGTGTCTCCTTTTTTTAGAGATTCCTACATACTTTGATCTCGGCAAAAGTAATATATGCAATGCATACGTGCTAGGGAACGTCCATCAATTATGTCACCGAAAAGTAGCGAATTTCTAGACCCCCCCCCTCCCCCTGTTGGACATGTGTCACACAACAATGATGTTATTTGAGCCTTGGACCTCGCCTCCCCTTTCTCGCGTGGCATAATTTATGAACAGTCCCTTAATTAAATTAGCAGTAGCCTAAGAAGTTACGAAGCAGAGTATATCCTTCTCCACACTTTAGTATGCAGTGCACGTACCAACAAGCAGAATCTTTATTCACATGCATATTATACACATTTCGGTAATAAATAGTAACAACGTGGTAAACTTTACTTTATTCTGGACAGTGGCCAATGGCGCATGCATAGAGGGTGTTCCGGAAGTAATGCAACTTTGGTAAAATGCATATATGCAAGGGTATCAATTTGCCCCAAATTCGAAATTGGGTGAATATTGTAGTCCACACATTTATCTAGTAGAATCCGAAAACCAGAAGTCGATATCTCTATCCGTTCCAAAATGAGGTCAAATACCACCAAGCAACTCGCAACCATCGTCTGCCACTACCTCGAAAAAGTGGTTACGCGCTCCAAGAAATTGAGCTGTGTTCACTTTAAAAAATAAGAAATTCCAAAAGTGACGATTTGTTGTGTTATACTAAGGTATGAGCTGCAAAAAACGACTAATCGCAAAAAATATCTGGTCGGTACATTCGTGTAGCAGCCCCGAAAGTAATAAACTTCGTGTAGATAGAAATTTGTTATGTCGGAGCGAAATTCGCTGAAGTACTTGAAGTTCTCACCGAACACCATACATTATTTGAAAGCTTAGAAGTTGGACATCAAATCCTAGAAGGTTCTAGAAGCTTATAAATATAGTCAAGAGTAAAATAAAAGTAGCAAGCAGGAGGGCAGAAAAAATCCTTGACCTGAAGTAATTAAAATTAACCAAAATTGATCGTCCTGTACAAGACGATTTACTGCTCAGATTATCAAAATGCTTTTATTTGCACATAGTACAACTCTCCCACCTTCAAGAAAACCATTTATGCAAAACTGGAAATTAAATATAAGCCAAAGTATCACGCTCCGCCTTAAAACGGATCAAATGCAATTAACATGGGAGAGGTGAACGTTCCCAAATTTGCCAAATACAAGACCTATTGACAAATTTTAGTTCCTATGCTAGAAAAAATATTGTAATCGAAAAACTTCAGTCAAAAATTTGAACTCATTTCAACACATGTGGTCAAAAATCTCAAAAAAGGTGACCAAAAACAGTGGCGAAGCACTAATTGTGAGCGCCCAACAAAAACGTCTCCAAATTTGGCGGAAGGGGTGTACGGACCATTGGAAGCAAAACTTAATTAGCTTTAACCTTTGTCCCTTTCTGACCAAAATTTCGCTTTAAAAAATTCATTCGTTGAGTTTATATGTGCATTTGACCAAAGTTGCATTACTTCCGGAACACCCTCTGCACACTGCTATGACTTTTGTATCGTACTTAATTTTCATCCTGTTCTTGAGTGGATTTTATACGATGGTAAGTACAGAAATACTTGTCAAAATTTGGAATATTAACTTAATAAAGTTATGATTTCACGGTTTCTTCACCTTGAAAATTTGTATTCAGAAATTAGTTTTATGATACAAATACTCGTATTTGGCATGATTTTCCAATCGGCTTATTTGTATTTATTTATTTTTTATTTTTGACGGGAAATTTAGCGAGGTGAATGACGTTCAAATACAACATTACCTTTATTGAACAAATCATGTATCGTGGTCATTTTGGTACATGTCTCGCCCCTTAACTCCTTGGAGGCCTCTATGTTCCCCGAAAAGTGTGTGAACTGCATACATATATGTATATGTACATTGCTCCACTTGAAATAGTTGGTTAAGAATTTATAAATGATCGTCCAAGTCAGTCCATTTAACTGTATCATGCCTGATTATAAATTCAATTTCACTTATTCTAATGTGCATAACTTGTCATATTCTCACAACCGAAGTTCAGGTATTGATCACCCAAGATGCTTGCAACGCTTGGATTTTTATTGGGACCTAGGATGCAACAATGGCATTCCAGAAAACGCAATTCCTCAAGGAATTAATGAAAGTGGAGAATTTTTTTACACTAGACGTGCCTCACATTATTATCTGAACTATGTGGTAATGGTCATAGGAAAAGTGCGTTAGTACGAGCTCACTGATCCACACGCATGTACAATGGTGAGGAATTCTTCACAAGTTTTAACATCCTGGTGAAAAACCATAAAGTTAGAGAAAAATGATGAATTTTGAGTATGTATTTATGGACTGTCAAATTAGTTAAGATTTTAATACCAGATTTTATTTTATCCAATAGTTCACAATTTTTCCTATATACAGACCTTAATCTCATAACCTTTTTCCCAGAACATAGACCGAACGAGCACTTGCTATTTTCTGAGGGTCATGCATGCAATCTTGATGAAAATTTGAAAGTATTTTATAAAATCACTCAACGGGAGAGAAACAACTCCCAATTGAAAAAAAGTTTTAAAAATTAATTTTTTCGCCGCTAAAGTTCAAAAAGGGGAAATAAATGCGTTTTTTAGTGTAAAAAATAATTTTATGTGGCGAAAAGCATTGGGCTGTATTCCCTCTAATTATTTATACATTTTTGATATGTACATAGGTCAAAATTTTGAAAAATTTTGACATTAGTGGTTGACCCTTCTCATAAGCCGGATTGAGTAAGTTATGCACAGTGCGGTTGAGGCCTAGATCATGAGAAACCCGCGGCTTCCTTCACTCTATGGTCTGGAGGCAAAGGTTTCTAACTCATCCGCACCATGCATAACTTACTCATCCTCAGTCCGGCTTATGAGAAGGGTCAACCACTAATTTCAAAATTTTTCAAAATTTTGACTTGCATATCAAAAATGTATAAATCATTAGAGGGAATACAGCCCAATGCTTTTCGCCACATGAAATTATTTTTTACACTAAAAAACCCGTTTATTTTCCCTTTTTGAACTTTAGCGGCGAAAAAATTAATTTTTAAAACTTTTTTTCAATTGGGAGTTGTTTCTCTCCCGTTGAGTGATTTTATAAAATACTTTCAAATTTTCATCAAGATTGCATGCATGACCCTCAGAAAATAGCAATTGCTCGTTCGGTCTATGTTCTGGGAAAAAGGTTATGAGATTAAGGTCTGTACATATACCTAAGCACTCTTAGGAATTATTTAATCGTGTTTTACAATATTGACGACGCATTTATGTGTTTTATTCGTTATGGTAGAATAAAATTTCACTGGGAAGAAAATAGTTGAACATTCAATAGGAAAACGAGGAAATACCACCTTATTCCTTGTAAATTAAACAAATTGAGAATACTTACATTTCCTCTACGTGCGCTTGATTGATTTTGAGACGGAACCAAACCCACACTGATCAATTGTGATCCTTGACATATGTTGCAATTCTTTAGCTTCACACTGACTTACGAGGGAACCTCTTATAGTGCCCGGAGCTCCCAGCATAACCACTATGTACATTCGACGTAGATTTTAATACTAGTCCGATGATGTGACAAAATTTCCGTGTCAAAATGACATTTCGTCAAGTGGTGACGACTTTAGTGACGCCCCGAACGGTCACTTTCGCCCATGCTTTCAAAAGAGGAACGCTTTTCACCACTCGCTCCTCACTCATCTCACTTAAATCTCAACCCATTTTTTCGACATAATTTCCCATACGATGGATGGATTTATAATCACGAACTTTACTATACCTACGCCTTGTCTTTTCTAATTTTTTTTGGCACGATTGTAGAAGTTAAGAATATTCACCATCTCTTGATAGGTAAAATTTACACCGTCGACATCTTCTTCCACCCATTCCTGTGAGGTTCGTTGCGACAGACTTGCAGAAGCTTCCTCGCCGTCTTGCTCATCTTCAGAATCCTCATGAAATTCATTTATTGTATCACTATCACTAATTAAATCGTATGCATCGACATAAGTGTCAATATCACAATCATAATCAAATTCTAAAGTAATAGAAGATTCAAAGTCCGTATTTGAATTATCAACTAAATCTTCCACAAAATGCAAAATCCGGTCAACAATTTCAACGTTGTTAACTGGAATTGATGAAGCGTTCGAATCTCCCGAATACCTGTCCTTGGCGATTTTAAGAACAGACTCACAAATTGATACAATTATAGACATTCTATAATTTTTAAACTCCGAATATTTCAAGGTAAAAACTAATATTAAAAGGCTACAAATAGTAAACAAGGACCATATTGTCAAAAAAGTTAAATTGGATGCGAGTTTACTCAATGAGTAAATGGGATGAGATTTAAGTGAGATAAGTGAGGAGCGAGTGGTGAAAAGCGGTCCTCTTTTGAAAGCATGGGCGAAAGTGACCGTTCGGCGCGTCACTAAAGTCGTCTCCACTTGATGAAATGTCATTTTGACACGGAAATTTTGTCACATCATCGGACTAGTATTAAAATCTACGTCGAATGTACATAGTGGTTATGCTGGGAGCTCCGGGCACTATAAGAGGTTCCCTCGTTAGTATTATTCCTTTGTTTTCCTCTGTAATTATGATAGCATCTGTACTTTGCACTTTTGTCAGTACTGCATGGTCACCACTAATTTTTATCTCGTTGCATTTAATATTTTCAATTTTGTAGTGCAAACCTAACACAAGTATGGATAATTCAGTTAGAAACGAAGAGTTGTTTTGGTATGGATTTGCTTGTAGCCATAACGTTGCATATCTCACGTCGGAAATTGTATTATTTGTGCCAGAGAAAACTATTCGAACCAACCCTTCAGTGACGACTAAATCGGATAAGGAACAATGGGATGAACCATCGTCGAAATTTACATTAAAATAAGCAGACGTACGGTTTTCTATCTTCACTCTTTCTATAGAATTGCAACTACCTTGGTTTTCAATTTGGTTATAATAAGATATGTCGGGCAACGGGTAATAATAAGCGGAAAACGCCACAATGTACTAAATCAATTATTTGATCCGCACACACTAAAAATTCGAGGTAACCCTTTTTTTGTGTAAAAATGATTCCAACACTGTACATTGTAAACCGTGTCCTACCGGGAGTAAAGTCGTCAATGCGATATGGTGTTAACCCATGAGTGACAGAGTGCCGAGTAAATGTCGACGGGCTTACTCGTCCCCGGGTTAATGTTACCCAGGCACGAATTATGCCACTGCAATTTACTCTTCACGGAGTAAGAAGGAAGCGTCGGGCGGCACGAAGCTTTGTCAGTCCACCACTCGCCAAAATAACTTTAACTTTGTCTGGCTGCCGTAAATTTGATAATTCTGCTTAGATAAATAATTAATAATACATAGATACACAATTACTAATAATTAGTTAGCATAATCCTTTTTTGGTACACAAACTACTAGTGATGTCCAGTTTTACTGAAATAACACGGCAATTGAAATAAGTGCAATGTGATTTGAGCGATTACTTCCCTAAGTTTCAAGGTCAGTTTTTATTATAATTTTGTGGGGATTTGAAGTCATTCGTACTAAATATTTAAAGGTGTTTTATTTTTCAGATAACCACACATGTGAGGACACCTTGTCGACGTTCAAAGAGACCGACCTGGTTCCGAGCATTCGAAATCATTTTAGACTTTGGACAGCCATTAAGAATTCGGGCAACTATCTATAATTTATTGGGTTTTACATAGTTATATTTAGATATTTGACAAGCATAGAAATAGCTTTAAATTGTTACCCACAATTTTGTTACACCTAATTAAATATGGAGTTTTTAATTGAATTTAATATTAATTGTCTGTTAATACGCATACATTACATGGATAACTCAAAACCAGTAAAAACAACCCCGTAACATGTAAAGTGGTAGCTCGGTACCGAGCTAACGGTAACCCCTTTACGAGTTATACGCTAACCCTGTGCGGGGCTAGCCACCAACTCGCTCAGGGTAAAGTCGGTTACCCTTTAGCAAATTCTCTCGGTTTACTCTGTACAGCGTGGAATCACTTTCAAGTCCGCATACCTCTCCCTTGTTGTTAATGGTCATATATGCCGTATTTGGCAAAAATTGCAGAATAAGGAAAATCATTTCATTAGTTTTTTTTATATATTTCGGAAAAGTTTCAAATTTTTTAGATTACGTGGAATTTACCCCACATACATTTTTTTGCATTTGATCCCTTTCAACTTTTACCGGCACACAATTTGTGGCTCACTGTAGGTAACGAATTGGTTCATTTTGATGGCGTACTTTGTGCACGGTCCAGCATACATAGATACATGGTACTCAAAATTAGTTTACCAGAAATGCTCGAATATGTCGCAGAATGAGGTATTCATGACCAACCTATCAATTCCATGGGTCATTTTTTGCGGACTCGACCTCTGATCTAGGCAGAAGCAAGATTACGTTATTCTACATGCATATGTGCATACATAAATTAAATTCGTAGTAATGCAAGAACTTACCAAGTAGAGGAGATCTTTCTACTATACTTTCTGATACACTCTGCATGTGAGTATGTAAATGTAGAATATTTACATAACTACATAAACACACATGTCTGTTAGGGAACGTCCATATATTACGTCATCATTTTAGTGGGTGGGTGGTTCACGCCTTTCAGGTCTTTCTACCTTGCCTGTGTTAAAATTCCTTCTCCCTTAATGTATAAGTACGTTAAGTAGGTGGGTTAAGGTCGAGAATGTTTGATGACATTGTATATGGATAGCCCCTTATGTACTTCTTCAATAAATAGATAAGAAGAGTAACAAATACGTCGTAAGTTTCACTTTATTCTGGATCGTGGCAAACGACAGATATATATGTACAAACCTATTTATTTGTGTGTGATGAGTTTTACATCGTATTTTATCCTCCTCCTCGGATTGACTGGATCTTGGTGGTGAGTATTTACATATATATTTGTCAAAATTTTCGATCCAAATTTACAGAATTGGATTGTAATATAGAGATTAATATGTATTTGGCCTAATGTATTTAGCAAATACAAAATTTTACGTGATACTAATGATTATTGAACCTATTTAAATGTCTGCATTTCTTATTTTTTGACTTGCCATTATGCAGCGTGTATATATTTCGTTATCGAAAAGGTGGGTGGGAGGTTTGGGGTCGTCGATCTTACAAACTCGTGCTAAGGTTGGTACATACATATGTATGAGTCGGATAAGGAATTTTCTTAAAATCGGCGTCTACTGTAGCGACGTTCTCTTAAACGATTCCAATGTGATGTACACATGCATTCATTCCACATGTACATATGTAAATACATCAATATCAATATTTATTAACAGTGTTTGTCATGAAAAACGAAAACAAGCTTAAAGAAATTACTGCAAGAAATGTTTTTTGCACGGATACATATTTATATGATGGGTATGGGGGACAACCAGAGCTGGGATAATCCTGATTAAGGATTATGGATTTTAATCCCGGATTATGGATTATTAATCCATAATTCCTAATCCGGAAATGTGAGTTTTTTGTAGATTAATCCCAATCCATAATCCCGATTATTCTGGAATTAGAATTAATCCGGGAATAATCCCATTTGATTTCATTAATCCATAATCGTGATTACGGATTACTAATCCTGATTAATCCCAATCATGATTACTAATCATGATTATTAATCCAGATTAATCCAAATCATGATTACTACGTATTCATGATTAATTCTCAAGCTGGATTACTCAGTTCAATTCCCATAGTTCCATTCATCCCACAGTGTAGCTTGAAGTCTCAAGTTCTCACAATGTTGTTCTGTCAGCTACCATTTGAAGAATCAACATGTTCTCGCTGCCCTGTGCTACATACATATATGTATCAATTGAAACTGGCATCATTTTTATGTGAAACCACGTAGTTGAAATTTTTTGCGCTAGATATAGTGAAAAATCATTAATCACCAAATTAATCCGGATTATTAATCCATAATCCATAATCCCGAAATTTTCAGAATTTATGGATTAATCCGGATTAATCCTGACATGAATTAATGTCACGAAAATAATTTAATCACAATCCACATTGTTTTGTGGTTAATCCATAATCCTTAATCCACCCTCAAAAACCAATAATCACCCAGCTCTGGGGACAACCCTAGCGTAGCGTATAACCCATTTTACAGACTATGTACCATAAAGGACCGCGAATATTACGTGTATTGCTTGCACCCTGTATGTTTTTATTTGCTTTAGTTTTAACCCAAGAAGTTCAGAAAACGTTCAATAAAATAAATCATGGACCGATTATAAAATTCCTACTAAACCAACAGTTCTAAATTTGTCTTTGGATAATATTCGTTTGCCTAGATAGAAAGTGCGGATCAGCAGAACGTTAACGATCTTCTGAAAGTGGTGAGGAAAAACTATGTACATATTTGTACGTTTTTAATTAACCACGACATAATTTACCTTTCTGCACAAAGTTTGCCGATCGATTGTCCAAAATTCCCACGAAGGATGACCTGGCCGCTTTGGAGACGAGATTCAATGCGAAATTGGATGGACTAAAATCTGATTTGGAGGCACTAATCAAAGGAGGGAGTAGGAAAGATGAAGGAAATAGCGAGGGAGAAAATAATCATGGAAGGAAGCCTAGGTCGATGGAGGTGCATATTTCATTTTTTGCTACATGTATCGTCAGAATAATTTGACTTACCGGTTGAAAATAATATTGAACGTGATTGCTTAGTTTTTATGCCTAATATTTCTTCGATGCGTACATAAACCTACACTCTAAGGAACCCGGTAACTAAGTTATTCCCAGGCAGAGTATCTACATATATATGTGACTCTACCGCATTGTAATTAGTTTATTATTAAGTGGTAGACATTTTGTTGCCAAACCTGTAATCACCCCTGTCGCGAAATTTGAAAATATTACCAGTTGGTAACCAATTTTCTACCACTCACTAATAAATAAATTACCTTGCGGTAGTCACATATTAAGATACTCCGCTTGGTAATAACTTAGTTAGTTACCGGGTTTCTTAGAGTGTACATATGTATATCTGCATCAATTTAAACGATTAGGTGATTAGGTGATACACCTAGAAATTAACGTGCTACGTATTTGTATGTACATAAACACTTGCTGAAAAAATAAATATCTTTACTTTTCAGTGAAAAGTAGAACCATTTATTTCTTTATATTTATTCTTTGTTAATTTATTGTCCCACTTAAAACCTCGCCTTTTATCTTTCAGGTACCAGATTTCGTTGCATCAGATTACAGATTGGGGATATTAACAGCAGAAGTGCGAAAGGTAGTAATGTATAATTATGGGAGGTAGTAATGTGAGAATTTATGTATACCTGTTTGTTTAAATTATTATGTACGCTTAAGACTTGCACTAAAAATGTATGACCCGAACTATTTATTTAATATTGACCGCGTCCCCAAAAAAATATTTCCATTAGAGGACTTTTAAAATTTCCAAACACGTACGCACTAGACAATCTGTCAAAAATCATGAGAAATTCTCATTGATAATGCTTATTATGACTGCATTGTATTGTGCCTCTTTATTCAAGTTTCTTTCCCACATCCTCGCTCATATTGAGTTACATTGTTCAACTAGAACACTTATTTTACCTTTGGTGACAAATATTATAAACAAATTTGTCTACATACTCGTTTAATTTTAATATAAAAAAACTGTCAGCCACGGGATCATATTTCAATTAAGAATGTACCGACCTACATAAATATAAAGATCGGTCACGATGGTATCGGAGTGACGAAATAAAATTAACAGAACTTTTTACACAGTTAATGCAATTTCAAAAAAGTTGCATATGTTTACGATCAAAGGGTTTGGATTGCCATACAGTTCAAGTTTTAATGATTCAATTCCGCTGTCTGCTACAGATTGCAGTTTCTTCTTCCGATTTCGCGTCAAATTCCGCCCATAGACTGCACCTACTTTCAAGCTGATTTTCTTCCATCTGTTCTTAAATTTTCGTAAGCTGTCTGGCCTTTCTGAAAGCTTAGAATGTTTGGACTTAGTCAGCGCTCAGAATTTCAAATTTGGTGGGTTTCCATTTTTTTGCACAAATTTCGCACAGTACCGACATCTTTTTCAGATGTCGGTACTGAGTGACCTTTTTGGCGTCATGGGACCTTGCGAGGTCAGGCCAAAACAAAACTTTATTTTTTTATGATCTTTAGTACTAGGTGGCCCAAGTAAAGTGTTAGTAGATTGAAACGCTGTAGCTTAAGCAGTTTTTGTGTTACAAATTTCTAGTAAATTTTAATGGAAAGCCAGTTAATTTTTAAGTAAAAAACAATTTTTGGTTTCTGAAATTTCCTCCCCCAACATTAACGCAGAGCTGAAGACGCTGCGTACAGCCCTTGATTGGAGCACGCTCGGAATCCGTGGACAAATAGCTCCATTTCATGATCAAAGAATTTTTTTAAGCTTTCAGACTTCTAGGAGGCTTAGAACACACCTTTGCCACTAACTTTGACCATTTTTCATAATCCGGGGATTTAAATCCAGCAGGGAGGATAACCATTCCATAGTTGATATAAAGTCTGGAATTTGTTTTTTTAGCAACGCGTACATCATTTTTTTCACTATGCACTGGTGCTGATTTATGCTGCGAGGTCTTATCGAATTCATTGAATAGGATCTCACTTAGGGGATGTTCCACGGACTCAAAAATATATTTTGAGAAATTTTATTCCTTCACCTTCCCCCTATTTTGGATAAAATGTAGAGAAATTGCCCCAATCAGCTCTAATCTGCCAAAGCCATCACAAAACCTGGATGATGTGAACCTTTGACCTCTTTTCTGTACTGGGGGACATCTTTGACAGATTTGACCTAGATTATGGCACTTTGTGTGCTAAAAACTTCTTCGGACGTGAAAATCTCCCCATCTGTAAAAAGAATCTTCTTCTCGTTCGATTCCTCTCTGTCCGGGAAGCTATTTGCTAATCCTACTCGGCTCGGTGTTAGTACGGGGTGGGTGCTCCTCTCATGGTTGGGTGAGCCCGGCCAGACGGACTGGCAATGCCAGAAAGGGGAGCCCTCACAGAGTCCGTTCTCTGCGAGAAGATCCAACTCATCGCCAGAGATATATGGTGAGAAGGAATCGTCACGGATTGAAAACCAGATGAGTTAATCTGATATCTAATGACGTTAAAGGATTATTTTCATTTTTTCATTTTTCACTTTTTCGGCGCGTACCGCTTGAGGAAAGCCCCTCATTTAATTAGTAGGGCTTTCGTTCTGGGTATCATCAAGAGGTGGCAAGTACCACATTTCAAAATCTTAACCTTAAGGTTCAGTTTGAGCACTTATTGGATAATCTGCGTCAACAATGTCAGCTGTGAAGCTATTTTCCGTAGGAATTTCGTGGATTTCTTAGGATTCTATCCTTCAGCGCCTTCACGATGGTGTGGTCCTTGGAGGTTTTCCAAAAATTTGTCTTCGACTGTTCTTAGTCGATGGGGTCCTCATCAACGTTTTTATAACCCGCTGAACTAAATTAAAGTGCACGTTCGATTCCTGTCACATTTTTCAAATTCGTCATTTCTCTTCCCATTTTTTTGGTGAAAAATTATCGTCGCCCGCGTCCTTTCTAGATTTTCTCTGCCGATATGCTTTGGAAGCAGTTGAAAACTGATTTATGATATATATGCAAAATCGCACGAGGAATCCAACGCACTTATCAGATTTTCATTATCTCTAGCGATTTTAAAGTTATTAGCTACTAACACTTAGCTTGGGCCCAGTAAGTAATAAATGATTCCAATCCCCCTTTAATGCATGATTTAAAATAAACCCCCTGGTTTACAGTGCCCTCCAAAATAACGGGATCGAAAACATGACCAATGCTAGACATGCGTTGCCAAATTCTTCATTGTTTTGTGAATTGGTCTTTCTTTCGGACTTTGTCTTCATATTTTACTTCACAGGGGTTGGAACTACGGAAAAAATGCCTTCCTGGAAGATTTGAAGTTTCATCTGTGACGTGGGGCTCATCGTCCATGATGACCACTTTTCCGCGAATCTTCATCAACAATTTCTTCCAGCACGCATGAATCCTTTCCTGTTGTGTTGGTTTGTAATTTGGTGCTGGTTTTTTCCCCTGGCTACAATCCCTAGTTTATGGACTTTGATTTTGCTCAGATAACTTTTTGAAATCTTGCCCTTCCATGTCGTGGCAGCCGTTGCCGTTGATGAATGATTTTTGAAGATTTTTTAAATCCGATTTTTGACTTTTGTCGTCGCTAGCTTTACAGATCGAGCAGTAGGGACTTTGAATTTGACGCCATTGGATTCCTCGTACTTTTTTGTGTGTTAGTAGACGTTGGAATCAGAAATTCCTTCTTGTCTAGAAAAATGCCACGTAGTTTTGGAATCACTGTTTACTTTATTTTTATGAAACACAATCACTCTTTTTCCCAACTTTTGCCTTTCAACCCAAGTTTTTCTAGTCTTAGCCATGACTCAATAATTGGTGACATATATCGATGGAAAGCTTATACTTTGGTCTATTCAAAAATAATTTTTTCGAAATTTAATTTCGCTGTGTTCCCGCCTAGCGCACCCTTTACGGGGCAGTCCGATACCATGGTGACCGATCTTTATATGTATTGTACCTAATTACAAAGTATTGCACATAAATAGTTACGAAAATCAGAGATTAGTTATTAATCTTAATTTCTCACGTTGTACAGTCTTCTTTTAACGAGACGTGCGAATTTGTTGAGCAAATCCTTGCCGTTCAAAAAGAGCAAGCCACCATCCTGGAGGAAATAAGGAACACTACCGCTAAAATATTTCAAGGGATGGGTTCTATCTTGAAAGAGACTAATCTATCCAATCCGAACGTGTTCGAAATTCCAGACCCAAGGACTCCCCTCCTGACGAAATTCTGCGGGGATGAGCTAGATCTTGCTAGTTCAACTTTCCCCAAAAAACCGGTATTTACGAACTTCAAAATTTCTTTGATAAATAATTAAATTTAGCTCATCACTGACAACTCGTAGGCATTTTGCGATTTTCACTAGCTTAATTTTAATTTGTTCGTGTTCAAAATGTAATCCGTACAAGCGCACTTAAAAAGTATCTTCAGTCTCACTCTTCAATCGTGCCCACCACATTGAGGGAGATTATAGATTCAATTTAAGTACAAATCTCATTTTGCCCCGACACAACCCCTTAGCACCGATAGGGTGGTCTGATTGGCCCGAAAAGTTGATAGTGTTGGACACTGATCTCGATTATCTCTAAATTCTCTATGCCTTCTCCAGTTATCGCTTGGAAAGATCAGATACCTTAAGCAACTAAAGTTTTTAAAATTTTGAAGGGAAGGGAGGGGGTGGGGTGGTTTAGTAAAATAGGGTTCTAACAATTCCTGATTTCTTTTCTGATACGGGCTAAATCAGTACATGAGTTATTTGAATTTAATCCGGTAAAAATCGTAAAATACCGTTTCAAGTTCAACAAAAGCATTCTCAATGAATCTATATTCCGCAACAGCTAATTTGCGGCAAACGGGTGGATCACAATTCAGCGAAGAGGTACTCCAACAGCAGGCTGGAATGAGAGAACAAATTTCGAGAGGAATTTTACCGATTATTCTTATGGTTTTGGTCTCCCGCTTTACGGCCAGGATTTCTGGATTGGTTAGATTAAAAATATCTTGTTTTGATCAATAGGAAACGGACCCGCCAAATAAGCTTACGACGAATATTAAATCTTCACAGGCCTGAAAACAATTCATGAACTCACGGAGGCGGGATATACACAGTTACGCGTGGACCTCGAGGATTGGGAGGGCAACAAAGCGTACGCGACGTATGAGACATTTAAAGTGGGTGGTCCACAGGATAAGTACAAATTAACGGTGAAAGGATACAACGGAACTGCAGGTGGGTGTTTGCACGGGAGTAGAGTAACCTAATGAGCTTTTTGATGATATGAAAGATGTTGGGAAACGAATTTCTGGCAATAGTTGTGGTTTGTACAGCCTTTAATCTACAATCTTTGCTCGCCTTGTAGACTACAGTAGATATTTCTGACAAACATAATATTATTATACTACAAGTTGTACTACATAAAGTTTGTCGGAAATACAGTGTATCTAGTGCGAACGCCTTATCCTGAATAGTTATTCAGAAGAGATGGACGATAGGCCACAGTTTTGAACTTCTTTAAATACCATGCAATGTGAGCGTGGGATTTGGAACTGTGTTAAATTAGAGAGATTAATGATTCAGGACTTGGCTAGGTATCTCAAATCTGAATGTATGTACACCTCTCCAGGTACGTATATATTCTGATTCATTTGTTATCAAATTTCCATCGATATATAGAAAATTTGGGAAATTTTCACTGAAAGCTATTTCCTGACTGTTAAAAATTGGAGCAAATGATCTCTTTTTTCGACATAATCTAATTAGCATGAAAATATTTTATACTTTCTGTAAAGCACGAGAAATGCATTTTTCCAATTTGTAAGCTATGTTTGAATGAGTGTTTTGAGTGAGTTTTCAATAGAAATTTAAAACTAAATAAAATCGCTGCCTATGAAAACAAGATAAAAATTTAAGCTAATTTAAGAGTTTCTCTTTTTCCGGTTTTCAGCTTCTAAGATATCTAAATAGTAAATTTATCAAATGTGTAAATAAATGGGTCCCAAATCTGGATACAAAGACTCCCCTAAACTTAAAAAATAAGAAAACTATACACCTTTATTACTAATTTCAGTATATTCATTAATTAGTCCATACTCAGACCACTCAGTAGTTATTGATTACTAAATATGTGGTTTTCAGGGGACTCCCTGAGCCGAAATGCTGGAAAAAAGTTCACCACATTCGACAGTGACAATGATGAGCACAAAGTTATTAATTGTGCTTCGCAACGCAGGGGTGGCTGGTGGTATTGGAATTGTTCTGAGGTATACGTTTACTGAGAAAATGTCGCATTTTGCATTATTTAATAACCACGTGTTCATTCATAGAGCCAGCTGAACTCCATGTATCATACTTCACGCCGGGAGGAACAACCTTATACGGGAATAATCTGGTACCACTGGAAGGGCCACGAATACTCGTTGAAAAAGGTTGAAATGAAGATTCGTAAGCCACCCCAACCCATCTGAATATGTTGCTGAGCTTTTATTCTGCTCATGTGCTTTTACTAAATACAGATCAGGTTCAGTATAAATACATAAACATATATTTCCCATTTACATATGTAGAAACTTAATCATACTTGTTGTGAAAGTCTAGATACATACATACATACATACATACGCAGAATTGTAGTCTTTATTACTTTTAACTTCATCAAAAGTCTACAGATACATGGTTGTTGAATATGGTTTACATATAATCAAAAGATAATGGATAAGCCATGGATAGGTATATCTAAATATGTATATGGATAAAATAATTCTTGCAGTGTGCAGAATTATCTTGTCAAGCCAAATAGATATCCTTAAAGCTTGGCTAAAAATGTACTATCAATCACGCACCTTTTCACCTTCATTCATTTGATTGATTATTTTAGCGCATGAAAATGAAATTCTTACCAACAGCGTGAAAATTACTGAAAGATTCCATCACTTCAGATAAATTACTGTGAATGAAACAATTTCTCCCTCCCTTCATTACTCGCCCCATGGTTAGCACAACGAGTGAAGCAAGAAATGAACCCTGACGAATTGAAATTAAATAAATCACGATGAAATGAAAGGACTGAATGTATGTACATCTGAACAAAAATGAGAATTCTCTGCCAAAAATCGGGATAACTGACTCACGAACGAAACCCATTTTTTGAACAGGTATGCTGTAAATATTTAAACGGTCTCCCCAACACTTCTCAACACTTTTCCAATGTAATTAAAATGCTTCATTCATAAATTGCACAAAAATTCCTGGTGATTTGTGGCATGAAAAAATACAAAAAATGCACAATATACCTTGATTTGATCGTAATTTATCAAACTTTCCCAATTGTTAGCACCGCTCGGAACGTTCCTTTTACAACACCTCGAATGAACTTGAGCACGGTGAGTCTCGAAATAATGAATAAACCTTCTTTTCCAATCCTCAAAGGTCGGCACGCCTTCCTGAATCGCGACATGTATGATTTTTCCTGCGACGTGCGAAATTGCATATGCTTCCAAGATTTCAAAGTTATTTTCGCATTCCCATGAAATCGTCCACAGACTTCGAGTGCGAAGACCCAACCAATCTCTGCCGAGATTGACCACCCGAGAAGCAGCAGCTTAATCAAGTCAAAGATCATAAATTATGATTCATAATGCATTATTAATTTTATACGCAAAGCTGTAAATACAGTCAGGTAAAAAACTTTGCAAAACCCTTTATTTTTTACATTTATAATAGAAAATTTTTTCAAGCTAGACTGATTTTTTAGCGAGTTATGTCAAAAAATCGAGCCGAAAATTAGGAATCACACGGCACTTGTATTTTGCCCCTATTGAGGAAAAGTACTGGGGGCAACGCCACGCTTCCGTTTTGTTTCTCTCCCCGTGCAAGAATAAACCAGAGAAAATGTACTCCCAAAACGAACTTTACCGCCAACATTTTTTTCAAAGGGGCCATTTAACTTTAAGGCAAGTGTCGGGCTATTCCTCATTTTTGGCCTCATTTCTATATAACAAAATCAAGCCATAAATTATTCCTGCAGAATTTGCTACCATTTTATCAATTACAACCGGAGCATATTCAGCAGGAATGGGGTTGACCTCAAGAAATATTGCCTTACTTACCTTAACTTGGGTGGCTAGCTTGGCCTTATCGATGATAACCGTCGCATTCGCAAACAGAACGAACTGGCCGATGGCAACATTAAACCCGGCAAGGGCGTAGCCCGCAATGGCAGAAATTTGTGCATGCATCAATTCCACACATCTGTATTCCAGCGGGAGGTTCCACGCTGAGCGGAGTGCGTCTCGGGATTTTTGGTTTTTTCCGCTTACGCGGAATTCGGAGCATAGCAGCGGTAAGGTTGAAACTGGGTGAGAAAAGCAAATATCTATTAAGTCATTAGCGGTGTTACGACCAGTGACGAATAGTCAGTTTGAGATTTTACGTACATTCGTTTTTAAATTTCGATTTTTATGTACGAGGGGTCCGGCATAAGTCTTTGTGTTGACCATGATACCACAATAAAATTGGGATATTATATTGACATTATCAGTTTTCAATATAATCCTCTGCGAGGTCAACACACTTGGTCCGATTGAATTAAAAACCTCTGTCCCGGTTTTATGAATGGTTTTAGACAAAAAGTCAAAACTGCTGCTTTTACCTCATAAATGGTCGATATCTCCTCCCCCTGAGGTTTTTTTTGAAAATATCGAAACAGGCAAAACGACCCTCATTCATGGTCACCATAAAGACGTATGCCGGACCCCTCGTACATAAAAATATCGAAATGCAAGACTTAAGATATATGGAGAGTAATGGAAGTTTTAAAAACGTAACATCCAAAGCTGCCTATTTGCAATTGTTTATAGACATTGAATTGGCGGAAGGTGAGATTGAATTGTGTGAGTCATCCTTTAGCACCTAATGATATTTTAGGATGGGATACATGCTAGGTGCATGTTCATGCACACACTTACAGATCCACACAACACCCAAGAAACCAAAGACGATCAGAGTTTGCCATCCCGCGAACCCATAATAAACTGGGATGACTGCGAACCCCCAATAAATCAGGGGGTGGCGCCTACACTCGTCAGGAAGCAGGTTTGTTGGATAAATTGGAGTTTCTGGAAAGTACAAGTAGTGGTAAATTGTGGCCAATGGTGCCGTAAGGAAGATCACTGTGGCCGAACTTATCACCACATCGAGACCGGTCCCTGTCAAGGATTGGTTAGGGCTGTAGTTGATCATCCATTCACCTGTTAACGTTATGAAGCATCTGTTTATTTAACGTATGATGTAAGACGTATGGTGATGTTGATTTTTCGTTACAGAAATCGAAAAAATCAATTAACTAAAGCCGTAGAATAGTAATATGGTGATAAATTTTGGAAATATTAGGTTATAAAACAAAATACAAAGGTTACAAAGCATATATATGTTTCCCATTTCTTCTATTTCCCACCAATTTCAGATGGGTGCAAAACAAGCCTTTCCCCACTGTTTACCGCTCTCCTGCGCGGTTTCGCTTGATTTTAATCAATCGAAACCCTGACTGTTATACGTAATTTATAGTTCTAATGAAAAGTTGTACCAAGCCTTGTACTCAGGATGGGTTTTTCACATGAATAAGTTTTAGAAAATTTGGAGAAAGAAACTAATGCAAGTAATATTTTGCAAGACACTCCCATTTTATTACACCTTCTACACTTTAAGACACCTGGTGATATTGTAGAGCTGAAAGCCTACAAAACGCGAATTCCATCGCGTCGACTAAATTAATTTAATTAACCAGTCTAGACGAGGTCATAGATTGGCTTGGCCGTGAAGGCGAACTAAGTTAGTGCGGGTGAGATACCCGCAACCCACTATATAAGGAGCGTCCGAGCTCTCAATTACGACCACTATGTTCTTGACTCGCGACGCGTCGACTTCCATGCATATGTATGTATGATTACTCTCTCTACTAATAAGCCAGCGACTGGCACTACCACTGAGGACAGAGGTAGCGGCTCTAAGCCCCCTTCTTGCTAACTAACACTTCTTATGTAAATAAATCTTTACTTGATTATGTACTTACTGTCCAGTGCCACCACCACTTTCCTGATTCGACTCCAGTCCACCGCATACCTCTTATATAACACGAGTAGGACTCGGTATAACTAGAGTAGGACACGCATTCACTCCACAGCTCAGTTGAGCTCTCTCTCCTTAAACACTGGTCCATTCTTAAATACATGGCCATGCTTAACAGCATTGCCATTCTTATAAACCGGTGAGCCAAAGTTCCACTTCCAGTTCCAGTTCTTTGGTTACTCACTCTCACAGACAGACACGGCGTTCTAATCGCTTGGTGTCTCTATATGTAAGTAGCACTCTCTTCTAACTCGCTTCACCACACAGCGTAACGCTCTCGGTTGCGCTCACTCTGCAACCCTGCAAGGATTGCCTCTTCTTCTCAGTGCTCACCCTTACAATATGTAGACGATCACTGGGCGGTGACAATATGTATATGACTACCAGAATGGTGAAATCCTGTGGTGCGCGATCACCATTCAGGTAGATTCATATATAGTCACCACAAGGTGATCGTCTATCACCAGGTTTCTTCGAGTGTAGTAAAATTCAACAAATCCTTCCAAACAAGTATGCAATTTAATACGAAACAAAGAACGTGCCGCTCCGAGTGAAAAATCCCTTCTGAGTACTTAGCTTAACGGTTTCTAAGAAGTAAGTTTCTAAGATTCTGTCACAAATGGTAATGAGAATTTCTGATGGTCAATTTTCTTATGTGTCAGCCTTATGAAACAAAGTATGTACACTATTTTACCTTCAAAGTAAATCGCGTACCGGACGATTTGAGTCATAACTTGGCAGGCAGGATTTTGGAAAATATTTATGAAAATGGAGCTTAACGTGACGGCGGAAAAAGATAAGGAGAAGGCGTACGAAGTGCGGAAATATTCATGCTCATTTCCACCCTTGTAGAGAAAAATTTCCACAGTTCTTCCCCAGAAAAAGCTATTCACGAGAAAGAAAATTGTTGTACATTTGAATAATCGTATTCTGGAACGTTTTGTTGTGTAAAACGTTTTGGTTCGTGGGTTGAATTTGATGCTGCTCGCGCCAAGAAAGAGGGAGGGGAGGAGGGCGTAATGAAGCAGTTTTAAAAAGTGCTTTGAGTACATTTTTTAAGGAAAATGTGGAATTTTTGACAATTTTGTAAGTACGCATGTAAATGGTTTGGGTTTTGAGTTGAATAGATCGGATAATGAAAAATGTGAATACTTTATTTTCAAGAACTGCTTAAAAAATGTGACCTAATTAATTTAGAAACAAATTAAACTGCGACATATCGATTTCCATTAATTTGGAGAAAGTTTGAATTACAATTTGGATTAAAATTTGATGAAGAAATGTGTATTAAATGCGGCATTGATAATTCCACCCCCACCACCACCCAAATCCACCCCCACCACCACCCAAATCCACCCCCACCACCACCCAAATCCACCCCCACCCCCATCTAATCCACTCCACCCCCACCCCCATCCACTCCACCTTAGCTAGCCTAGCTACCTAGGTTCTATCTAGCCTAGCTAGCTAGGTTTGCTAGCTCAGCCTTCCACGCTTTCCGCGTATCTAGTTGATCTAACCTAACCTGCTCGCTTCGCTCGCTAATTACGAACGATACCCCAATATGAAATAGAATCTCACTTTGCCCCAAGGTATCTCACGTTGCCCCATAAAAATTGTGGGGTTGGATGGGGGTGGGGGTGCGGGTGGATGAGGGTGGGAGTGGGGGTGGGGGTGGGGGTGGATTTGATGGGGGTGGGGGTGGATTTGATGGGGGTGGGGGTGGATTTGGGTGGGCGTGGGGGTGGAATTATAAATGCCGATTAAATGTGACGTGGATTATTTGAATTTGACTAAATTGAGCATCTCTATTTATATTAATTCTAAATTAACGAATATATCCATGTAAAATGCAGGAATTTATCTGCAGCTCAAATTAAACCCAGGTACGGTGCAAATTTTCTGACAAAATTGGCAATCATACCAAATATTTTGAGACTTTTGCAATCTTCAAATTTTGTGAAATGGTACATAATCGCGTAATGTATGTAGTTGTTTAAGTAGTCAAAATTAATGGAAATTGATGGGATGCCAAATATGGGATTAGTTGATTTTAAATATGTTTAAGTTACTTAAAATTAGTGAATCCATTTAAATACATGTATGTACTTACATATGCATCGAATTTTGGGGATTCCTTAATTTTGCATGTGTGCAACCTATATAGACAAATCATGTGTGTCACATCGTACCGTACAGCTAATTTTGACCTTTAATTAGTTCAAGCTTTGAGTCAAGTGCACCTACATATGTATATATGTAAACGCAAAAATTCCAATCAAATCACAGATTCATTTTAAAGAAAGCAATATTTACAATTATTGTCTTTATAAATTTTTAAAAATGTCGTGTTTTTTTTAATTTCATGAAAATAATAATGCAAGATTGTTTGGACTTTTGCCTTTTTGATTCTTGGTACCTACAGATACATATGACATATGTCAAAAAATGTGGTGACGACACAGATGTATGTATGTATCTACATATTTATTTGCATTTACGTACACGGTTAGAAATCCGGTATAGTCACGCAGGTATTGATTTCTCAGTATTAAAATTGTTACTGCTTGTTATTAAAATTATGTATACCGGTCCGTAAAAATTTGTTATGTACCAATAGTGCAAAACTTTAATACCAGGTTACCACTACACGGTGTTATTTATTAATACCACGTTGGTAGAGTCATATATCAATACCGCCTGGTATTAGTTTAATACTGGATTTCTAAGCGTACGTATAAGACGTCCCAACTACGTACATAAAGTAGTTGAATTGCTCCATATTATGTTTTGTGATGCATCAGCCGTTTCGGAATTGAGATGAATGGAACTGCGTAGAGAATAATTTATACTGGCTGTATGAGTCATCATGACTCACTGATATGTAGAATATGTACCTCATACATACATACAAGATCTTGTGCAATATTACGAAATATTGACGTATGTAAGCACGAAGTTTGCGTAATTGATTTGATGGAACGAGATGGATTTGATACAGTGCGGGCGAAAAGAAGAGTGCGTCATGAAAATCCTCACTTCTCACGATTTGTTAAATCGTGCTTCTGGGGGATAAGACTTTACTACCAACTTTACTATGTAGAACGAATCAGGCTTCCATAAGAATAAACTATATATTTTACTAAGCTTCCATAATTATATTTTTATTACATCAGATCTTAAAAAGTTGGATAGACCTTTAAAATGCATATTCAGTTGGATTTTAAATATGCTTTTGGGTTGTATTTAGCTATGACAAAAATAGCGTAAAATATGATCTTTATATTCTTCCACTATGAAATTTGGTATCGATGGATCTTGTTTCACTACTGTTTTCACTACATTGGTTTTCGATTCGAAAAATTCAATTTTTGCGATATCCGGGCTATACAAACTCAGTAAAATACTTCAAATTTTTTTAAATCTCGTTGGACATAATGCTGTTGTTACTGATTCTTACTAAAAATCGTGACAACATTTTAACCCGAGTGTAAAAACCTTTGAGCCACCCGGTATCAATTATGAGTAATCGATCGCATCGAAATTACTAATGTTCTCGAGGTGACAACGATAACGATAAGCGACTTCAATGGACAGATAACACGACTTGACAAAAGTTTCCTTGCATACAATTGTGCGAAGGTTAGAAATAACTGACTCTGACTTCGACCTTGCGACGTGTCGAGCTAAATATTCTGTCACACAGGAAATTATAAATCATGATGAAGATTGCTCCAATTTTTTTGGTCGTCGTCGTTATGGCGACGAGCGCCGTTCAAGGCGCCACCCTTAATGAAAATAAGAAGGGGGAACTAAAAAGCAAGCCGCTGGAAGGAGGAGGCGCCGGATTGGATTGGGAGTGTCCCTCGTACTGCGATTACTGCGCGGGTGACAGATGCTACTACTACGACTACTACTATGACGACGTGGACTTAGCGTGAGTTAAATATGATATGATAAAATACAATTTTAGTTAAAAAATCAGGAAAACATTTTTGGAAATTTCAATTATTATTTTTTAGAGTTTATGTAGAATAGAACTAATACAGTTTATCATTCGAGGTAAACATGTTCGTTAAAATTGGAACGAATTTGATAGGTTCGATTCCTAGTGGATTTGTTTTTCCGTGCCAATTTATTGGGAATAATAATTTTTTTAATGAAGAAGTGCTTGAACAATTGTTCTTTTCGAAGTTTTGTCGAGTTTTATTTGAAGTTGAGTTCGATTCCTAGTGGAATTAGATAATCATTTTTTCTTATAACTTGTTAATTAACGGCCTAACTTTTATTCCAGGGTGGGCTGGATAGTTGCCATTGCGATCACCGTCTTCATAGTCTTCTTTGTCTGCATTCCTGTCGGACTTTGCTTCTGTTGTGGATGGTGCTGTTTCGCCGGTTGTCGGAAGCGGGATCAACCCGGGATTGTTTGTGAGTTTGAATACTTTAAAACTATTATGGTACAATACATATCCTACCTCTAAATATGTAGGCGTAAAATTAATTACCTATACCGTTCGGTAAAAATTTGCCACCGAAATGGTAAAACTTATTACCACGCCTGGTAAAAGGTACCGTGGCCACGGTACGGTACCAAACGTATGTACATAAAGGTGGTTTAAATGTCACGCTACCATTGGAAATTTTTCAGCTGGAAAACCCCCTATATCTCCATGAGTTAAAAGATTTTGGATTGAGGTTTTTATAAAATTTTTATCAAAACTGATGACAAAATTCTTAAAATGTTGAATTTTAGAGACAACATTTCGGTAATAAAAATTTAGGAATATTTCCCATCGAAAAATTTTCTACATAGTCTCCTACATAATAAGAAGTGATAGTAGAGTAGGCGACCATATCTCTATTGTTTTAAAGAATTCCAAATTTATTTTTATTCCACTGAAAAGCCAGTTAAATTTCAAGTAGAAAACATGTATTACACTTGAAAATATATTCCTCCTGTGACCATGAAAAATTAGTCACAAGAGAAGATAACTCTGTCAAAAATACGCACGAAATTTACTGACAAAGTGTATCATTCCCGGGTCAGAAATTTTTTTGTTACCCACACACTTATATGGGGCTCACAACAGACCTTTTTCTCAATTTTAATCAATATTTGGTAGTCAAGTTGAGTGCGGTTCGAAAATGCTAAGGTCAAACCTAAAGTGGAAATGAAGTCAGAAATTTGGAGTTTAATCCAGTTTTTCACGAATTTCGCTGTATTTGTTACTGTAAGGCTGAACACAAGGGTCAGTGGCTATTCACCCAATATGGACTAGTTGAGGGGGTGTTCCTTCTTCACAAGGACATTTATCAAATATTTTTTTAAACTATCTCCTCTCCTTAATCAAGGAAATTGGGCGGTTTTTGCCCAATTCCGCCGATTCTCGCCAAAACCATGAATGTAGGCCGATAAGATGACATTTGACCTCCATTTCGTAATCAATTAACCCTAAGAATATTTGACACAAAATATGCTACTTCGTTTGTTGAAACAAATTTTTGTCGTAAAGAAATTCTCATCGGTAAACGGGTTATTTTGTTTTTGTTTTTCTACCGTACCGCTGGGAGAGGTCGATTTTTTTTACCTTAGCTTACGTCTGGGCACTTGGGGCAATCTGTAGCACTTGGGGCTTTCAACTCTAAAAGGCCTCCATCTTAGGGTCATTTTTCAGTGCTCATCTGATTTCTAAAGTTGAAAGTTCATTTGTATGGCCAAAGTCTTCGGTCTCAGACAGATTTTGTGGTAATCTGGCGTTCAAAGCTTCGGACATCACTGTAGTCCTCCTTGACCTTGGACCAGAGGAACTTTTATCTCAAAGTTAGACACTGTCCCTAGGGTTACTTTAATAGGTTGGGCAACCAGATGGTAGTTGTCCCTGAATTGCTACCCTATATCTAACATTGTGAATTTTTCGTCTAGCGTGAAAAGTGAAAAAATATTGCCGCGCGCGTATGGTAAAGCTCCTCCATCTTTTGAGCTAGTGATGTCAAGTAAAAGCGGTCAACACCAATGATAGGCACTGAATATATGCACAAACCGCAATTGACCTTTTAATTTTATGTTGACCGGTTCAAAACTACGCTCTACTATCACTTCTGTTAGGAGACTATGTATTGTAGCCAGGGTTGTTAAAGAGACAGTAACTTATCAAGTTACTGTCTTTTTAACAACCCTGTATTGTAGCGTGACATTTTAACCACTCTGTCCATGTGTATGTACATAGGTACACACTTACCAACACAACTTTAGTAGCATCATGCATGTACAACGGTTGGGATTATTTTAATACCGGATTTCTTAGAGTGCATCCATGTAGCAGATCTTTAAAAAAATTTAAATTATCTAGATGTGCAAGGACCACCCCCAGCGGGTTGGGGACAACAACCAGGGGCCGGTCAGCAACAGCAGTATGGACAATATCCCCCAACATACCCACATCAGCAACAATACGGACAACAAGTCAACACATAACGCCAGAATTGATTTGTTTGCAAGTGCATAATTTGTCTTTTCAAATTTATAATAGTATGAAATACCTATGTAAAATTGTAACAAAGATAATAAATTAATTAACGTTTTGTGAGAGTCTTACTTTTTATATATTATGAAGTTTCAGCACTAATTACAGCACATGCTACATATGTATGTATCCGCTCAATGAAAAACCACATTTTTTTGAAACGATATGATAAAAAATTATGGAATACATACTAATTAGGCAGATGTTAAAAAAACATTCAATAATTTTATCAGTTAAAGGCTAATTTTACTTTTAAATGAATTTAAATTAGTCATTAAAATATCTATTCATATTAATTTTACTGATTAATTCGTCTCTGTAATAGCTAAGGATAAGTTAACTTTCGTATACATATATACATATACATACAAGTTAACTTTCGTAAGTTAGCTGGATTTGATGGCCTCTCCATGTAATGAGGATGGGCGCCTTGTGTGGCGAAGGTTAAGATGCATGCACACAGAGTATTATGTGGAGAGTATAAGGAGAATATATAGAGAGTATAATGTGTTAAGATCGGAAGCAAAAAAATTTCATAGCTTGTTAAAGCATTGGGAAAATTCGAAGACTTGGGTCACTAAAATCGTCAAAACTTTTTAAAAAAACGATATTAAGACGAAATTGTTTCGCATTATTATATAGTGTGCATTGCATGCGTATAGTAGGACAGCTGAAGTCTCTACTCTCCTAGTACATATATTTGCTTAGGATTAGTTAGAATCAAAGCAAATGATAAGATTTAATTTTGTTTGCATTATCTGTTGAAACTAATTGTAAGTTTGATGTAGGTAAAATAAGATAAGATAAATATAAAAATTAATTATATTATGTAAATATGTATGCTGCATGACAGTGCTCGCAACGGGTCGGGTCTCAGGTGGGACCCGGACCCGATCAGGACCCGGACCCGAATTTAGAAACGGGTCTTCGGACCCGGTTCACCCGGGTCCCATAACTACTGATTCGGACCCGACGGGTCCGGGTCCGGGTCTTGAAATTTCTAGACCCGGATCTGGACCCGAGACCCGGGTCTTCCGTTCTCATATTACATCTAAGCTTCAAAGTTCCCTGCTTTGATTCCTTCAAGATATGCAGCAGTACTAGATAGTTCTAAAGTATGCACGAAAACTGAAGGAGGATTGTACTCCATGGCCCCATTTCCGCCCACGTGACATCCCCTCAAAAGCATTACCTCCGCTAGAACTGCCGCATTTAAACTTTTACCAAAAATTCAATTTTCGCTACCTTTTAGTAATTTTCCTAATTTTCGTGATCGTGCATTATTGTTTTATCACATCCAAATTGAACTAATTTTTTATAAAAAAAAGTATTTTCTAAAATTTCCTAACCAGGGATATGTTTTCCAAAAAATCAAAATTTCTAAAAGTTGAGTTTGATCTTGGAAATTAAAAAGTAACTATACACTTGCTATCAAGACAGTAAAAAAAATCAAAGATAGAAATTGGATTTTTGGTGATGAAACGGTGATAATTTTTTGTGCTCTTACGTTGGTGTGCTGGCGCAAATTGGGGCATGAAGTAAAATCCTCCTTCGCTTTTCGTACACTCACTTAAATGTTAAATGTTAAACGTTTTTAAATTCTTCTATGATTCAACATATTTATTAAACATAGAATTCTGTCTCTCATCACCCCAGATTTGAATTAGTCATAAGGACCCGGTTATCGGGTCCGAGTCGGGTCGGGTCCCGGCTCCGGTTCCAACCGTCGGACCCGGATCCGACCCGAGACCCGTTTGTATACCATATAAAAACGGTGACCCGGACCCGGCGGGTCCGGGTCTTTGAAAGTTTTGATCCGGACCCGACCCGGACCTGCGGCCCGGCAAAAACGGGTCTTGGGACCCGGACCCGTTGCGAGCACTGCTGCATGAATATTAAACATGTGTCTGTAGTTTAATCAATTACAAATTAAACCCAAGTGCACACTGACATTGGTAAATACATGAGTTCAGAAAATATGGAAAGGGTGCAATGACCTCTTTTTAAATTGGTCAAGTCGTTAAAATTCTGAGAAAATGGCCAGGTTAAAGGGACGTGCACAATTCCTCAGCGGAAAGGTTGGATTATTGAGCTTATATGTAAATATGTGCATCGTAATGAGACACTTATTTATAAATGCAGGCAAGTAAAAGATTGTCCTCAAGCGTGGAATGTGAAAATTGGCCATAAATATATTCAAATTATTCTGTGAAGTTTGGATAAATATGCACTTCTTGACCTGAGAATCCAAACAGTCATTCAATTCAAGCGATATGAATATATGCATCGACATATGTACAGATTTTAGCTAATCTATGTCATGAAAGTTATCACCCTCTGTAATTACTCGACTTTTCTGGACAAGGGCAATAAAAGATTAACAAAATAAAACTACATATATACACACACATATGTATACGCATGTAACATATTTAAGCACCTTGCACCTGTTAACGTGGTAATACACAGATGTTGTTTTTTATGCATATAACAAATTTATGTTGGCATTTCCTATCTTGTCACGCCAAGTATGAATTAATAATCGTCATATGTGTACATTACCTATGACTGTATACACTACTCCCATACAACAAATGCATTTATGTGCATTGTTATTTCAAAAATGCGTTATTCACTTGCATGTAGATGCTTACATGCAAGTCTCAAAGCCAAAGATATGAATGGATTGAGCTAACGACGGAGCTTTTTGAGACGGAGGAAGAAACGGGAGTCGCTGAGGGGACCTGAGGGTAGCGAAATATGTGCCTGACTCTACGAATGATCAAAACCATTCATTTACCTCTCTAACTAAATGAACTCAATTCTTTATTCTTTCGCCCATGTCACTAATTTGTTATGGATGTATTTATCTTTTCTCGTGAGTAAATCGCATGTTGAGAATTGCTCTGCTCGTTTGTTAATAGAAATTGTAGGACCTCGCGTAGGACTGCATACATACGTATGTGTATGCAGTCTTCAAATGTGCGTAAGTATCTAAATACAAATATACACATTTATAAATCCCTGTAACATACAGTGCGGGAGATAAAAACATATGTACGCATTTATGCATCAACGTCTGTACAAACGACTAACGTATGTAAACGTATTTGTAGGTAAGTACATGTTTCGACGAGATTTTACTTCGAAGAGAAACAATTGTTTCTCTTCTAAGATTTTCACTGTAAATTCTAAACATTCATATCTTACCCAACAGCTAGGTTTAACAGTCTAATTTTAAAGCTAAATATGTTTATATTTTAAAGAGAGAAATCATACATCCTTTTTAGAAGTCAAGCTAAATACTTCCCTTTAAATATAACCAATGCAAACCTTTAGTGAGGAGTGCACCTGAAAAGGCTTCAGTTTCCTGCAAGTGTAGACAAAACCCGTAGTTCCATACTGTCGCCATTTTTTGCTCAGTCCGCCACTTGGGTGACCTGCAAACAGTAGAACCCAGCAGTTACAACCAAACGTGAAAAATTTGTTTATTTACCAATTATCGAAAAAAATTGTTTGGAAGGGAGTAAAAGTGCGATAAATTGTGAGACCATGGGAAATATCATAGATGCCCTTGGATACTTGGAGCTTTCCGGAGGCGAAGTTATTTATGCAGAGTGCGTACTGTATAGTATTAAAAAAGGATTTAGTAATATATTTCGATTGGCTTTAAAATCCAATATTTTCCTTAGGAATTTGTCATCATCAGCGGAGAGAGTGGAGGTGATCGAAGTTGAAACCTCCGCCCCTGTGGCACCAGTTGTGGTTGAGGATGGTCAAGCGTCCAAAGAAGCGGTAGGGCTGGTTTGATGCGGAAGTAGTGGCGAGGGGGACGAGTCGATTACACAGTATGTGCCAATCTAAATTTTTACCTTGATTTACGTTAAGCGTTGTTAGCGGGGCAACTTATACTTAGTAGGATTTAAATAATACCAATTCCTGTGTGCTTCCCGTGTGCCCTGCCATTTTAGTACTTTCCGACTGCATGGGAACCCAGAACAATGATCAAGTCAAGTTCCAACGAGTCCGCGGATTTTGATTCCTCTTTGACGCCATTCCGAGCTGTTTCCACTGTGGAAGCAGCGCAAGTCGTGTCAGCATTCATTTCCGAGGTGGTGAATATGACGCCCATCCATGTGATGGAGGAGAGCATCGCTGTAAATGTTGGTGAAGCAGTAACCAACGCCTCATCAACCTCGTAATAAATAATTGTTCCTCTTTTTGTTATTATTATTATTGTTGTTGTTAATACTACAACTATTTGATGTGTGATCATCTCAGTTATTTATATAAATAGATGTATATATATTGTCAAAAAAAGACCACAAAATTTTCGAATATGATGTGTGCATGCAAATAAGTTACATAATAAAATCTTGCAATTCAAAGTTTATTACATTCGCACGAATTATCACATTTGCCTAGATAAATATGTAAGGCTACTTAACCCATACTTTCAATACGACTCGTAGCTCAGTCGTAAGGGTCGGTTCACTTCTACCAGCTTGACGCAATTCCAATTTATTGATCACACCATATGTTTTTGCATATTTGCTTGACATTGACCTCACGAGCTTAGATTTTACCTCAACGTTAACCTTTGAACCAGCATGAGCTTTCATCCCATTATTACTTATACACCGTACGTACGTACATATGTATGTATAAACCTTACTATATTACATATATTCCACCTTTGTTCAACTAACCAGTGCTTATCATCTCACTAAGCTACCATCCCGTACGTGTTCTGTTTACTTATCAGGACGAGCTTATCAAGACTCAGGAGGGACAGCCATCCAGCACAGCGGAGGATCATGCGGAACAAATGTAAAACTTTTGTAAACTCGATCCTAATTTCACTGAACGATACGTAACTATTTTGTTTAATATGACATCTTTACCCGATTGGTCAGATCTTTCATGCACGCTCCACTCAACACCCACCTGACCCCCTAATCAATTATGAGAGGGACACGTTGCCAGAAGAATTGGAGAATATTCCACCTTGCCACGCCTTGTTGCCCAGGGAGAATTCATGCAATATTTTCTCTTTTGTGGTTAAATTTTAAATCAACCCAGCAACATTTTTAGTCGTGGATGTTGCACATTGCTCATTATTTTGCACAAATATGGCCACGTCGTCGACACGTGATTTCTTTTCAATTTTATTTTTTACGTTGTCGATTGCATACATAAAAGTACGCCCATATTACTCCAGTTGTAACAAACGGAACAACAACTTAATTTTGCTTGTTTGGAGATGGGTAAAACGCAGAAGGGGTTTTAAACTAAAAAAAAACCTCTGGAGAACGGTAAATAATTATAAGTACTAAATAATTAACAACGACAAATCAATTAAATATACTTGTCTAAATTAAACCATATGAGCTACAGTTTTGTAAGTTGGGTTTTGTTTTTACAGAAAACATCAGAAAGTTTAATATCCTGCTGGGTGAGCGACCGTGTAATACTACGTATCGGCACCATTATTAGGTAAGAATTATATAGTAATTATTTAGACTTAAAAATCTGGTAACATAATTAATATCGAGCTTATGTCAATTTGTGGCCAAAGTAATGCAAAGATATTTCAATGTTTGTTACCGGTGTCAAAAGGGATGTTAAAATCCACACATTTTGCCCATAAACTCGCCACCCTGATCGGCGATGTTGTGCGACAATGCGAATTTCTGCAACTATATCTTATCTCTCGCGATAACTCAGGGGTAGTGCTAATTGTCGTAAATAATTGCACTATTGCACGCTACATTAACATTAACAATTAAACCGAAATTCATTCAACTGTCGCTATTAAATCACAAGAGGATTGATGTGTACAGAGAATCTATACGAATTTAATTTCAAACACGCATAAATACATACTTACACACACTTACTAATAACTGAGGGCTCACACTGCCCAACTAACTAATTGTGTTTCATAGATATTATAACCTTAATGTGTCATGGTTGTCAAACAGGTTTTTCTAAACTGATATCCAGTAACACTCCAATAAAGGTTGAATTGAATTGAAAGAAATAATGTTTTAAAAATGAACCGAACCTTCTAGATGAAATTTATAAAGTCCGTTAAAGATTCTCAAACTAAGCTACATATTTAACTTGAATGAAAATAGACAGATGTAAAAAAAATTATAAATCGAATATGTGCATACAAATGTACATATTATTTTCGTGAGAAGTGTACCTTTAAAATAAGGATTATTAATGACTCGCCAGAACACATATTGTTCATGCACGTTTCTTAAAAAGAATTTTAAATTTTTGCAGATCAAAAGGATCCAATTCATTTATCTGAAAGTGGTGAAGATTTCAATCTCAATTCGCTCTCCCCGTTCGAGAGCGGTAACGAGATGGACTTCTCCGATCTTCTGGTCGCTTCTCCTATGCCATTCATCAAGCGACATGAGTTGGGCGGGTCGTTCTCAGAATTAATCTGGTCCCCCATGGGGTTGCGGTTGCAAGAAAATTCCATCGCCTTGGCTGATAACGACATTTCCCTTCCCGGCAGTGATTTCATCAATCCAGCCGAGTTATCTTTCCCAGATAAGATAAGTACTGATGAATCATCCATACCACTACCACCAGCAGCAGAGGCAATCTTATCGTGTGTTCCGCCTCGATGTACTGAATCACCACCACTTGGTCACAACCTCAATAATATTTTATTGCCTCTACAAACCTTATCTCAACCAGCACAACACAACGAACCGAGTTTATGTTCATCTATAAAAAAGAAGAGGGGTCGACCTCCCAAATTGAAACAACCCGCCCCACTAACTCCACCCAGGGTGAAAAAATACGACTTGGAACCTTCCAGCAAACCAATCAGGAACGCTATTGCCGCTCGGAAAAACAGAATTCGAGCGAAGGAACGATTCGAAAAGCTCGAAGCCGACCTAGCCGGTAAGGAAGGTATAATATCGCGACAAAACAAAACGATTGAAAAGCTGCAGGCAGAAATTTTAGAGTTAAAGGCTACACTTGACCGCATCGAGCAGACTTTAAATTCTTCCAGGCGACAAAATCAGACTTCGAATTTCGGAAGGGAAGATGGTAATTGAATATGCATGCACTGTAATGGTTGGGGCCTTCCATTAATTATGTGACGCAAAAATTTTCGCGATTTTTTAGACCTCCAGTACCCTCGCAACATGTGTATGTAACATAGGCACGATAGAATTTGAGCCTTAGACCCACCCTCTCCCCCCTCTTGCAGTGCGTAATTTATGGAAGGCCCCAAGGGGCGCCCACAGATTACGTAACGCTGGCCAGCATGGTCAAGTTTTCGTAATTATGTATACATATAACCGGGAAATGACTATATTTTGTACAGACTTCCGGCAGGATAATTTGCAACTCGATTAGATCTAGGATAAATTTAACACGGATACTGTTGTCAATCCAATTTCACAAATGTTTATTATAAAAATTATCCAAAATGGCAGATAGATAGTTTAACTGCATAAATAATATATGATAAAATCATATCTAGTAAGTTGAGAAGTTCTTGGCGGGAACAATAACTAACAATAAGTATAAATACACAATAGTTTTCCGAAATTATGTCACTTGTACTATACATGGGTAGTAACTTCAATAATTAAAAAATTGAGCCAGGGTTCCAAATTTCATGTCAAAATTTCAAAAACTTACACCGCCATTTATTGTACTTGGAGGACTTTAGGTTTGGCGATTTTATTGCTTAATCCACCCCCATTATTGGTGCTGGATCGCGTGGCAAAATCTTCAAACTAGAACTCCTCCAAGTACAATAAATGTAATCTTTCTCTATCAAAATAATGTTATTGGATAGTTAATAAGTGTGTACGTTCATTAAATAGATGCAAATTACTTTAAATCTAGTTTAAATCTAACTTTGTTTGAAATTGTCATAAGTTTAAAAAACATAGAACACATATATTCAGTAATCATTTGAAATTAAAAAATTACAACGAAAAATCCTAATAAAACAGCTTTTAGATAGGTTAATTTAATTCTAAACACTAATATAAATGTCTCGGTTACTCATATGTATAGTTTGAAAACTGAAGCAATGCAGATTTTGCTGAATTTATCTTTAATTAAAAGAGTTATTTGAGTTTTAATAAAAAGCTGAAAAATATATATTAAATAAAATTAAATCATAGAAAATTAAAACGAAAAAAATCAAAATAGAGAAGCTTTAAAACAGATTGGTTTAGCTAAAAAATAAATATATCTTGTTTAATTATGGATATTTATTAAATGAAAATTGCTTTAGATTTAGCTTTAAGTAAAATCTTCCTTGATACTTAAAAAATATATCAAATACGTATCCTATAACCATAAAAAATTTAAAACAAATAAATCATAAAAAATATTTAGATTAACTTTTAACTCAAGCTAATATAAAAATATTAACATCGTGGCTATACACAATTTTGTACATATGTGCATTCGAAAATTAGAGAAATATACCTCACGTTATTACGCGAGTCAGGTAACGTATCCCAGCCCACAGAACATTTCTACGGAGTTTCTCGTTAGCTCACGTCCCTATTTAAACGACTTACATAAATGGAAAATTCGTGCTCCATTTAAAAAAAATGAAATATACTTGAAATGCCAATTTTCCCTGAAAATTAAGTATTTTCCCCTTCAAACATTGTACAAACGGCAAGCATTAACAGCTCATAAAATTTATCGAAATGTAGGCAACTTCCACTTGGGGGACTGAAAGCGGGTAAATTGAGATAAGTTGTAACATTAAATTATCTATTGTCATCGATAATCCTTAATTCATCCTCTAATTATTAAATAAAAATATATACAAATTTCATAATTCCTTTTTTTCAGAAATTTGATGAAAAGTTTGTCCCGTTTCCGCTCTCCATATTTGGGATTGATGCCTAGCACTTTACTGGAAGATCCTCATCCCCGAACGGATGTTAAATGCACCTTCGCCAATTACATATTCATAATTGTGAAATCGTAAAAATAAATTAATTATGGGTCGAAGCATAGGTCAAAATATTAGGCACATATTTGTACAAAAAATGTTCGTAGGAAGAAAACTCGATGTTATATATTTAAGAACTCTACTGGCTGACATCTTATCGAACCTTACCAACCGTTACTACCGTCCTGAACGTTCTTTTCACAATGTCCCTCATGAATTTGAGCACGGTCAACCTCGAAACTGTGAACAAACCCACTATGCCAATATTCCAAGGTTGACAAGCTTTCCCTAATCGGGTTATGTACGCGTTTTCCTCCTTATTTCGAAATTTCATGTTCCCCCAAGATTTCACAGTTTTCTTTGTATGTTCGTGAAATCGTCCACATACTTCTAGCACGGTGATCCAAACGATTTGCGATGAAATAGACCACAGGAGAAGAAGGAGCTGAATTCAAAGTACAAAAATATACACGTACAGTTTCTTAATTAGCAATGGAAACTCTTTGCATTTTACCACTTGGCCCAGCATTTTAACTACTTAAATAAAATTTAAAATGGAAGAAGCCTCTCGTAGACTTTGTGCAATAATTGGGTCGAAAAATTGCACTATAGTATAATCTCACTATAGTATATAAAAATAGGACTATAGTATACTATAGTCCTAGCCCTACACAGATTTTTGAGTGGTGATTACAGAGACATCTTCTCACCGAGGGAAAATAAGTAAAAAATTCGTTTACCAAACACACGTGACGTCATTATTTACAAAAAATTTTGAAGATTTTGTTTACATAAAGGTATTAAATTTTTTAATAATACCAGTTTTTGACTTATTTCCCGTTGGTGACAAAATACTTTCTCTGCAACCGTTACTCAAAAATATGGCACTTTAGTACCTCAATCGCGGCTGACGATTATGCTTTCATCATATTGAGAAGGTAAAGTCATGTATGTACCTTAATTCTCCCCGCCAACGTGGCCTTATGCACAATGGCTGCAGTATTTGCGAACAGAATGAACTGAGTGACCACCACGTGTAGCCCAGTAATTACGTAGCCAGCAAATTCATTAATCTGTTTGTGCATCAACTCGACACATCTGTATTCCAGCGGAAGATTCCAGGCTGATCGGAGCGATTTCCTGGATTTCTGGTTCTTTGTTCCCACTCGAAATTCCGTCCGTATTAAGGGCAGCATGGATACTGCAACAAAAAAATACTCATGTAGTGACTTATGTACAACGGGAACGCAAACCTTGTTCAACCCATATTATTTTATGACCAGGTTTGTTGATGGAGCACTCTTTAAGAACAACAGGTAGCGCACAGATGTGAAAAATTCAACAAGTTTTAGGCGCCACAAGTTCCTTAAAACGGCTTTCTGGTACCGGAAAGTACTAATAAACCGAGCGTTGTGTCGAACTTGTTCCGCTCAAAACATTGAAATTTTCGCATTGAATTTTTCACGAAATAGATTTCTAAATAATTGCTCTCTAAAACTAACAGGAAAAAAATAATCTGGGTTAAACATAGTTTGCGTTCCCATTGTGGGTAAGAATTTCCCGTAATTTGACTGAAAATCCATCATTTATACACGTTTGTGTTTTCAACTATGATTTGTTGTGTACCGCACCCATAAATATTTAGACTTACACAGCCACACGAAGGCCAACAAGAAGATGACCAAGGTTGTCTGCCAACCGACATACGCATAAAACGTGGGGATAACGGCGTAACCCCAGTAAATTATGGGGTGGCGTCCCCATTCAGGGGGAAGCAGTGTGATGAGATAAATGGGAGTTTCCGGGAAGTACAAGTAATGCAAAATTGTGGCCAAGGGTGCGGTCAGGGTGAAGATGATGAACAACGTTAGGGCCACATCAAGACCGATCCCAGGAAGGGATTTGTTGCAATTGTAATTGACCATCCACTCACCTGGAAAACTTGACAAATTTAAGACACTGGAATTGACCTGGAGGCACTTTAATCAAATTATGAAGTTTGATGGACATTGATGGAGATAACACCTAGAAATAAGCTAGCCATTTCATGTAAAGTAAATACAGTGTTAGTTTTATGCTAGATAAATAAACTATATTAAATCCACAAGAAACTGTCCTTTTTACATAGATAACATTCCTCGAGATCAGAGTTGGGTTTTAATCGGGATGACCCAATGTTAAAGATAGAGGGATTATGGATTGGGATTGACCATTTAAACACAACTCGATTAATCCGGATTAAAACCCAACTCTGCTCGAGATTTAGTACCAAGGTATAGTTCGAGTTATTAAACCAAGAGGGTATTTCTTCTTCCGAAGAGAAGCATAATTTTTAAGTGTGTGCGAGCCGCACATATTAAGCACGCAATGGACCATGGTCGACTGGACCAAAATGACCCACATGGGCCACAATTAGCCCTTGGTCCGCCTGGACCATGGCTCACAAAAAAATTGGTCCACCGACCATGGACCACGTTCTGATGGACCAATTACTTACCTTGGAAGTAAAGGCTGTATCGAACAAGTTGCGTCATAACTTGGCAGATGCTGTTTTGAAAGATGTTTATCAAGAGAAGGCCAGACGTGCTGGCGGTAAAGAGGAACGAGAAGGCATAGGAAATGTGGAAATATTCATTTTTCTTGCCACCCTGGCAGAAAAAAATTTGGAGGGTCCGTCCCCCAAAAAATGCGGTCACAAATGAGAGGAAAATCGTGCACTGGACGAACCGTTTTCTGGAACGTGGCGTTGTATAGAACGTTTTAGTTCGAGGATTGAAAATAATGCTGCTTCCACCAAGAAGGAGGGAGGGCAGGAGGGAGGTTTGTATAAGTTTCAACCCGTACTTTGAGTACATTTTGTTGGAATTTTGATAATTTTATTGAACAATTCGTTTTACTAAAGTATTCAGAATGCGGCTAATATGATGCAAACTTACATAAATATTCTAAAATGGTGCAATATTTATTGCATGTCAAGAGAAAAATATGTATTTATGCATTGGGCTACATTTAAACTGAGGATAAGTAAACGACATATGTAGCTTAATGTTGCTTAGGAAGAAAGTATATGCATTTTAAACGCATACAATTGGGGACTAATAATAGTCCCCACAAGTTCTTCTAATCCGAATATTAGCAAAAATACAACAAACATAAGAACGCAATGCACACAAAAACCAAGCCAATTTTAGTTTGCCTCTATGCAATTAAGCCTAAATTGGAAGGAATAAAAATAAGTGGTTAAAAAAGATAAATATATAATTTTGATTACTTGTATCTTCGTAAATACACGAATTTAGACATTTTTAAATGCGGTAATTAGGTTAAAGTACAAGGCACACTGTAAAAAAATTTGATAGAGTCGTGTAATTATATACTCCGTGCTGGATTTGACAAGGTAATAATTTTCTACCCGATTGGTAGTACGTAGTTTGTTGTTGCTAGGTGAATTTTTCAACATGACGATATTCCTAATGCCCGTTAGTACTATTAGTGCGGGTCGATTCGTACTCTGGTATAACATGCCCAGTAATCATGTAACACGAATTTTTTAAGAGTGCAAAAATTATGCAAGTCCAATTAAGCAAATTTATGGAATACTAATGTGTGCAAATTGTCTTACAAAAATTGTCTTAAAATGCGTAAGCATAAGTATATGCATTTTAATGCATGTGCATACTCATTAAAATGTATATTTGGATGATATTTATGTACCCATGTATATTTAGCTGAATATTAATCTTGACCCTTATAGACAAATACATACATACTGTGAGCCAACTGTGTAAAGTTGGGTTTATTTATGTGCTGCTGAGATGTGTCATTTGTGTGAATGGTGTGATTGGAAAATGTGAGATGACTTTTACTAATAAATCTGGTTAAAAATGTAGTAATTTGCATGAGTTGTAAAGCAATGCAATAATAATGTGTGAAAGACAGCAAATATTCTTGTGTGTGTACGACTTGAGTCCCGTTACTTTATTCCTCTCTCTTTCCCCTCCAATCTCTTAATAATCTTTTTCTTTCCAATCTCCATTCTTATATGGTACGTAATTGCTACTGCGACAGCAGACTTTAACATAAATGAGTCATATAATCATACAGTGTTTTAAGTGTGAATAGTCGAGTTTGCTTGGTCGTGAGATATGGGAAAGGTCAGCTCCAAACTGAACCCGTAACTGGAATCTGTCTGGTTTGCTATTCTCCATCCGGTCTCAACACTTGGCTATTTTGCATACTGGACAATTTATGTAATACTTTGTTTCTGTCGCGTCGTCAGGATTTTTATGACCATTATTATAACATACAGCAGAGCCAGGTGGCTCACAATACGTACATAAGCGTAAAAATTTGCGATGTCTGAAAAAATCGCATATTCATGACAAATTTGCGGTTATGATTAAGAGACTGGAAGATTTATTTATGGCAAAACATTACAATTCAGTAAAGTCATATAAGTAATTTTGCCAAAATTTGTAATTTAATTTGAGCCTAAAAATCAGAGAAAGTTCAAATTTTAGGAAATGATGATACCATCATCGGTCGTGGTGGTGGAGCTTGTAGTTGTACGAGGCGTGGTTGTGGTAAGTGCGGTTCCACAACAGGTCAACCAGTATCCGCAGTACGGTGAGTTAATAACGACCTCACCCGAACCACAGCCATTTTTACAGACTCCGGTCGTCGTAGAAGTTCCACATAGTCGGATGACCTGTCCGTTCGGTCGCCAGTCTGGAATAAATTGGTGGTAAAATTTTTAGTTGGGGGTAATTCACCAATGGTGCGGCAGATTTTGGATGCTTCCAATACATACTAAATTTAAGTAAGGGACGTTGAAAATTTATATACATATTTACCTACTTATTAATCGAAAAGTGTTGAAATTTGTAAAAATTTTGTAGAACATAATATTGAGGTAATTCATGCAGTTCTTTGAAACTTTGGAAAATCCATAGTTTGTTTTCCAGTTTTATATATTAAAGAGACTCGCCTGAGCCGGGTAAATTTCAAAGTACAAATGTGTGATCGTGACCTATGTAACTTTCCTTAGAAATATGTATGTATGTAAATATGTGTGCATGTATACATAAAATTTTGTAAAAATTTACGGATTTTATAGATATTACAAAATTACCATGGGTAAACGCGCGTGAATTATTTAGATACCTCGTTGGAAAACCCGATTTTCAATATAATTCTTAATTTCTCCTTCTTTCGTATATTGGGAGAATTGGCAGAACCCGTTACATTTTTAGATATATGCCAACTTATAAATTTAAGGTAATGTACATAATTTTCAACTTACAATGCGATGTGACGAAATTAGAAGTGCAGATGATTGCAAGGAACACGAGAAGTATTTTAATATTCATTTTTCAGTGATATGGGTACTAGTAATGCAAATATTGTGGAAGTTTCGTACAGATGATGATAATTCAAGGTTAATAGTGTGGAAGTGAATAAATACGACAGAAAACTCAAGATCATCTTAAGTGCGAAGGAGACGAAATAAATTATTGCGAAATCTGGACTTTGCCTTGCCCAAAATTTAATTGATTGAGACTTACACATATGTATGTAGTTACATATATAAGTTCAAGTGGGACCATGCGCAAAGGATGGGATTGATTTCAGAAGAATTTTAAACCAATACGGTGTGTCGAATGTGAAGTATCTAAACACATTCGTTTAGGTAAAGATACGATCAAGTCCGTGACATGCTTTATGCATGACACCTCCTGACGTGTTGATGTTGTCTTATCGGAATTTGCATACTTTCTGGAGTATGTTAAAGATAACCTAATGCGTATGCGTGTACATAACTACATACATACATATCCCTCTTTATGTATGTAACTTTGCTAAACGTAGTAAGTAGTATGTAAGAGATATTTGCTTGAGAATGAATTGCATATGCGATAACTTTCAGGGGCCGCCCATAAATTACGTAACGCAAAAATCGCGATTTTCTAAACCCCCTTGACCATATAATGTAAAATAGGCATGATGGATACGTACCATTGAAACCTTAAACCTCCCTCCGCCCTCTTGCATTACGTAATTTATGAACGGCCCTTAGCACACTGCAACTTTTGTTAAATCAGGTCCAGATTACATCTGATTTTAAAATTTCAGGCATTTTACGTAATCCTGCTCAAGCATTTAAATATGTAATGCTTAATTCAATATCTATGTTGAAGGATGAATGCGAAATGTGAGAAATTATTGAGGTCACTGCATAAATGAGTCGTCTTCTCACTGTTTAGATTGTTGTCTCGTCTTAATATCGGGAGCACCCCGAAATGTCCCAGTATTTTATTCTGAAGACGATGCATAATATAGGCACATACATACCAGTGTGTGCAAAAAGGCAGCCTTTTTGCTATTTTTCCATGCCGTTTTGCCTTTTTGCCTTTTTCAATGCCGAATTGCCTTTTTGCGTGCCTTTTTGCCTTTTTCATGCCTTTTTGCCTTTTTGATGCCTTTTTGATACCTTTTTCCCCATTTGCATGACGTTTACCCCGCCAGACTTTATTTCGCTCCACTGAGACCATTGTGTTTTATAAAACTTAATTACATTTCTTACTGCATTAAAATTTAACCAATCTAATAAAATGTTCAGGTTAAATTAACTAAAGGGCAAGTGTCAATGGGTTATATTATTCAACTAATCCTAAGGTATGTATATGTTCATTATCCATTATCCTTTTTATTTATAATTGTTTTAGTTTTGTTTTTGATTAATCATTATTCAATTAATTGGAAATTAATTGAGATTAATTTTGCAGGTAAAAATTCATCATGAGTTTTTATTTATTTGACAGTCAGGAAATAAGGGACGCATTAGAAGGTACGCTCGGAGTTATAACAGATTAAATTAGATTTATCCAATTTGCCATTATTTACTTGATTTAGAATCTGAAGATTCAATAATTCATTTGGAAGACGTGACTCAAAATCCTGACGATCCAGACGGAAGTGATGGGCAACCTTCGAACGCGTCAAATATTTCAGATTACGATCCTGGTGAACTCGGTGAAGACGATAATGACCACGATGAACCATCTTCGAAACAGAAGAAGTTATCAAGTGGCACCCACAAAGGCGGAAGGATGAAAGATCAAATTTGGGACAGCTATATGGAAATTGGGGACGACTTCTGGGGCTGTAAAACGTGCCAGTGGAAAAATAAAAATCCGAAAGCTGATAGGCTGCGCAAACATTTAAATGATGGTTCTAAGAAAAGAAAATTGCCAATTTTAGCAGCGCCGGTTACTGCAACAAATTCAATGCTCCCAACTTCGTCAACAACAAAAGCATCGCTAAATTACAGCCAAAGCAGTATAAAGGACCACTTTATTTCAACTAGTGATCGTCAACAACTTGAAATCAACCAAAAGCTCCAAAAAGCAATTTGCTCATCAAATATACCTTTTCGCGTTTTGGAAAATGAACATTTCATCGAATGGGTTAAATCAATGAGACCAAGTTATAAACTGCCCACACCAAAAGCCTCGTCTACTTATCTGTTGGATAATCTCTACAGAGAATGTGAACAAAATATAATCAGCAAAATTGAAAACCAGAATGCTACTATCATGCAAGACGGATGGAGCACCAATCAGAAGGAATTCGTCATCGCTCATTCGATATTCGTGAAAAATAAGGTTTATTTTATTGATACAGTATGCCCTGGAGAAGAAGAAAAGACTGCAGAAAATTGCACAAAGTGGCTTCAAGTTTGTAGAAAAGAAGCGGAAGAAAAATTTTCTATCAAAATTGTCGCATGCGTCACGGACAATTGCAATACCATGGAAAAAATGCGACGTGACCTCGGAAAAGAACTTTTATGTTATGGCGATAATCCACACCTTCTTAATCTTGTTGGAAAGAAAGCATCTCCTGAAAAACTGATTCAAAAAATAATTAAAGTCCAGAAATTTTTTCGCAATCACGACTTTGTTACACCGGCTTTGAAAAATAGTCGTCCAGTTTTGCCTTCTGAAACAAGATGGAACAGTCAAATAGATTGTCTGGAAAGCTACATTACAAACCAAGGAAAATATCTGGAGATTGCCTGCTCTGATGACCGTGTCAACGACGAAGTGAAAACGATTATTGAAAATGGGTCCATTTTTAGACAAGCAAATGATTCAATAAAATTGTTGGAACCAATTGCAATTGCGTTAAATACGGTAATCAAATTTGTCCCTATTTTAGATAGACATATTTTATATATTGACACTGAGACTAATAGTTTTAATTATAATTGATTTTAGTTACAAAAGGATTCTTCTATGATTTTTGACGCAGTTCACGAATGGATAAAATTGAAAAAGGAATTACCACAACTCTTTACAGAAAGCTATTATAAAGACAAATTTGCTAAAGGTACTCCTGCCTTTGCAATAGCTGCATATATGATTCATCCTATTTATCGAGGTAAAGCTGGATTAAAATTTAGCATCTATACAACAACAATATGCATCAGAGCTATATGATAATCTAACTGTGATTTTCAATTTAAAGGCGCAGATTTACATAAGTAATGAAATGAAGAAGGATGGTCGAGATTGGATCAGTACTCAAGATAAAAACTTTCTCCCACTAATACTTAATTTGGCATGCAAGGACGATTCAATATTTTCTCCTTGCTTATTTGAAGAAAGCGTCTTAGCCGACGTCTCCCCAATTAACTGGTGGTTAACCACGCAACAAGATAATCCCACAAAAATTTCTGACGAGTTTATTAAAATGTCCCGCATTTTATTGGAGCTTCCGGCAAGTAGCGCCGGGCTAGAGGGGATATTTTCTGCAATGACGAACACAATTACAGATAAACGAAATAGATTAGGTGTCGAAAAAGCCAGAAAAATTACGTTTATTAACCAAGCTTTAAAAAATACGTGACTGTCTTCATTAATATTCTTTGTTTTGTTACGTTTATTATTCTGTATAAGAATGTTCATTTGCTTATGAATATTAGTAATATGTTATTTTTCATGACGTATTAAACAAATTGCCAAATATATTGTGTTCTTTAAATTTTATTCGAGGGTGCTAACTTTCGTCGATATTTTCATTATTTGAATTAACATGCTTTTTCTAAATATTTCCTCAATATTTTCATGGGTGTGTTTGCATCGTCATCAGCTTAATTTAAAAGAAAATCGAAAGTAACGCAGTTAATAACTTTCACTTTAATTTTGTCACAGTGTTTGAGTCTCATCTCACCCCAATAAGCAAAAGGGCAAAAAGGCACCCATTTTTGTGGGGCAAAACGGCAAAGAGGCAGGCAAAGGCACTGCCTGCCTTTTTGCCCTGCACACACTGATATATACATACGGATTTCTGTTATTGTCTAAAATGTAGAATTCTGTGTTAATCACATTCTGACAATAAATCATCTCAGGTATAAATTAAACTTTTTAACACTATTTAGTCTCAATCGAGTTTAACTGTTTCAACATATTCATTGTTTCACTCTCACCTACATTAATGTGCGTTTTGTAAATTAATCTTACCAATTTCATTAATTATTCATTTAAGTACGATCTAATTTTTACACACATTTCTTTTTGTTTACAAGGCTTGCAAATTTTACTAACTCCCAAACAAATATTTGACAAGCTAATTATATTTTTTCTTTTTAAATTTTTCAGAAATTTCCGTTGCCATGACTCCCCTGACGTTCTTCTTCCTTTCCATCGCCATCAGCCTTGTCGTTTCAGATGATAAGCCAGTCACGATTACGAACAAATTTAGCGGGAACGCCCTATCCAACTAGGAGCCACCCGTCCTCATGGACGGGAAGAATGACAAATCTCCCCATTTTGCCTGGGTCGTCAATTCCAACGGGACAATTAGGACGTACGCTAATCCAGGATTTACTTTCTGCGTCACGACCAGCGAACCCCACGGATTCGGAAAGCTTGAACCGTGTCAATTTACCAGCCAGGTATGGCGGGTAACGAAATCAGCAACAATGCCCAACATTTTCATAATCTCGAATGACCGTAACCAATGTTTAAACAATAAACTACAAAGGGATACTGTTTGTGGCTATACGCTCCACGAACAATGGATCATCGAGCCTTACGAGGCGGCGAAGTAGATGCCTAATTTTATTTAGTTATTTAAAAGTAGAGTATCGTTAGTAAATAAATATGTGTAAAACTTTAATAAGTTTTGCATACATACATATTTACATATATATGTACGTACATACCTGTGTCTGAAACAAATTTAGTTCCATATTTTACGTGTAGTCCTTTTACATATATTTATATTACTTGAAAACTTTACGCCAGTATTCAAAGCCATAAATAAATATGACAACAATTTTTGCGAATTGTTAAAAACTAACCACCAATTTTCCTTAACATCTTGAAACAAGTTTCTCATCTTCTTGTACACATGTGTTGATAATGAATGGCAGATAGTATTCAAAATATTGACAAATAGAGCAAACTTTTTATTCGTTTTTCCACTAAAACTCGTCGTAATGCAGTTATGTATTAATTTAGTCTTATTGAAATCGAAAATAAAGTTTAAAAAACTACAAAATAACATAAACCAAAAATAAGATAAATTCATAACAACTACATAACCGCTAATGAAATGTATGTAAATGATTGTTACCGAAAATCTGGTAAATATGTATGCATTTTAGGCCTTGAAGTTAGTAGTTACATATTTATGTACATATATTTCGTCTGTTAGGTTAGGTTAAACTTTTGCAAATCTTTGCAAATATTCTTTTATATGAATCATTCTTGTTTTATTTTTTTGCACGAATACGTATTCACATTTGGGTGTAATCGTTACGACATATCCAGTAGATTACATATATTGAAATATGGATTAGTTCTTATCTGACATTGTTGCCTGGCATGTGCTGTCTGCCAGAGGGATTATGCATGATTATGTATACTTATTTATTATCAGGTGGAGCATCCTGTGGATTTAGCAACCTAACAACAGCACAAATGTACCACATTGCGAAAAGAGAATTGTTAACATGAGCTCGGAATTAGTGTGGCTACTCACATGGATATGTGGTACGAAGCGTTATAAAAACTGGTACATACAGTGTGGACCAAAAATAAAATGCATCTTACTTCAACAAACCGTATTTTTGAGTTGAAATTAGTTTCCTATGTTTCATCGAATTCATTTTACGATTAGACAATTAAATTACGCAAGTTACATATTTTAAATATAACTAAACCATAAGAAATGCGTACAAAATTGGGCCTAATTTTTTAACTCACGCCATAATTACATATTTAATTACAGTATACAAATCTGTTAAAGTTTTCGACTTTTATAGGAATATACAGTGGACAAAAATATTTTGAAATGTATTCATTACTCGTTCATATCGAACATAATTTCCAATACAGTATTTGAGATTTAGCCTTATTTAAGTTGTGCAAATTTGAAAAAAACACTTCTATCTAAGTTTTTCGAATTTGCTCAATTTGTTTCTAACGTTGCTAACAATTCTTCGTGAATACCTTCTTCGTATAGTTTTTTTTTCAAATCACCTCGTTTTCCTTTGGTGTCGAATACGATTGAATGGTTTCGACCTATTCGACTGTGAAATTTCCAACATTGCCAGATTCATAAATCCGGAATTTTACGAAATTAATTATGCAGTGATTTGTGTGTGGTTATAACTTTTGGTGGGTACTGTATGAGGTTAGTGTTGACTACGTCGGCCTTATGCATGTAGTTATTGGCACCAATGAAAATGATAGGTTGAACACGAGCAGATCAAGATAAACAGTTTCCATGACGCCTTACAGAGATAACGCAAGTTAACCAAAACTTGCACATATGTAAAGTAAAGGTTACGCGAAAACAAGTTCAATTTCAACTCAACCTTCGATCGTACCCTAGCCAAAATAAATTGCGTCAATTATGGCAAGCATTTCCTTATTTTTGTGCTTGGTCGTCATGGCAGGATGCTCTGTAGAGGGCGCTACACTTAAAGAAAATGATACGAAAGAGGTCCTAAAATTTGAACCGTTGGGGGCAGAAGGTTTGCAATCTTGTCACTCGGACTGTGATTACTGCTCGGGTGGGGTCTGCTACTACTACGACGATGACCTCGGTCTGGCGTAAGTCGACTCAAGTCGATTGGGAACTATTTGTTTTTAAGTTATGTTTAATCGCGAAATTCTCGACAAGTCAGCAAAATTCAAAATTTTAGTTTTTAGAAGCAATTCTGTAGGAAATACTAAAAAATAATGCTAACCTTTTAGAAAGTAAATGGATTCTAAAATTTTCGAAATTGTAAAAAAATCCAAACTAAATTTTTGTCTTTAGTAAGGCTGTCAATTTAGTTTTATTTTTTTTTTGTTTAATTTAAAATTCAGTGTGCAGGTATTTACTTTTCAAAAGGGTAACATTATTTTTAAGAGTGTGAATATTAATTTTTATCGTCGTTATTAAGGACATGATCCACTTTAAAGGTTTTAATTTCTAGCTTTAACTGGATTGCAGGGTGGGTTGGATAATTGCCATTTCGATTATCGTCTTCCTCATCTTCTTCGTCTGTCTGCCCGTCGGAATTTGCTTCTGTTGTGGTTACTGCTGTTTCGCAGCTTGTCGAAAACGGGATCAACCCCAGACCCAAGTTGTTTGTAAGTTGTTGTGAAGTGCATAAATATTCTTTATCTTGTCAAAATACATAAATGGTTATACAAGACGCGCACACTAAAAATAATCGGAATAAGTTGAAATATTTGTAATAATTTTAAAACTTTCAGACATGCAAGGACCTCCCCCAGCAGGTTACGAGCAACCTCAACAACCACCACAGTACGGCCAGCAACCACAAGCACAACCGTACGTGCAAAAAGCATATTCATAATACGCTAGATGAATAATTGCTAAATACTGAAAGATTTTTTTTCTATAAGTATGTAACTGAATAAATATGTACATACAGATGCAAATGATTGTATCGTTTCGATAAATATGACAAATGGACATATTTTTGAGTGTACATTTTCTTTCCCTGCAATGCGATGTATGAATTGTACTAAATGCACGAAATCGCAGAACAATCTGTTGATACTTGTCACCTAACGTCTGACACATTTCCCACCCTGATTTTCATGACGAATGGGGTTTATTAATTGCGTTTGTTTCATCACTGTAAGAAATTATGCTTGTATAAAAAACACTTTCATGCATTTAATGCTTGCACGTGGCGTACGCTACTCAACATTTACATTTGAATCTAAATCAGAGGCTAATGTCCACCAAATGAAGTTATACTGTGTGCCACCACTATTTTGCGGATGGGTTCGGGACTCTGCTAAAATTAGTCACTCCACCTCAGTCACCTTATTGTCGACTCAGCCAACATCACTACGACACCACAATTTTTGGGCGGCGCGGCATCCAAATGTTGAAGCCTTCAACTTGAAGGTAGTCAATCAGATTTATCCATGGAGGCGTCGCAGAGGTTGATTAGCATTTATAGGACTCGATACTCATCAAGAAAATGGTTAAAATATCTCAAAACACCTTTAATAATGTAGTTCTCAGTTTTGGAAATTTAAATAGGTACATGTTAAAATTCTGGAAGACGGATTTTAAATAACTAACTTGATTAATACGAATGTCGATGAGTTTTTAAGACAATTTCGAGAAGTCTCAATTGTTCTGAAGGCTTCTTAAACTTGTGATCTACTCCATCAAAAGCCGTCAAAATTAACATTTTTAAAAGATTGGTAACGACCTGCGCTACATACATATTTGTCGTTCAGAATTTATGTATAAAATAAGTAGTATCTCAGATGGTAATAATGTACGGTAATAATGTGTCTCACCAAATGGTGGTAAAATTAACACCAGCCAGTGAGAATTTGTGGCCATGCGGGCAAGATTTATAACCAAGCGGTGAAAAACATTATCACCATTTGGTGCAGTCACATTACATATGCACACCGTTTGGTGACGATCAACACTACCTTTCTAAGAGTGTAAATATGCTCAATGCTCACACTCATGTTTATATATATTTTTATGTTTATTGATAATCTTCAATCATTTGTATCTTTATTCAGTTAATTAGATACGAATCTTCTTTGCGTGACCCAAGGTGACCACCAGTTGTTTATCGTACTAATTTCTTGCGTTTTGACCGTACTGTTGTTACTGCTGGTATCGTGCTTCGAGTTTTCCTTGAGTATCTGTTAATAGCAAAGTGAATAAATAATAACACAAATACGTACAATTTTAATTAGTCCGACTAATAAATATTTATTTCGTTACAACAAAGAATATGCAACACTTACAAGCAAGTGGGGGCTGTGGTTGGTTTTGGTTTCGTTTCCGCCATGCGAAGCAGCCGTAACCACAAAAGAAGCAAACCCCGACCGGAATACAGACAAAGATGATGAAGAAGACGATAATCGAAATGGCAATTATCCAACCAACCCTGTAATCAAGTTAAGGCCTAAAATTAAAAACTTCAAATCGGATCATTAAAGATTAACATTCCCACATTTAGAAATAATGCTACCCTTTTGAAAGGTTAATACATTTTGAATTATGCAGTAAGTGAATTGTAATAAATCCAGAGCAAACCTTACTCTTTATCAAGCTAACGTTACTCTTATGGGTTTGGTACAGTTTGTTGCATTTAGCATCCAGTGGTTTTAAGTTTCAAACGTGTAACATTATCTTTAAGCGTGTTCCACCTGGATTTCTGAAAAAATACTGGTTTCTAGTGTTTCCGATGTTAAGCGAATTTGGTAAATTTGAAAAATGTTTTGTATCATACACTAACAATCGAGGTTTCCAGTACACGCTCTTCAGTTTTGGGTAATTAATGTCAATCGATCATAACTTTAATTAGCCTGACATTTGCAAAAGATACTGTCACCATTGGCGAAGTTACCTGCATCCGAAGAGGAGAACATGGGTTCAAAAGTTGACAAATTTTACACTTTCTAATTTTACTGCAGGTTTTCTCCTCTTCTGGAAAAAATAAGTATTTTTGCCAAACGTGCGAATTGCGAGACCATGTATTTAAAAAAAATCACATTAGATATATAAGCGTAATTAATTTTTGAAATCGATTGACATTAATTTCGCCAACATCTGAGAGAATACACTGGGAGACCATCTTCCATTCAACTTTAGCCAGGCTGACGTTATCAGCGTGCTCCTTGTTTTCCTTAAAGCGATGGCAGTCACCACCCGGGCAGTCGTCAAAGTAGGGTGGACGCGGTTGGAAACGTTCCGCCTCATGCGGTTCGAATTCTATTTGACCGTGAGAATCTATTTTAAATGTGGTGCCTAGTCCAGCGCAGATGGCTATGATGACGACACACAGAAATTTGCGACATGTAGCCATAATCGGCACCATTTTTTTGTATCCAGCACAGTCGATGGTTGAAATAAAACTGGCCATTTTTTTTGCATAGCATTAAAAATACATATCTATGCAATATTTCCCCTACTCGCGGTGTCTCTTCATACAAACTGTTTATCTTTTTGTGGTCGTGTCGAGCGTAACATTTTAATTGGTGTCAACTAGTGCTTCCCACGTATCCAAGTCCGATTCGACTTTGAGATTCTAGTTATGAGACCCCCGGTGATAATCAGTAACACGTATGTTTGTGACTTTAATGGATGTGGATAATGCATACACGCATGGTCCGTACATGGATACAAAACACCATCAGCTCGCTAGCTACTGCCAAATCACTACACAGAAACAAACCACTACCACAACATGGCAAAAACCCCGACCACTTAAGTAGAAAAAGTATCGTCGAAACATCACCACACTCCAAACAAAACGGTGTCAATATATGACTTAACCGCCTTGGTTACAATTGTGATTCCGAGTAGTAATGCATTTTTTCCGTCCGGTCATAACATTATAACTACCGGTATCAAAATCATCATAACTCGGATTCAACATTTTAACCAAGGCGGTTAAGTCATATATTGACACCGGCGGTGTTGATTTGACAAATTTTTGTTTTGAGTGCAGAATTCTACATAAATTAGAGTGCAGTGACCAAAAATATTGCAGTAGATATTCTTCTGTTTGCCACTTTTTCATTTGCCGTTGAACGCGCTTAGATCTGTACAGGGTGGTTCCAATGCCACGCTACAATGGACAATTTTTCAATGGGAAGAATTCGTAAATTTCCATTGCAGATACTTACAATTTCCATTGTAGTTTTCGAAATTTTGAATCTGAAAATATAAATTTTAGAATTTGGTCATCAGTGTTCTAGCAGTTTTGAATAAAACCATTCGGTAAATTCTAAGAATTTCGGCAACTAATGGAAATTTACGAGTGTTTCCCATTTAAAAATTAACCCTTGTAGCGCCAAATTTAAACCACCCTGTAGTTGGAAACGTACATATCTAATTAAGTATCGGGACGCTTGAACATAAACTTATTCCCCAAAAAAAATTGTTTGGTTACAACGTCTAAGCGATGTGGTACGAAATTAATAATGACCAACATCCGGATGGAAGAAAAATATTTTTGCAATTACCGGGTTTCTTGCATAATTACCATTTCTGTTATTGCCTTCCTCCTGTTGAGAAACTGCATGGGCGGGGATTTTTAGAAAAGCACATTTTTCTAGTTTCCAGTAATGATTATTGGCCTCACTAAAGGCACCAATTATGGCGTCAAATTTATGTATAGTGCTCAACCAAAATTTATTTTCTTCCAACCAAAAGCAATACTTTTTGCAACACTAAAATTTGCCACTAATCGATTTGTTGTCCAACCAAGATGTAAAATAATATGTACTAGCCTATAAGCCCGTCTTAAAGACGGTCCACATCAAGTTTCAAATCAACACAACAAAATCACTCGATGAAAGCACCACATAACTGAGGCGATGTATAAATTATAACCAAATTAAAATTTGAGAGTAAAACAACGTCTAAATATATTGAGACATTGAAAGGGCTGTTCCGTTAAACTTTCAACAACATTCCTTCATTCAGATTGGTTGCCAGCTTGCTTAGGAATTTTTTTAACGTTGCTCAGGATTTTTTTAACGTTGCAAAGGAATTTTTTAACATTGCAAAGGAATTTTGTTAACATTGCTAACAAATTTTCTTATGCTTGCTAAGGAATTTTTTTGACGCTGCACAATGGGCCAGGAGCCTAAAAATGTGGCCATTAAGGCGGTATCTTGAATTGGCTATTCACATATTTCAACGTGTAGTATAGAACCAACATGTCCTCCATGCAAAATATAAAACTAAATGTTACTAAAACTAAATTTTCAGCTTTTTATAATTCGACCACACCCCCTCGAAATTAAGGTCACAAGGTCAAGCAACTTGTAGAATCAAATTAACGAATACCGCAAAATTTCAAACAATAAAAATCGAAGTGCATGTCGAAAAAATACCTCGACAGCCTGGCCACTACTAGCAATGTTCAAATCGTCACATGCTACGCCCCCAGTGGGTGTGGCCCTCGGCGACTTTTCGATTTTAACGGAACCATTTCATGTTATATATCATTTTTCTCAGCTCGCGGAGGGAATCTCGACAGATTCATTAGAGTTTAGAAACCACACCCCCAGTGGGTGTGGTCCTCGGCAACTTTTAGATTTTAACGAAACCATGTCATGTGATATGTCATTTTTCTCAGCTCGATGAGGGGATCTCGATGGAATGATTAAAATTTTGTCACCACACCCCCAGTGGGTGTGGCTCTAAGAAAATTCTCAATTTTAACGAGAACAATATCCTGTGATATATCATTTTTCTCAGCTATACGAGTGGATATCCACAAAATAATTAGAATTTTGAAACCACACCCCCAGTGGGTGCGGAATTCACCGAGTTAAAGTTGTTTTCTCCCACACCGAAATAGCACTACCCGTATTTTGCGTTTCCATGAAGGCTCGCGTTTTCGGTTGTGGCGGTTTAGAGGGCATTTTCAGCCCAAATTAAAATTTGTCAAAAACTTGTATGTTATATAATTTTAACGCTATATCATAAATGAAAGAGCAAAACCATTTTTTCTCAAAAATTACAAAAAAAGATTAGAAAAATACATTTGTAAAAGTTTCAGGCTTTGTATGCTATTTCAAAATTTTGAAAAATGCAGCAAGAAATTGTAAAAAATTGCAAAGTTTGAAAGTGGGTTTTTCTTAATTTACGTAATGCAATTCAAATTATTTTGTTGAAATCCCCTCGTTTAGTTAAGAGAAATGATTTATTACATGACATGACGTGGTTTAGTTAAAATCGAAAAGTCGCTGATTTTTAGTATTCCGTCGAAACATCCTTGTTGAGCTGAGAAGAATGATATAACACATGGCATGGTTTTATTAAAATCGACAATTTTCTGGGAACCACACCCACTGGGGGTGTGGTTTTCTAAATTTAAGGTATTCCGTCGATACCACTAATCAAGCTGAAAAGAATGACATATCACACTACATGGTTTCGTTAAAATCGACAATTTGCTTAGAGCCACACCCACTGGGGGTGTGGTGTCAAAATTATAATGATTCTGTCGAGGTCCCCTCGTTGAGCTGAGAAAAATGATATGTCACATGATATGGTTTCGTTGAAATCGAAAAGTCGCAGAGGGCCACACCCACTGGGGGTGTGGCATGTGACTATTAAAAATTTCCTCATATAATATATGCCTTAGGTTATTGTTGCACACCAAAATCTAGTTCGAGTTTCTTCAAACTCGGCTTCTATATATTTTTGGCCAAAATATTTTAAATCTGGCCCAGTGTGCGCTGCTTGACAAATTTTTTAATGTTGCTAGGGGATTTTGTGCATAATGGTAGGAAGTTTTTTTGTTGCTAAGCGAATTGTTTAACGTTGAAGGAAATTAAATTTGAATTTTTTTCTCGTTGCCCATAATCAAAATCGTAACCGAAATCGTAACCGAAATCCTAACCGAAATTATAGCCTAAATCATAACCGAAATCATAACCGTAATCATAACCGAAATCATAACCGAAATCATAACCGAAATCATAACCGAAATCATAACCGTAATCATAGCCGAAATCATAACCGAAATGATAACCGTAATCATAACCTAAATCATAACCGAAATCATATCTGTGCTGCGATTGGCGGAGCCAGGTAGCCGGCAGCCAATCAGAATGCAGGAATGTCACGGAAAATTTGACGGGACCGATTTTTCGAAATTATAATATAGATAACCAAATTTCTAATTAAGCATCGAAATAGAATAATTACATTCGTGTACTCAAGTTTCCAACATGTTTCCAATTATGTAAAGTATTACATTAAGCACGATCAAAATAAGATAATCGCTTTCCTGAACAGAGAAAACATAAGTTGAGGAAGATTTGCATACATATGTACATATGTAAATATGTATATTTATGTTAGATAGGTATACAAATGCATAGGGTAAGCAAAAACGGTTACTTTCATGCCAACCATCGACTTAATTCCCAAGCTATCTAGAAAACAACGTCAATTATGGGAAAGTTTTTTCTATTTTTGGGCTTTGTTGTTCTGGCGAGATGCGCTGTAGAGGGCGTTACATTATAAAACGACGAAAAGAAGGTTTAGATTTGAAGGTTTGGTTTAGCATGATAAATTATAGACTAGAAAAGTTATCAATAATTACCTACTTCTATGTAGCTTTAGCATTACCTAAATAACTTATCGATGTCCATGCTTCACATAATTCCCCATCGGCCTTACATGATTATAATGAAAAGTAATATTCATATCTAACTAAAAGGCATAGGAAAATTTAAATTTGTATGCTTGTAAATACACAGTCAATTTCAATGTAGATTGGTTTTGCATGGAAATATGTACATATACTTAAAATCGTTGGATTTTGCTTTCCTAAGAAATAAAATTATTTATTAAGGAAGCAAAATTCTTAATAAACCAATTTTGGTTTATTAAGAATTATTGTATTCAGCATATATACATATTCCAGAATGTAAACAATCAATTTCCATGATAAAGACAGTTAGACAGGGAACAAATCTTGCTAACCTACGTAAATGTTCGCCCCTCCCCCTCTAAAATGACGTAGAATTCGTGGTTCATTGCAGCGGAAGCACCTTCGCATTAGTCACCAAAGGACGTGGTTGCCAATGGAACTTTAGTTTACTTTTTCACAGGTGACGAATATGCACCGTCAATCTCATGAGACTATAAATTTTCAGCATAATTCCCCTATCATAAAGACCTTTAGAGGGGGAGAAAAACATACTAACCTTCCCCAATGTTCCCCGTTGCTCGATCTAAAATAACGTAGAATTCGTGCTTCATTGCAACGGATGCACCATCGCATTAATCACCAAGGGACGGGGTTGGTAATGGAACTTTAGTTTCCTTTTTCATAGGTGACGAATATGCACCGTCAATCTCATGAGACTATAAATTTTCAGCATCATTGTCCCATGATAAAGACGGTTAGAGAGGGAACAAATCTTGCTGGGTAGAGTTTCAGAGTAAAAGTTATAACAGCCCTCAATTTGTCAAAATTTCGCTAATTTTTCCCAAGTACCTCCATTACACGAAATTAAACATTTGTAGTCCAAAATCTGTTTGCATTACATACCATCAGTAATGTCTCCTCTAACTTCCGAAATAATAAACATAAAAACATTTCAACTATTGTGATTTATAAAATTCCATTTAACTACAAAAAAACTTTATTCACGCTTTTTTTGTACAAATCCACCTGGTATGAAATGAATTTTAAAAACATTAGGGAATTTTGAGTTATTTATGACAGCCACATAGATGCCAAAAATTTTCATACCACCTACATAGAATTCCATAAACAATTCACAATTCTAGAAGGGTTTAAAAATATTCTGAAACGTAAAATTTATGCAGTTTTGGGCAGTTTTAGAACAGCACTATTTTTTCGTATGCATATATCTATGGCGCCATTTGGACTAGCGAATTGAAATTTCGCACCCATAATGCTGACTATAAGGTGAACAAATTGTAAAGATTTCAATTCAAAATTTCTACTAGCGCCAAAGATATTAAAGGTCAAAAACGTTTTCACGGATGTGGAATACCCTCAGTACACTCAAAATAATCTGGTGTCAATCCAGCGCGGTGAAGTCACATATAGACACCGCGCGGTGTTAATTGCCCGTATTAACACCGCGTGGTGTCTATATGTGATTAACACCGCACTGGATTGACACCAGGTTATTTAAATGTAGTACAACCTAACCTGCTCGCTTCGCTCGTTTAAATACGAACATTACCACAATATGGGGATAATTGTAACTTTCTTGTTTTCTTTCATATTATTGTTCAGTATAGTTTAATAAGTCTAGGAAATCATTTTCATTAAAATCTGGGGCGAAAAATTTCTAGAAATTTTATTTTTCGAGACCGCCGCGAAAAAAAGGTATTTTCTTGCTCAGTGGACCGTAGGGTATTAAAAAAATCACCCTAATCCGAGCTAGTCGCCTGAACTGCAATTTTATGTCATGTTGCTATTATTATATATTTATATGTGATTTTATTTATCCACGAATTGCATTTTACATATATGTGAAGTCAGAATTTATAAATATGGACTGGTTCGAAAGTTATAACACAAATACGGGCGGACAGACACGACGATTCATATAAAGAGGATCTAGCTTTGTGAAAGAGGTTTCCCGATTATCGCTCGGGAATAGCTAAATCTTGTCGGTGTGTTAATCTTATGGACCGACAAGATTTAGCCATTCTCAATGTTAAAAGGTCCCAATGTCGGACAAGTCTCCCCGGCTATAAATCTGCGTATTGGCAGATCGTGTGTCTTGAGAATTTCCTTTTGCAAAATTTTGATTAATTTATACGACAAAATGTGTAAATAATTAAGGCGAATTAGTTTACTCTAGAAAACATTTTGTGAGTTTTTCGTACTTCAAAAATGAAAAAGTTATTTTATTAAATTTTTCAATTTGTCCTACATACATATGTACATATGCACATATACCTGCCAATCTTAAAAAGTGGACTTTTCGTATTTTTCGTAAAAAAACTCCATAATTGGAAACCAGTTGAAAATATTAAATGGTTGCCATCAGGTGAAATTATCAAACCAACGTTTTACCGAAGGGAAATTGTTTTTAAGAAAAATAGTAGTACGAAAGCGGTTAAAGGTCATGGTTTAAGCAAAAGCTCTCGCTGTGATTTTGTACCCAATTTATTTTTAAACAAAACCTTTTTTCTTAAAACCTTTTCCTAAAACTCACAGTATTTAACGGCATGGCCTGGGCATGTTCATTACGAGAAGGATTAAGTAGGTATTTTAGTCTCTGCCCCTCATGGATGGAAACAGTTTGTTCGAACCAACACTAGCCTCACTACATACCTGTGTAAGTTCAAATGTGAATGTAAAATGTTGTAATAAAGAAATATTTGTACATAAATTTTGTTTTATTTTTTCTACTCTTTGGAATTTAACAAATTTAGGAAGTTAAGAAATTAAGAAATTAACTTTAAAGCGTGGTAAATCCAGCGTTACTAGACTGCACATGAAATGGACGGGACTACACATTTAATCTTCAGCTTGCCCGAGGTAATAAGTTAATTCCCAAATTTAGAAAATTTGAAAATAAATGTTACGCATTTTACATTTACATGGAAATGGGGGTCATTACGAATTCATTAAACGTGCCATTTAAATAATTCTTAACTTATATTGTTCATGATTTTACAACATTTTGAAATTCTTACGATTTAGTAAAATTTGGTCACTTGAAATTTTCCTGGTTTCAGATTATCCACAAAATTATGGAATTCCTACCCACTCCCGACTTGGAATTGATCTCTCTAAACCCCACGTGGGAAAAGGAAGCTCTGAGACACATCCTAGACCGAAATCCGATCGATGTCCACCTCCACCACGTCACCGATTCCATGGACCTCGTCCCCTTTGTGAACCAGTCCCCCAAACAGCTGAATGTAATAGTTTCTGCGGCCAAAGAAAATTTACAGATGTTATTTTCAAAAATAGAATTATTCACCACCATCAACTTCAACACGGTGACAAAGTTAAGTCTCAAAATCCCCCTCGACAACTCCTTACGCCACTTGTCGTCCCGTTCCATCAAGATTTACGAATCTTGCAAAAACTTATCCTCTATCGAAGTTCATCTGATTTTCTCCGAGTACAACGCCATTTATTCTTCCGATCAAAACTGGACAGACTTACTGCCCGACAGTCCCCATGTTCCTCAAAAACTGACCACGTTGACCGTCAATATGTCCAAGCTCTATCCCGATGGGCATGTCGGGGGATGGAGTCACGTGGTCTCGCTAACCACCCGAATTCTAACTGTTTTCAGCCACGTGCAAAGTCTCAAAATGATCGACACTCCTGGCGGGCTGACTCAAAAAGCAGATCTCATCTTACCCTACCTTACCTCAATCTCCCTAGTAACGACGTATCACGCTCGCCAAGAATACAGATTTATTACATTTGAGACCCCTCTCAACCCAAACTTTGCTAACGTTACGCGGCTCGAGTTCAACTTAGAACTCAGCGTTTCGGTACAAATGTGCGAAATATTTAACCACCTCGCGCCACAGTTGGAACACCTGTGCATATCAATGGTTTTCAACCTCGACGCGAATATAGATTTCTACGACTCCCGCTGGATCACGATCCCGATTCTCCCCAGGCTAAAAGTTTTTGAAATTTTGAGGCTACGAGGTCTCTTTTGTAGCAAGGAGACAGACTGGTTTCGACCTTATCTCTGTCTAAATTTTGAAACTGAGCAGGAAAATGTTAAATTAGTTTATGAAAAACAGTTTCCCGTTTTGGAGAGGTTAATTGTGCGCCTCGTGTCGGAACCAGTTCCAAGGAAGTTTAGGTACACCGTGCATATTCCTGATGAGAATTTGCATTTTGAGGCGACCATACTTCTTCTGCATGAATCTTTTATGACGGAGGGTGTTTCGCCGTGTGGCACCTTAAGGAATTTGGATATTTCCTTCCCCACGGGAGAATTCGATGTGGGAAGTATGACGATGAAACGGCGGTGTTGGGGGGATAATGTCTTTATGCGGTGGGGATGGACAGAGAAGGTGCCTGATTTTTATAGCAGAATTGCCACAATTTTTCCAAACGTGGATTACCACGTGGTCGAGAGGGGCAAACAGGACGTCAGAAGGGCAAAGTTTAACAAGTTTAAGGAAATGGCTGTCACCTCCGGAATTTTTGATGAAGAGGGAATAGTTACTTAGGATTTTAGCGAAATGTGGAACAAGGCAAAATTTCGGTCAAATTATTCTAAATTAGAGCAGTTAAAGTTGTTTTGTGGATTTGAAATTTTGACGTTGATCATAATTTAGTTTAGGGGTTGTCCCAGCAAATAATACATATTTGAATATTTACCGACATACCTATGTAAATATTAAAAATTGAAGCGTTAAATCGTATCTGACTAATTACTTTGCAAATGAGTAAGAATTAAATGATTCGACAAGCAGATCCGCCGACTATTTCAAAAGTACAAATACTCTATTGGATTATGTTCCCCACATGAAACGAATTAAAACTTAGCATTTTTTTGGGCGCCAAAATTTCCTTTGGGGGGGTTATGAGAATAATGGGAGATAAATGTGGTGCACATAGGGCACAGCATATCTATGAAATGGGTTGATGAAATTTCAAAAACAAAATTTTGTTACACTCTATGGATCAGTACCCCCATAGGTTTTTCGAACTGAGGTGGAATTCCGACTTTGAGGGGTTTTTCACAGCGACGCAAAATTGACTCAGAAATTAATTTTTCGCTATAACGAAAAAGTATGACGAAATGTTCATACATTAGCTTTTCACCAATTTTTACTACGTTGCAAATTATTAGTAGTAGAATAAAGGTTAAATTACCCAGAAAGTCGAAATCGACCTGCGTGACCTTTTTCGGGGATCGAAAGGTCACAATGTCAAAGGTCACATAGCCACATAAATGGGGTATCGTTGGAAAGGTATTGGCGAGAGGATTCAGAATATGTATACTTTGTGGGGTCTGAAACCACTCCCTGCAAACATAGAGCCAAAAGAATATTTTTGAGTTTTTCCCATGCATGCTTCCGTGTTAGCTCCCAATCCACTGCTGTGTTAAATTCTGGACAACTGCCGATTTTCGTTCTTTGGCCTCTAGACTTGCAGGGAGTGGTTTCAGACCCCACAAAGTATACATATTCTGAATCCCCTCGCCAATACCTTTCCAACGATACCCCATTTATGGGGTAATGTGACCTTTGACATTGTGACCTTTCGATCCCCGAAAAGGTCACGCATGTCGATTTCGACTTTCTTTGTAATTTAACCTTTATTCTACTACTAATAATTTGCAACGTAGTAAAAATTGGTGAAAAGCTAATGTATGAACATTTCGTCATACTTTTTCGTTATAGCGAAAAATTAATTTCTGAGTCAATTTTGCGTCGCTGTGAAAAGCCCCTCAAAGTCGGAATTCCACCTCAGTTCGAAAAACCTATGGGGGTACTGATCCATAGAGTGTAAAAAAATTTTGTTTTTGAAATTTCATCAACCCATTTCATAGATATGCTGTGCCCTATGTGCACCACATTTATCTCCCATTATTCTCATAACCCCCCAAAGGAAATTTTGGCGCCCGAAAAAATTGCTAAGTTTTAATTCGTTTCATGTGGGGAACATAATCCAATAGAGTATTTGTAGTTTTGAAATAGTCGGCGGATCTGCTTGTCGAATCATTTAATTCTTACTCAAATATTTATGGTTTCCTTTCCAAGCCGTGTGACGTAATGCTCGGTGACGATATTTGTGCATAATACTCCGTGACGCCTTGCGATGACAGCAGTTTAAGGTCCCTGCCGCCTGCAAAAAGTCCCACTTCCTAGATATTTATATAGGATTTTGACGTCGAATCGTCGACGCTGCCGCCTTAAAATCACTCGACTTTTGGTAGTTCAGGTACTCATAATGATTGTTAAAAAGTTTGTTAAAAAGACCTCGGCGAGAGGCAGGGAAAACTTAAAATATGTACAGGCCCCGATCTTGCCAAAAATCTTACCCGGGCAAAAAATTTAGGCGCCCCAAGCCGCTCGCGCCCTCGGCGCTCGCAGTGGGTGTCTTTACTCAACCAAATATTTATGTTTGCCTTATGCGTGCAACTGTGAAACCTTATTAAGATATTTTCCGTCCTGATGATGATCGCAATCGAGATCGAAAGCTTGACACCATTTAGAAAACAATAAAGTTTTTCTCATTTGTACATCCACAATGTCCGTAAATAATAATTCTCCTTATTAAGATAGATATATACAATGAAATACTGTGTTTTTCGCGCTCTAAAGATTTTCAAGTTAGACACCTTAAAATTTGCATAAAATTGAGTAGATCAAAAATTCGTAACAAAATTGGGGTGGTCGCGATTGGGGTGGGGCTCTAACGATAGCGATGGCGATTTTAGACCTCAAACATTTCCTTGGCGAAAAATTCCTATGGGCGTCAAAAAAAATCGTACACGGTTCAACCAAAGCTAATTTTTCTTCAAAACGCATGCCGCATCCGATAAAAAATATGGACTGGTCGGTGAAGTTAAGTGTCAGGGTTCCCCGTATTGGTTTATCCAGTTAGCAGTTAATTTTGCATAAATATGTAAAAATTATCAAAATTGGCAAATTGCATTAGCTTTCTAAAACAGAAAGTAGAATTTGATTATCTCTTTTCGTTGGAAAATGACAGCACAAAATGTAGAAGGGTTGGAAAAATTAGTTTGCCACGCGTGCAAAAAAGTGATTTTCTCGGATCGGGAAAAGGCTCGTGACCACCCCACATTTCCAGGGATGCACCGGTCAAAATTCATCGTACACTATACAGATATAAGCTTGAAAATGCAAAATATAAAATTTTTGGTTTGATTTTGAACATTGAAGAGAAACATGAAAAACCTTTTACAGAAAACCCTTACAGATCTGTAAGGGTTGCACCCAGACAACTAAAAATTTCAAAAACCTATCTTCGCAAGATGAAAGCCAATAAGATGGGCTTCAAGAATTACAACACTTTAACCGGGCCAAAATACACTGAAGGTGAGCAGGCCGCAGCTAAAAAAATTTGTCGAAAACTTGTTGAGAACATGTGGAGATCGACTCCCAGAAGTTTGTCGTCGTGGATGATGAAAACTACTGTCCTGTGGACCTCGGAGCTTCAATCGTGCAAAGTTATACTCATGTAGAAGTAAAAATGACGTTCGTTCGAAATATAAATTCAAAGCCAAAGAAAATTTCCAATGAAATGCATAAAATGGCTGGCGATCGACAAAAATGGGAGAATCCATTGGCTTCCAGCAAGAACATGAACTTTGAACTTTATTTGAAAGAGTGTGTCATCAAGAGATTGACCCCTCTATCAAAAACAAACACGTTTTACTTTGGCCGAACATGTGTCATTTCCACAATGCCAAAATAGTGACCGGGTACACCCGAGGGAAAAAAGTTGATTTTGTCGATAAGAAAGGAAGCGCCAAAAGTACCTCAGTGTCGACCCATCGAAAGATTTTGGGCATAAATGATACTCTCATGAAAAAAGGACACCAAAAAATTTCGAAAATTTCGGCGGGTTATAGAGAAATTCGTTATTGACAATGGTGAAACGGGTGACAAAGCGGTCATGAGAGGTCCTCCACAAAGTCTTCTCTTCACCGGTACGGAAGGTGTATTTGGACAACTGAAGGATTAAAAAACTTAGGTCTGGTCATCGTTAATATTCCACAAAAGTTTCATTACATTTGATTAGTGCATTCATTTTTTGTACGTTAAAATAGCTTGACAATTAACTTCGCCGACCAGTCCATATTGAAAAGTTCAAAAAAAATTATCTAGAAAGTGTTTTTTTCGACCCCTCAAATTTTATCGGAAAAATGATCTTGACCGTTGACCTGTCTGTCACATTAAATATCGACGACGAGGAAATTGACCTTGACCTTAATTGAAATAGATACCTTCTAGATTTTGGGGCGGAGGTTTAAATTTTTAAATTTCGAAATAATGTCGATATAAAGAAAATGGGATCGTATAATTAAATTAGTCACATACTGTATATATTCTTCTCGCGTTTCAAAGTTTCCATAACCTTGTGAATTTTGAAAATAGGTCAAAATTGCTAAAAATTCGAGATTCCAAGTTTTACAACATACAACATATGTATGCAACATAACCTTTTAGAAAAATGACGCATTTATATTAGAGGAATCATAAACAGCACGCCATTGTATCATTTCATTGCCCCGATTTTAGCAAAAAGGCAAAAAGGCATTTCGAGCAGTTGGGCATGGCCAAAATCCGTCTGCCTAATATAGAAAAAGGAATTTCAGGCACGGCATGTTTATTTTCCTTTGCACACTCGGATTAGTTATAACAATGCCGTCTAGAAAAAGCGCCTATTTATGAACTCCAAAGAAATTACAAAAATGCACCCTAGGTTGATAAAAAAGATTATAGTAATGGGTAAAATCTACTCAATCCTTGTGTAAATTTATCCACATCCGTGAGAAATATACATAGTTAACGGCTGCTAATTTTGTTACAAATTGTAACAAAATTGTAACTTACAATCGTTGGTTTTAAAATCGAAGTTTAGAAAATTGTTGTGGCATCCCTTATTTAACTTAACCCTGCTTAAATTTTACTTGTATTTATTTAGAGTGGGGGTGCAAAAATTTAAAAACTGTAATTAAAAAAATTACACTGGTCGTCCGCACATCCAGTCTGGTTCAAGTGCCGGGGAATTGGAACTTAGTACCTGGGAAACGTCCCCCAAAAGTTCCGATCCCCTGGACATTTTAGTTATGCAAGTTACAGGGAAACGGAACCCACTTGTCGCAGGATTTAGCGGGCTTCGATTCCCCGGTACCCTCTTACGCAAAAGTTACGATTCCCCGGAACCCAACATTTTTCTTTCATTTTTCATAAATTGAATAAATTCCCAAGAAAAAATTTTATTATCTCAAATTAACAGTTAACCAATGAAGAACATTGGATAAAAAAAATAGAATTCTTTATAGTGGCGAAGTTTCCTAAAATCGCAAATATCTGACAAATTTGAGGAGCGGCAAGTCCAAAAAGTTACGGGGAATCGTCACCCAACAATTATTTTCAGGGAAAAATGCAATTATTTTTGGAGAAAAATAATTGTAACATAATAATAACGCAATAATTGTAACAAAAACTATAAAATAATTGCATTTTTCCCTGAAAATAATTGTTGGGTGACGATTCCCCGTAACTTTTTGGACTTGCCGCTCCTCAAATTTGTCAGATATTTGCGATTTTAGGAAACTTCGCCACTATAAAGAATTCTATTTTTTTTATCCAATGTTCTTCATTGGTTAACTGTTAATTTGAGATAATAAAATTTTTTCTTGGGAATTTATTCAATTTATGAAAAATGAAAGAAAAATGTTGGGTTCCGGGGAATCGTAACTTTTGCGTAAGAGGGTACCGGGGAATCGAAGCCCGCTAAATCCTGCGACAAGTGGGTTCCGTTTCCCTGTAACTTGCATAACTAAAATGTCCAGGGGATCGGAACTTTTGGGGGACGTTTCCCAGGTACTAAGTTCCAATTCCCCGGCACTTGAACCAGACTGACATCTGAATACTCGCGATGAGTTGTTCAACCTTTATTAAAATAAAAAAATCAAGGTAAAGATTTTAGAATCTTACTACTGGAAAATTCAATTATATCTATCCCGGTGTAAACCGGGGCGCCTCGCGGCGCCCCTCCAGGATTTGGCGCCCCGGGCAACCGCCCGTGTTGCCCGCCCCAAAATCGGGGCCTGAATATGTAAGGTATGCAGCTATGAATAAGCCATTTATAAATACTAGTTGTAAGTAATTTAATAAATTTAATATCTATGTACACATGCATATATACGTACACACATGTACATACATAAATAGGGTATTTATGCATGAATTGGTATCTGCTGTAATAATTACGACTAATAAATATTTGTTCTGTATATATATTCGAGGACACGTGGAATGTGGTGAAGGGTCGTGCATGAAATATTTGATCCATCTTCTGAGAATTTTTACCTCTACTCTTGAAATGCCCATGTTAGAATGGGAAGGATAGGCTACCCTTATCTTTATTCGACTACATTCCTTTTGCATGGCCTATTATCGCTTCTGTAAATACTCTGGTCAATAACTAGTTTTCTAAAAGTGTGCGCAAGTATATACATACATATGAAGCGACATGATTTTCACCCCAACTTATTTTTAGCCTTTTTAACCGACGACCTTTTTGCTTAAACCTTTTCACAAAATTTTGTTTAATAATATAAATATAATCCTCAACATGCCGAGAAGGTTAAACTATTTTAATGCACAGGCCAAAGTTATCTATGCATCAGTCACTTCTCTGCACAAATAGGGACCCTTTGAAAGGGTGACTAACCGAATAAATTTACATGTATGTAAGCTTAAATATTATCAAAAAGCGATTGCACCATTAAACGCGCATTTGTTCCGTACCGGCGAGATTTTAGCTTATTTGAGAATTTTACTTTAAAACGTCGAAAGCCATTTTAAAACTTGCCCATAAGAATGGAAAATTCTACCCGAACGTCCCATTTAATCTCGAGTTTCCCTGAGGTAATTGATTTCTGGAGGATTATAAAACCTTGCAAATAATTGTTGACTACTTACATTAAAATAACTCGGAACTTAAAATGTTACGAATTTCAGGTAATCTTCAAAATTATGGAATTTCTACCCATTTCTGACCTTGAATCAGCCGCTCTGGTCTACTCCACGTGGGAAAAGGAAGCTCTAAGACATCTCCTTGCACGAAATCCGGTCGATGTCCACCTCCACAACGTTAACGATTCCATGGACCTTCTCCCCCTTAGGAAGCTGTCCCCCAAACGGATCAACCTGATTGTCTGTGTGCCCGAGGAGAATGCTGAGATTTTATTGTCAAAAATAGAATTATTTACCGCCATGAATTTCAACACCGTGACAAGATTAGGCATCGAAATCCCCATCGCACGCCACGTGGCGTCACGTTTAGTAAAGATTTACGAATCTTTCAAAAACCTGAAATCTCTTGAGTTTCATCCAATTTTGTCCGATTGTAAAGCATTATTTTCTTCCGCTCTAAACTGGGCTGACCTACTTCCAGCCAATCTCGAAGTGCCCCAGAAACTGACGACTTTGACGATTAACATGTCTAAACTCTATCCCGACGAGCAGGCCGGACGATGGGCCAACGTGGTCTCGCTAAACACCCGATTTTTAACTGTCTTCAGCCACGTGAAAAAACTAAAACTTGTCGACAAGCAAATTTATGCACATAGTTCCGATTTGGAGCCAACTTCTGAAGAACATGTTCCTACTACATAAGAATATAATACCACAAATTGATTGCTTTTTCTGTATAATTGTCCAATATTTAAAAAACAGTATATTTGTAAGCATTTAATCGGAATAGCATACATTCGCAGAGATTTTAATATCTCGGATACTTGCAAAAATGTACCATTGGGTCAAAAGGTGGACCAGGGCCCCCAAAGAAATGCAAGCGATCCCCTTGTTGCTGACTGATTTTGTATTAATTTATGAACGAATCATAAGAAATGATTTTAATAAATGATACTCGAGATGTAATTGCCTTAAAAATGACGTAAGTAAATGATTTTTAACTATCAGAATTTTAGGGTCGAGATTCAGTTATTATCTATTTTTTTCGACCAGTTAGGGTAGGCCATTCAGTCCACCGTAGGGTTTAGTTTTTATGGTATCTCATTCAGTCACTTAGGGTCGCCATTAAATGCGACCCTTTATTTAGCTAGAACGTAGGAATAATAATCAAGGTTAGGAATGATTTGTATATATAATGGTTTTATTAAACATATACATACATACATACTTACCAAATCTATACACAAGCGTTATTGATAATTCACATTAAAAATATAATTAAACTAGTTATTTAAAAAACTGTGTTAACAAATACAGCCGTGGAAATCTAATTGAACCTTAACCTATTTTATATCGAACGAAGATTTACATATCTATCTTATAATTATGGAAATAGAACGGCACGCTAACCAAAACTAAACGGTCTAATTATAATGTTTGAGATATCATGAAAAATGAAATAATTCTGGTACATTTGCGGAGTTTATGTATCTACATTTATCTACCCCTTCCCTGGTTTTGGAAACGAAATAGCCACAAACATATAATATACCGCTGACATTAAATATTGAACAGAACACAAGTCTAGAACATTAAAATATATACATAGGCTTAAAATTGCAACTGGATACAAGTTACGATAGCATAAATTGTCTAGCTAAACAGACTGTGCTATGTTATACTGACGTTAAATATAAAGGGGGTTCAAATAGTGGAGGTATGAAATACTTGGCAGTAGTATTTCTAATATAATTTGAATATGAAAATTAAGGTGAGTATAATCTCTAAATTATCAATAACAACCCAGCCTGCACAAACACGAGATTAACATGAGTTTTGAACGAGTTTGGTGACCCCAGTATTCGTGTTAAACACGTATGAAACTGGTAGAGAGCTGGTGTTAAACTGGGGGCAAGTGTCGCTCTTTTTAACGTATCTAACTCGTTCTTTACACGTGTTCCAAGAACGAGTTTCACACCACATCGACGAGATTTACCCCAGTAAAACACGTATTTAGCCACGAGATTTACCCCAAAAAAACACGTATTTAGCCACGAGATTTACCCCAAAAAAACACGTATTTAGCCACGAGATTTACCCCAAAAAAACACGTATTTAGCCACGAGATTTACCCCAAAAAAACACGTATTTAGCCACGAGATTTACCCCAAAAAAACACGTATTACAACATGAAAATTTACGTTCACGATTTTTATTTCTTTATAACTTCTATATTATTCTACAAATTTAGACAATTAAATGAAGATGAATTTAGAAGGTACCAAAAGTAAATTAAAATTTATAGAGTATAAATTAATCGTCGGAGTTGAATCCAGCAATGACGGATGGATGATTTGCATTGGATTTTGCCAAGCGTTTCCTGCTTAAGCAGTTGAAAATGTTTACAATTCTTAATTTTAAAATTACATATAAATAAATCCTGCTGTCTTCGTACCTGTCAGATTCAATACGTTTATTGGAATTCTTTAGCCAATCTTTAATAGCGTTTGAAATCTCGTCGTCGCCAGCGTCGCTCAATTTCGGGATTCCATGAATCGCTTCTGAAAAAGAGTGACCAGTTACAAAAATTTATCTTACACACTAAAGTAGTAACATATTCATGAAAACTACCAAAAATAATGTGTTTCATCAAAGACTTCGAAAAAGCTGTCTTTTCTCCTCTCGAACCAATCCAGTTATATGAAGACGCATACGTATCCGTCAACAATTTCGACAGTATCCGCTGAGTAGCCTTCTGTGCCGTCTTTGTCGCACCTAGGCCCCTCTGCAGTTCTCGAATCTGAAAAATAAATACATAAATAATTAATACTGTATCATTAGCACTAACACCAGCAGCGATGCATTTATTACTTATCAAAGTAATTATCAAATGTGTTGCACGTAATATTCTACCAATGTGTTCCTGGATTCCGTCGCAAAATCTTCGAGTTTTTTTAAGTCGGAATCGCAATCCACAGGTAATAATCCAGCTGGCAACGTATTTAAACTTTGACCACCACCCTGTCCGTTCAAATTGCAGCTATTGAGCAAGGCGTCCACACATTCTTGTAGTTGTCGCAATTGGGCTTTCACAACATTCATTTGTCTAACCATCCAGTTTTGAAATTCTGCAGAAAAATATTTACAAATCTTTAGCTTAATAAGACCGTGTCGAGTCGCGTTATTCAAATAATAAATTTCTTACCTATATTTGCAGAGATTTCCTGATTTATCTCGACCTGCGTGTCGATCTCCACGCTATGGTTGCTCGAAACATTGACCAATTCACCGGTACAATGTTGACGCAGCATGTTATTTGGGGAGAGGTCTCTCATTTGACCATGTGGTGATGGGGAGTGGAGTTTGTTAAAGGTCAATGAATTTGCTGACCTGGAAGTAATTTCCTCATTTTCTTGCTGTGAATGGGAATCACTTACTGGTGGTGAGTGACGCGGTAGATGAATAGAGCTGCCTGATTCATGGTCATCTTGACGGTCTGAACGTTGCGATATACCTCCAACTAAAGCTAAATACCAGTAGAATGTGCAATTATACATAACAGAATAAGCAGACGGAGCAACAAATTATATGATTTCACATTATGATGACTAACCAAAATATTGTGGTGGGGGCGGAATTGAAAAATTCGGCTTTGATGGTATTTTAGTAAGTCCATCCTCTCTCTCCGAATCGCTTGACTCTTCCTGACGCTGACTTTTCTTGTGACGTTGCCCACGACCTGTCACTTCGAAATCACTTTCAAATTCCGGTTCGGTTTCATCCAAGGCTTTGCCAAGCTGACTCTTGGCTTGTTGGTATGATTCTGAATAGAAAATAAATTTATTTTGTAAATATTTTTCACGACTACAATAAAAAGGAGACTCACCAAATATTTTACCTCCTCCAACAACCTTCACGTCGAATGATAACCATTGTTTACTTGGATTGTCTCCACCCATAGCGGCCTTCAATTGGCGTTCGGTAGATTTAAACGGCGGCCACCAGCATTTATCTCTTGATGGTGACAACCAATTTATTGGGATAATCTCTATCTCGTTAGTTTCAATAAAATTTACTATAGAAAATCGCATGGTAAAAAGTCACTGGATTGCACTGTGAATTAGAGGATAACACATTAATTCTGTTTCCAGTGGAAGAAGTACACACTTTGTTTCAACTAAATTAAGGTCAAATCTTCTTATATTACTCAATTCTTTCACAATTTGCACACCAATTAAAGATGATGGACACGGAGAGTGAAAAAAATCTTCGCTTCTTTTAAACTTTTTCCCAATTATTTCTGGAGGAGAAGATCGAACAAAATAGTGGATTTTTATAACACTTCCGTCTTTTAACTTGCAAATATTATTTCCTGGTTTGTCTGATAGTTCAAAATTGGTAAATTTGCACACTCTAAAACACTCAGATCTCTCACTTGAATTAGTTTCAACCTGGCAAAATTTTAGTTGTTCATATTTTTCAACGTGGTCAGCCAACTCAACTTCTTCTCTTTCCATCAACCGCCGGCAAACTTGTTGCAAGGGGTAAGATGGAGATCTGACCAATCTCTTTATTTGTTGTAGTTTATTCTCAAATGGAAACGCACTAAAGCGGTCAAGAGGACCGTGTCGACTGCAATCTCGAGATAAATGCAATAAACTGTGCAAATTATGACTGTAATATTTCTTTCCATACAATGAACCAAAGTTATTCACAAAATATTCTAATAGTTCCCCTGCGTAATTATTTTTGCTGAGATAGGTGTTAGGATTGGCAAGAATTGCAATTGCAATGTGAAAACATAAGAAATGTTGGTAAAATGGCAGAGGAAGAATTTTTTTCAACACTACAGGACCAGTGTATAAAATAAACTGCCTAAATTCGGTTGCCTTCCAATGATCTACATCCCTAATTGGACGCGGTTTTCGTGCAAATTCCTTTGGTATTGACTTCTTGATATTTAACAAATTAATGGATAATTGGTCAATTTGATGAGGTCGCAAGCGCCCTGTACACTTTTTTCCTTTCGACCATAAAAACAATAACTTTCTCGTCACTCCTAAACATACAAGATGCATAAAATCAACCGGCACATCTTCTACTAAATCTATAGAAAGTAATTCTATTATAGAGTCCTGATTATGATGAGCCTGGTCAAATTTTGATCGAAAAGATTCGTTATTTCTTAAATTATAATTTCCCGGAGGAAATGTTACCCGATTATCCAAATATTCGCCTTTTATGTCGCACTTTCCGCAAGAACTGTAACCACTATGACACTTTGTCCCTAAAATAAATGATCTTGCAGGCACATCACACACAATTGCAGATATTTTAAATTTCAAAACTAATGACTGTTCTAATCTAATGAATTGGTTGACAAATCTACTCAAAAAATCGTTAATATTTGCGGGCTTTCCCAGACCAGAATAAATGCCTATTACAATAACTTCATTAAATTCTACAATATTCGCTAAAATTGGCCAAAATTGTCTGGCACTGCTTTTATAGAGAGGAATTCCGTCAATATTAATTTGAATGTTGGTTGTACACTGTGCACCTTTAAGTAATTTTTCTATTAATGAAATCCACTCAAAATGTACATACTCGCCCGGTTCAACCTTTTCAATAGCACAAGTTCTTGGCGTACGTAATAGTGTCCTTGGATCGCTTGGTAAATCGAAGCCAGGACGTCGTTTTAAAATATCCAGCAGATCACTCAAAGCAGAGAAAGTAATATTATGTTTAACTGCCCATGTTCTTAAATCACTTGTACAACTGCTGGTATCAGTCTTATCACAATCACTATCACTAGAATCTGACTCTGTGAAGATATGACTATCAGAGTAGTCCGAAGAGTACAGGTCATCTGCCCCAGAAATCGAATCGAACTGCGGAGTTGCGGCCTCAGGATGAGAAGTTTTTGGGTGTGGCTTTGGCGTTGTCTGATTTTTTCGATCACCACTTTCAGAAAGTAAGGAAAAATCCGACGTTCCTTGTCTTGCTTTGCGAAATAATTTTCTAGATCGTGTCTTGTCCATACTTTTTGGTTTTATTATGTGAGACATGCAACAAAATAATTCTCCCACCTCAATAACAAAGGGACAGTGTTTAGTTTCGCATGTGCAAAAACACTGGTAAAGTTCGTGTATTTCTCGCGATTATGACACGAGTCTCGGGTTATTAGCATACTCGAGTATTTCACGTGTTTTAATCGAGAAAATTCGTTTTGAAGATGCGGTGTAAAATTCGGTCTTTTTTCACGAATTAATTTCGTGTTTAAAAAAATATTTATACGAATAATGCACCCAACACGGGATTTACACCGGGGACACCAATATAACACGTGTTTAACTCGGTCGGTGCAGGCTGGGCAATTGTCTTCACCATAGGCGAGAATTCTGATAACTGAAGTCATAGATGAAATCTTCCAGTAAAAAATGGTACCAAGAGCGGTGATGCAAAAATTTTGCCGTCTAATTTTTTTAAATAGTTGTTTGCTATTGCACCGCCTCACTAAGAATTCCACTTTTTTGGACCATCTTTAATAGAAATTACATCTCCGAACCATCACGTCATCAATAAATGCATACCATGACATATTACTACTTATATCGCAACACGGTATTTCTGGAGGAAATTTCTTGCTCAATAATTACATAGATTTACGTATGTATGACAATTTCGCTTGGTTAATCGCTGGTGCCCCAACTACGGCCAGGACAGTGGAGTAGTTCATCCCAAAATCTTGCATAAATATTTGATGTGTAAGTACTTTTAGTATATTTGTTAATTAACTAATCAATTTATCATTAGTTGCATAATTGTGGAATTTATTTTCATGAGCAATACAGTGCACTACAGAGTAAAAGTATTTAAAAGTGACAGAAAAACTGACTTCACACGAGTCATATGAAACTTAACCTTGAATAATAACCTAAATAATTTTGAAAAACGAGTTCAAATGTTACTATCTAACCAACCCCAAAAGATAAAATTTTGCAAAAATTCGTACACACATTATTCGCCATCCTCGTTCTCCTCCTCTTCCACGGGATCCTCCTCCGCCCGTTTTTCCCTCGCCGCCCACATCTTACTCTGTTCGAAATGCTTGTAGCTCAGCACGGTGGCCACCGTCTTGTCCGGGTTTTTACCAATAAGTCCGCGATGCATGCGAATGCATCTGCCACAAAACTGCTCAAATAGCACGCTGGACTGGCACTTGCGAAGAAACACGACCAGTGTGACGTTTGAGTTGTCGTACCCTTCACGACACATGCCACACACGACGGCAATCTTCTTCACCCCCTTGGTGAAGTCTTTCAAATTCTTGTCCCGATTTTTGTCAGCTATAATGTACGTGGCACATTCGCCCAGTCCGTTTGCGACATCTTTCGCTTGATACGTATCTCCCACGAGAATCATGGCTTGGGGTGATTTTTCCCGTCGTTCTTGGCCTTCATGTTTGCCGAGAATCTCGGCAATATCCTTACCTAACTGTTCTAAAAATTTGGGATCATTCAGCACCTCTGAAACGGCAGGTTTTTCGCTAAACTCCGTTGGTCGGATGGTCACTCCTAGGAGTAAAAATTAATATCGCTCATTACTACTTGATCATCATTATTTTCGAAATTTCGAAATAAATATTTGTTCACTACATCTTATCTTAATTGTTCATTTTATCCCGAATTCGCGTTATTATTATGCAGAAAATGAGTTGTTTAAAAAAACATCACCGGAGTGTTGTAATGGCCCTCACAAACTACAGATCTTAATCCCATTGAATCTCTGTGGGGCCATGTAGAAACATAAATTTCAGACTTGGGCGACCTGAGACAAAAATTCTGAAGCATGAGATAACGTCTGTGTAGAAATCGCCTCAAAATGGTTTCATCCATAGTTTTTGAATGCAATTATTTGCTATAGCATGCTGTATAGAACAAACACATAATTGATTACAAGGTTTTGATGTTTAATCTTACACCCAAAATAACAAGTAAAATTTACTTAAGGCTGAGCAAAAATGACGATGACACAACCAAAATGGAAAAATTGGCTGACGTTGTGCTAAATGTATCCTCCCGTTGGACAGATTTTATACAACTTCGGTCAAATTTTGCAAAACGTTTTGCTTATTATTATTAGCTCGCCCTGCGTAGCATGAGAGCTATTGAATTCCTCTTGTCCGTCTGTCTGTCCGTCTGTCTGTCTGTCCGTCTGTCTGTCCGTCTGTCTGTCTGTTAACGAGTTTTTTGCATCAATTGATGCTACTTAAACAGCCCCTTGACCATTATTGGATACGTTAGGCGCACCATTGGTACTAAACAAACCGAATCAAATTTTTTAACGAGTTAATAGGACTATTGATATCTAACAATCGGGAACACAAAATGATGCGAAATAATTGGGGGAAGGGGTGCAAAACGCACCAATAGGGCAGAATATCCGGGAGAAATGATCATACAATTTTGACATAAATTTTTCAAAATTATCGTTGGTTGGTAATTCTGCACCAGTGATGCACAATTTTTGGACTCTTCTCGATGCATAAAAATTATTGATCCACTTTGTTGGATTGTTATGCACCATTGGTGCATAATTGCAAAAAATTATGTAACTATTTTGTTGCATTTTTCTGCACTTTTGGGGCAAGTTATAACCAAATCATTATTACAGGGTGAGCTACTTCTAACGTTACTACGGTTTATTTAGAGTGTAAGATGATGTATATGCATACGCAGTTATAACATAAAAGCTAATAATTCTGCTCGAATAATTTTGCCCATTTTTCAGACTTTTGTAAATGTCACTTGGTTCATAAGGAAATTTGAATTTTTCTTTCAAAATAGATTTAATACAAGTGAAGGACTGGTAAACGGTGCACAAATGTAAAAGAATTGAAACCGATGTCTTTTCTAGTTACTCACTTATTGTCTTTTGAGTTTTAAGGTACCTCTTGTCCAAATAGTATTGCTCCCTATTGCGGTGCATCGAAGTCAACCGGAGAGAATTTCTACGCGCCAAAATCACGTGCCCATTTGATTAACATTGGAGGCGGGCCGGAATTCAAATCAAATCCATCCGGTTGACTTCGATGCACCGCAATAGTGTGCGTCAAAATTTAAATCTATTTTGTATGTTCATTCTGCACCCTTCGTACCAAGCTGCATCCATAACACTATTACAGTGCGAGCCGCTTCTGTCATTATGTACAATAGTTTACTATTTATTCTCACCCTCCAGCCGATTTCTCGGAATTTCATAGACAACCTCCAATCCTCCAAGTAGCTTAAACGCCTTGTCATCCGATCCGCGATAAGGTGTAGCCGTTAAAAAGACGATATTTTTGCCCATAAATGAATTCACGATGACCTCCCACGTCTTGGCCGGGTAGTGATGCGCCTCGTCAACAATGATGGTATCGAACTGCTCCAGCTTGTCTAAGATGATTTGCCTTTGTGACGACTTACTGCTCACGCTGCTAGCAGCTTTCCCCGCGAATTTCTGAGCATTCACAATCACCAAATTGCCCTCTTCCATGTAGTCGACGACGTCTCTGGTTGACCTGGCGAGGAATAAGGGCTCCAGCAGTTTCTTACATTCAGCTCTCTTAAACATGCCAGACTTGACGAAAAATGGCTGAGTCCCTTCCCCACGGCCGAAATCGGCGGCGAGCTGATCAGAAATGATTTGCGATGGAGTCAAGATCAAGACTTTCTTCGAGCTGAGGACGTACGGGAGGAGGGTGACCATACCAGATTTTCCGGATCCAGGTGGCGCCACGATCAAAGCCATGTCAGGGGCTTCGGACGGAACGGGTTTACTTCTTGCGAAAAAGTCGGCCGTCTTAAGGACAGCATCGATTTGATAGTCGTACAAGGAGGACGGTGTCGCGAGGCCTTTTCTGATTTGAAGGAGATTATGCTTCAGCGAACTTGTGATTAATTTACTTTGCTTTTCAAACTTGGATTTTTCTGATTCTTCATTTTCGAACTTGCGACGATTCTCTTCATATTCTTTCACCAAGTCGTCATCGGAAGGGGCTTGCATGACTGTTGAAGAATTACCAATTAATATATCTTTTAGCTTAGCCCTGTTGTTAGAAGTCAAACTCCAATCTCCTCCTTGAGATGTTGCCAGCCAAAGCAAACCCAAGGTCTAGACTAGAAAATGTGCCCAAACTGAATTATTTCGAGTTATCTACTTTACTTAAATAAACTGCGGCAACGCAGGGTACACAAGTAGCGCAATAATGCTGAGAATGCGATACAAAATAAAGAAGCTATAGATTGCCGAATCTAAATAATTTAAAAATAATAAAATAATTTAAATTTCCTCAATAACACGTAGCCACTCTGACAAATCATACATCTTACATGTTTTATAGTTTTATCAATCTTAATCGATTAATTAATCAATCTTACTGTTTTACATATCCTTAATGCTAGATTAAATTTTTATAAAAATCTCATTTTGCCCCGACCACACCCCCTGGCGCCCGAGGTGTGTGGCATAACTCGGGGACACTTAATTTAACTCTGTTTCATCCATAGATTCTATTTTTGTAAAAATTTCATTTTGGCCCGACCACACCCCTGGCGCCCGGGGGGTGTGGCACAACTCGGAAACACCTAATTTTACTCTACTTCATCTGTAGATTAAATTCCACTAAAAATCTCATTTTGCCCCGACCACACCCACTGGTGCCCGGGGGGTGTGGTCCGGCCGCCCCCAAAAGCTTAGGGGATCCTCCCCCTATGGGCATACGTATGATGGCGAAAACCGATTTCGATTATCTCGATCCGTTCTCCTGTTATCGTGTTGACGGACGGACGGACAGACAGACAGACAGACTAACTAAGTCATCGCATTAAGTAGCTTGCGCTACTTAATAAACAGACTAGTAAGTCGCTGCTCGGTCGGTGGCTAAGTTGAGAATTTACTGATAGTCCATCATTTTTTCTTTTCACTCTATGGAGGAGAAAATGGTCGGGCAACTTTACTAAACTCCTGTTGCCATTCCCTGACACGATCTTAACTTAACTCGTTCGGAAAGAATATGCGTGAAGATACTACAGATATATACATATGGCATTAAATTTTGGGTATATGTACAGGGTGGTTTAAATGTCAGGTTACAATGGAAAATTTTTCAATGGGAAAAATTCGCAAATCTCCATGAGTTACCAAAATTTTGCCTTTGAAATTCAATATTTTATGAATTGTGTCATCAGTGTTCCAAAAGTTTTGATAAAAATTAATAAAACTCTCAACCCCAAACCCATAACTAATGGAAATTTACGAATTTTTCCCATTGAAAAATTTTCCTTTGTAACCTGACTTTTAAACCACCCTGTACATAAATACACAGTGTAGACGTGTCGATTTGTAATTATATTTATTTACCTTAAAGCTTTGTAAACGATGGAAGCGGAAATTCAGTTGGCGCAGGGTAAAAATTGAGATATGTTGATGTAAATTGTTAAATATATTAAGTTGCACATATATCACTAAAAATTTAAGTACATGCTTAATAAGATTATAACAATGCTGCTCGCGAGAATTAAGTGCCTCCTAACTTTAAAACCCCAGAAACATTAGTCAGGTAAATTTTACGATGCTGAGTTTATATAGCCAATGCACCCCATCTTCATACATAATCTGGATGAATTGGTGGAGTCATTCGTGTACATATGTATCTACAGATATCTATGTGTATTTACTTACGACGAAGTGAATACATCACTATGAGTTAAGCCGGGGATTATTATCCATTGTCCACAAATAATTTTCAGTTAGTCATACATTCGTATTTAAGCTGTCTTCCATTATCATTGGGTGAAAGGATGTTGGTCTTATTTAATCTGGTGGTATGTAGGTTGGATAAATACTGTTTGACGAGACGGTAGCCTGGAAAATGTGTACACCTTTGAAATGAGAACGAACTGATTACACATGCTGATAAGCATGCCTTTGCCGGCTCTGGTGATCGGGGTTTTTACCATGTTGGTGATGGTCTACTTCTACGTAGTGATTGAGTACAAAGGGTTGAGTACGTGAATAGGAAAGTTCTTGTCTTAGACTTTAATTTGCCATTTATTTCAGCTCAATCCGTCATATGCAAGTAAAGTAATTTAAATTCAAAGTGCTGTATCGACAATATGGCAAAACGATCTTTTGGCGAAAATTTTCATACTGATTAAATTTAGAACAATGTTTTAAAATTTAATATTGTAGCTCATATGGCGCTAATATTAGATTAGCACAGGCCAATACAAGCCTGAATGACCTTAAGTTTTAAGTTTCAGGTTTATCGCCCGATGTTAAGTTTCTAGGTAACGTTAAGGTCCTGGAAAAGGTCAAGGCGCAATTTTTTTATTTTTATTAGGTAATACAAGCCTGTACAACCTGAAGTTTTAAATTTGAGGTGGAATGCTTAACATTAATGTTTATTTCGCCAATTCAGCTTTTTGACGAAATGGGTTTCGCTGAACGTGTTCTGTTTTGGTATTTTGCCACTTGTACATAATGAGAAAAGTATGAATAAACCGTAGTAACGTTAGAAGTAGCTCACTCTTTAATATTAATTAGGACATTACTTTGTACCAAAGGTGCCAAATAAGCGCACAAAATAAGCGCGGTACTATAATATCTATAATTTTCCATCAATGGTGCATTATAATTGGACAACATACATAGATGTACAATTTTGTACAATTTTGCACCAATAGTTAGAATAAGGTGATAAGATAAATATCTAATTCTGACACAATTTCGATTTTTGTCCGGAAACCAAGAAATTGTGGTGACAAATTTTTGAAATTATTTCTTCAAGTTACTCGGCACTTTTGGTGAATTTTGGATGAATGCTACCAATTGTTTCGCATTATTTTGAACAACCGATTGTTCGATATTAACAGTGCTACTTATTCCAAAATTGTAGTCCTTTCTAGATCTATTTGCACAATTGATTCGCACCATTTGGCTTACGGATTGTTCGATACCAAAGGTGCGAATAAGTTAATCAATAATAGACAAGGGGATTTTTAATTAGCATCAATTGATGCAAAAAACTTGTGAACATAAAGACGGACAGACGGACAGACGGACAAGAGGAATTCAATAGCTCCCGTGCTACGCAGGGTGAGCTAATAAGGTCACTTTTCATGGAGACAGTCACAAATATGTAAATACGTATGTATGTAGTAACCGGCCGGTGATAAAATTTGTTAGGGAATAGGTTTCGACGGCGTTTAACCAAGTGAAAAGATGTGTAAACCCAATGCCTACTGTGTGCAATGGGTGTTCAAAAACAGCGGACTTTAGGGCCACCAAACGCTGGTTAAGCCAAAAAATAAAACTGCTGCTATCTAACCCACGGTGAATGAGTAAATAGTGAATAGAGTAGTGATCCCGGTGGGTGATAGTGGTTTGCATTTTAGTCATCACGTGACTTGCATCCTCAATTAACTAAGGTAAATCTCATAATGTCTAATAATGTATGTAATGTGTATAATGTATCTGTGCTATGTATCTCGTTATGTATGTAAACCATTGTATGTAAATATCTTAAATAATGATTGAATGATGCCAGGTACATAAACATTTGTACTTGCACACATATGTACTTATGATATGTATGTACACAGCCGCATGTGGGGGCGTGGCTAAATGCCGTCCCTTTGCTACAACTTGGGACGCTACTCCCAAATGAGACTTTCCGTGTCGCTTGTGCTCTTCGTCTTGGTTGTGTGTGTCCCAATTATGCATATGCACATATTCATTTACCTCCCTCCCTTCTGGAATCGTTTTAGTTATTGTGTATTCATACTGATACTTTTCCGCTTCTTTCCTTCCACCCAGCATGGTCGTCCAGACGTAGACGGATTGATCTCGATTTGTGTGGCTATGTAGTAGGAAATTTTTGCTCTGTTTTTTCAAGATGCGAAATGGCCATGCCGTTCCACCTGGATTTGCGGGTGCATGAGGTTTTATGGATAAAATGGTAACTGGATTCATAAGGGAACTTACCAAGGTGTCAAGCGCGTTATGGGAGGAAATATGTTTGTATTTAAATATTGTATGTATGAATATTTAGATATGTTTGAACCATAAGCTGGGTTGGAAAACTCCGATTCTAGAAAAATCTAACCCCACGGGTTTTTCCGGTAGTTTTGGGGTTTTTGTAGGTTTTTGCGTTTTTTTGTAAAGATTATCTTTGAATTTTGGAGCAGATTGAACCAAAATTCGAAAAATTGTGAAAATTGATCAAAATTTCGTTATGAATCCGACAATTTATTAAGTATTGATCCAATTTGTAGTTTAACGGATTTTGTTTCAATCTGCCTCAAAATCTTGCAAAACACCCGGAAAACCCTATGAAAACCCGCCAAAACTCCATGAAGCATTAGGGTTTTTCCAGAGATTTGATACTCCGAAAACCGGCAAAAATCCGGGGTGGCGAATCCCGACCATATTGGATTTCTTACATAAAGCGATGAGCAGTCTTCGTAAAATATGCATTAGGTTGAATTATCTATGATGATAAACCAGTTATGTAGCTCTAACCAAATAAAATCGTCACAAATACAATGACACCTTAAGGAAAAGTCAGGTTGACAGAAATTCGTTCACTTTACTTGATACATTGTCTCCGCACTAGCTTGACACCACGGCACGTTCCATTAAATATTTACCTTTAACTTTTCCACCTTTGCATTCAAATTGGCAAACTCCGCTTGATCTCAAGGGCCTATCGTGATGGTCTCGTAAATGCGGGAGATAGTCCTTCATAGAAAATTTTGCTCCGTCACATTTCTTAGTTGTCCATTGCGTGCAGGAAATATCACTGATAAATTGAAAAGTTATAGTTTTTAATTCAAAAAATTATTTGATGTATGTACATACATATGTAGAACTCAAAATCGTCAGGATCAAAATATGTATTTGAAATTATGTATATCTTGGTTATATGGATTTATTTTAAAATTCTGACCGACAAGTTTATAGAGCAGGTGGTTACGATTTATTAAAAAAAATGAACACCAAATTTTGATATTTTCGAAGGAAATCTCGAGCTTTCAGAAAAATTGAAACTGGTTTCAGAAACTCACCTGCATTCTATTAATCAAGTACCATTCATTCAAAATTAATATGAAGTAAAAAATCCGAAATGTTGGATGACTTTTCCGTGACTTGATTTTGTTTAAAATTTTCGATTTTCAGTTAAACAGTGGAATTAATATGTGTGGGGAAGAGAAGTATGAGTGAGATTTGACGGGTGCATTGATATGGTGGTCGCGTAGTACAAAGGAGTACGTCTGGGGCTATACCGGGAAATGTTTCCTTCGATGGAGACCGGGGTCACCAAATTTTTGCACTATACCGTTATTTCTCATTCCTACATATGCACAATTATATCATTGTCAGCGAGCAATGATGAACTGTGACCATTTGACCTAAACAAATTTTGAGAACTTCACTGCATATTAATTTTGAAATCGTGTACAAATTAGTCGTCCAGAATTTAAAAATAAGCTCCAGAGCGGAAGAATTATTAAAAATTTGTTGATCTTGCCAATGTTGATAAATATATAATACTAAATTTTTGCTATACCGGTATTCGCAACTTTCCTTATGCGTTGTATGATCCGCTTCGGCAATAACTTGTTGACAGCCGACATCGTAGTATGGATACTTGAGTTTAAAGTCGAGCTGAAAATATGTAATTTTATTAGGGGGCCGTCCATGAATTATGTAACGTAACCATCGTGATTTTCTGGACCCATATCCCCCTTTAACATGTGCAAATACGATAGCATTGTAGCTTAGACCCTCCCAACCACCCTTTTGCGTTATGTAATTTATGAACGGCCGATATTATTTGTTCGTTGGGAAATCTATGTATGGACACCAACCTGTCGGGACAGTCTTTCTCCGAGGATGGAAACTTGCAACTTGGTGGACTGACAGAGCCCACATTTAGCAACTTTCTCCACACAAACGCCACAAATAATGTGCCCATTCGCACAATTGTGGATCCGCGAGGCCGGCACGTCCAGACAGATGGTGCACTCGAGCAGGTTCGGAAGACTGGGTTCGGTAGACTTTGCCATGATGTAAATACCACGGACAACAATTTATTAAGAAATTTTATTTCCAGGATTTTAGTACACTCTTAGAAATCCTGTGTTAAAATAAGTAATACCAAGGGGTTATCATGTATTTATGTATAACTCTCCCAAGGAATAGTTGATAAACAGTTCCTTGCAGGAATATCTCAGAATTCAAGTTTTACCATATCGGTATCAAACTTTTACAGACCGGCATCATTTTAATAAGGGGCGTTCGTTACCTTCATAACACAAATTTTGTGCTTTTTGGACACCTATATATGTACCTACCCCTTTTTAACCTGCGTCACATAAGCACGATATCATTTGGGGCTGACCACCAACATATACGAAGTTTACGAACGTCCCCACACCGAGATATCAATGCCTTCCTGACCACGCCAGATTTTTTCTTAGTGTAAAAACGATTGAAAGAAAATGGTGATTATAAATATTTCCATGTGTTTAACCAACCTTACATTCCTTGATAGGATCATCCTTACTTTAAACGACTTTCATAAATCCATACGTAAATA